TATATAGGTATCATATAGATAGCATATATGTAGATATCATACAGATTTTATATGATTCCGATTCTCCATCAGCACACAAACCACAACTCTTTAAGACTTTTTTTCAGTGAGGATCAAATTCATTGTTTTCAATCATGTACTCATAAAGTGACAAAGGAACTAACTAACTATATATAATTACATAGATACAGATATTTACCATTCATCACATAATGTTCTGGCCGGACTGCTAAAGCCAAATTTGACCAAATGATGGTGGCCACCCTGGTTTTAATTACTCCAACAGCTTTAATATTTTAAACCTATCTATATTTATGTTTGAATACAGTGTTCATTATTGCAGGCTTGTATGTTTTTCATGTTACGGTGATCCATAATATTTGCATTGCTTATGGTTACAAATTATAAATGACTTCATGCATTTACCTCAAACATTCAAAAGTTTTTCAAATCTAAGTCTGCAAGATTTAACGAATGTTTTCATTTAACAACAAATTATGTTAGCCATCACATGTCTGAGTATTTAAAACTGAAGAACAACCAAAGTAGAAAAATAACAAGTTACAAAATTTCTTTCTAAATTTTCTTTTAAGACGGTCTTTCAAGAGTTTGTCATGATTTTCTTTCAGAAATTGTTAGCAAAAAACAAAACATTGTTAGAGAAGCACGAAAGAATTTTAAAACGATCGTAATAAAGCCAGTTAGTGCAATGGTGCAATGGAGGATGTGGTATGTTGTGTTGTGTGCGTGTGTATGTGTGTGCGTGTGTGCGTGTGTGTGTGTGTGCTGTTGGAAGAGGAGGAAGAGATGCAAGATGAGTGCAGCACGTAAGTTGAGTTGAGTTGATTTCCCCGCAATGCAATCAGGTGCAGTGACGACCGTGAGTGAGGTAGGAATCCTCTGCACTTGTTAGCAACTGCAGCAACACAACAACAATACAACAACATGTTGGAACAACAACACAGCAACATGTTGGAACAACAGCACATCAACATGTTGAAACAACAACACAACAACACGTTAGAGCAACAACACAACAACATGTTAGAACATCAACGTGTTAGAACAACAACACAACACACAACAATATAATGAAACAACACAGCATCATCAACAACTGTACAACAAGCAACTATTAATTGAAAACAGCATTAATTATTCTACCAACAACTACCCAAAATAAAGACAAAAAATATAAACTATCAAACAGAACCACAAAGTAACGTTGCTCAAAAAGTTGTTCATTGGATCGAAAGATAGCCAACAATTTAAATCTTGCTACCTCAAATCACTTCATGAAAATACAATGAATTACAACAAATAATAAACAATATTTTAAACGTTTTCAACTAGCCAGATTGTATATTTATGCCCCAACACCCACACCTCCACACACACCACCACACACACACCACCACACACACACACCACACACGCACACACCACACACATGAACACAACGCACGTGCTGAAGAACAAAATTTTGCAACGCTTCACTTTTAAACATAATTAGAAATAAAGTTATCCATGAAAAGAATTGTTGGGTGGGAGGTTGGGTGGATGGGTGGGTGGAGGCTGCAGTTTGGGGTGGTGGGTGGTTGATACGTGTTAATTGATCCATGAGTAACTGTCAAAAATATTGTATTAAAATAAACACACACACACGCACACACATACATACAGACACACACACACACGCACACAATCATATCATACAAATGAAACAACGTAATTATCAATAGAGAGATGGGTTGAGACTTGATTTAGCTTCAATGTTTGGATTGCAACGCTCGATACTCATTGATTTCACGCAGTTCAATTTCAAATAAATATTTATTCAGTTGTTTCAACGTTTCATGGAATAAAATTGTATCATTTCTTCATTAATTGAGCTGTTGTTTTAAATTAATCTTAATACTTCTGTGATATATTGTGATCTTTCTTAACATGTGAAATACAACTTTTATGAGAGATATATGCTGGTCAGAACGCAGATGTGTGTGGTGTGTGTGTGGTGTGTGTGTGTGTGTGTGTGGTGTGTGCGTGTGTGTGTGGGGGGGTGTGTTTGTCTACGCATTAGTGCGTTCGTTTGTGATATGACTAATTAAATATATTAATAATTTAAACATTACGTACATACATTCTTGCATGCATATATACGTACGTAAATACATACATACACACACATATATTTACATACATACATACATACATACATACATACATACATACATACATACATACATACATACATACATACATACATACATACATACATACATACATACATACATACACACATACATACATACATACATACATACATACATACATACATACATACATACATACATACATACATACATACATACACACATACATACATACATACATACATACATACATACATACATACATACATACATACATACATACATACATACATACATACATACATACATACATACATACATACATACATACATACATACATGCACAATGCACATATTGTTGAGTGCATGTTTGGAAAAAAATGAGGAACTGCAGATAATAAAAGTGCAACTTGCCGTTGTTAAACATTTTAACTTCTTTCTACGCGCCTGCACCGAAATGTTTCCAGATCGCTGAGCTGTTAAACTTCTTCACATTTCCGATTCGTTCATTCAGATTGCTTTGCTTTTGTATATTTTGTTCGAATTTTTGTATGTTTGCATGGTTGGCTGGCTGGCTGGTTGTTGGTTCTTTGCAATTCTCTTTTTTCTACATATTTTTAATTTTCAAGCGTTGTATCTATAAATGAATTCATCGATTATATTCAACGCATTTCAAACGCGGCTTGAATTATGCTTCAAGCAATTTGTTGCTGTTGCTGATTAGAGTAGTTAACATATAAGAAAACAACAATGGATGTGCAACGTGAGAAGAACAGTTACACATACATACAGTTACACCTACATTCACACATGCACACACACACATATACATACGCATGCATTGGTAAGTGTTTGTATGTTGTATCTGTACAAATACGAATACATACAACATGTAACGCAGTAGCACAAGCAGCAGGTCTCAACAAATAAGTGCTTATAATTTAAAACAAATTACAATTATTATTGTAAGCGTGTGTTTGTGATCAAAACAAATGATGAACAAGTGCCTTAACTTATATGTGCTGTTTATGACTTTCCTGTACTGGCCAGGCTGAAGTGTGTTTGCACTTATTTAGGCACATTAATAAAATAATATGTTTCTTGTTTCTCTTGTTTCTTGTTTGCACAAACACCACACACACACACACACACACACACACACACACACACACACACACACATACACACACACACACACACACACATACACACACAAGTATAATATTAATATATATATACTTAATATTTAGATAAAAAATATTGAAATGAATATGAAATACAAAAATATATTTACGTGTTGCTGAACGTGCCAGTTCAGGTTTATGTGAATGTAGAGTACAGTTGCATGAATGCTTGGTGAAAATCTACGTACTACCGATCGATCGAGTTATCTGGTCTATTCCTTACTGAGTGTTGCTTGTATACCAAGGTGTGGAGGTGAATTGAGATGCACCAATGCATTGGTAATGTATCAATGCATTGCTAATGTAACAATGCATTGTTGTTACTCGTGAATAAATGTTAGTAAAAAATTTTTAAAATAGCCATTAAATTTCATTTCCATTTCTTTACATTTGGCCTTCATCGTTCTTCCATGCACAGATTTATTTTTACACAACTTCCAAAATCATTCCACGTCTATATTTTTTGATACAAAATTTGGAAATTAGTTTTAAACATGTTATACATCCGTCAAATCGTTGATGTTTCTGATGGTCTGTAGGATAACCTTTCATGTTAAAAAACCATTTAGTTGTCTACAAAAAACGAAAAGACACCCAGGCAAACATACAGACAAACAGATGAACAAACAAACAGATGAACAAACAAACAAACAAACAGAAAGACAAACAAGCGAAATGATTTCTTCACTAACAAAACAGTCAATAATGATGTAACAATGCTCCACTTCACTGTGCTAATAAAAATACAACTCCCACGTTCTGGTAACGGTAATATCATCCTTAAAACTACCGTAGAACACACACATACACGCGCACACATACACGCATACACTGTTCAAATGTATGTGTGTGTATATATATATGTGTGTGTGTGTTTTTGTGTGTACGTGTGTGTGCGTGTGTGTAGGTGTGTCTGTGTGTACGTGCGTGTGCGTGTGTTTACGCGCGTGTGTGTATGTGTGTGTGTGCTTGTGTGTGTGTGTGTGATATTGTACATGATGATTAGGATGATTTTTATTATATCATATAAAAGATAAATCCTAAGGTAACTGTGATAAGATACTTGATGATGATGATGATAATGATGACGATTGTGATGATGATGGTGGTGATTGTGAGGATGTCGGTGGTGATTGTGATGATTATAACGATGATGAAAATTATAAAAAATTATGGGGCTGATAATGATGACGATGTTGATGATGACGACGATGAGGATGATGGCGATGATGATGATGATACAGGTTCGATTTTAATCTCTTCCTGGTACAGACTTCTATAACGCTAGTGAGTCAGTGAGATAAATCTTATCATATCGTTAGGAAGCACCAGCAATCGGTCTCATTAAATAACAACATCATCATCATCATCATCATCATCATCATCATCATCATTCTCTTAATCATCATAATCATCATCATCGTCATCATTATCATCATCAACAACAACAAAAACATCATCATCATCATCATTGTCTTCATCATCGTAGTCGTCATCACCGTCACCAAATTTTCAATATAGATTTTATTCAAAATTTTTTTTTCCCAAAAAATTATTTTCTTCTTTTTTTTTTCAATATTATAAAAAGATGATTTACTCATTTTCCATTGCATTGTGGACATCATTTTTAAAGTTTGCAGGAAATCTACAAACAGAAGCAAGCATGACGTCATCCCTTCGTCATCAGCAACATGCATCTTTTGTTATCAAGGCCTACCATGCAAAACTGACCATCTTGAACTTTGAACCCGTCACGTGATGACACATACATGACGTCACCACATCGTCTCGACCCTCACCTTTCACGCGTGCACACACACACACACACACACATACACACACGTACATACACACGTGTATATGTACAAATATTGATGTTCATCTGTTCCATTCGGTCGAGTGTATGTTGTTGTACGCATGTTTGCGTGTATGCGTGCGTGTGTCCGTGTGTGCTCTTGTGTGTGCGTGTGTGTGTGCTTGTGTGTGTGTGTGCGTGTGTGTGTGTTTTGTATCAGCAGCTTGGTACTTGTATATATCAGTCATAAAAGTACAAATTATTATTATTATTATTAGTAGTAGTAGTAGTAGTAGTAAAGTAGTAGTAGTAGTAGTAGTAGTAGTAGTAGTAGTAGTAGTAGTAGTAGTAGTAGTAGTAGTAGTAGTAGTAATAGAAGTAGTGGTAGTATTAGTAGTATTAGTATTAGTAGTAGTAGTAGTAGTAGTAGTAGTAGCAGCAGTAGTAGTAGTAGTAGTAGTAGAAGTAGTAGTGGTAATAGTAGTAGTAGTACTATACAACGGATGTGGTGGACGACGCATGATAACTAAAATTATGTTTATTTAAGAGTTAAACGTGTGGCGTTGTTCATGGATGTTGTTGTTGTTTATGGATTTGTTGTTGTTGTGTTTTTGTTGTTGTTGATGTTGTTGTTGTTGATGTTGTTGTGGCTGTTGTCATGGATTTGTTGTTGTTATTTTCGTTGATGTTGTTGTTGTGGCTGCTGTTGTTGATATAGATTTGTTGTTGTTGTTGTTTTTGTTGATGTTGTTGTGGCTGTATTTGTTGTTGTTGTTGTAGATTTGTTTTTGGTGTTGTTGTTGTTTTAGTGGCTGCTGTTGTTGTTAGTGTTGTTATTGTTGTAGTGGCTGTTGTTGCTGTTATTGTTTTTGTTGTTGTTATTGTTGTAGTGGCTGTTGTTCTTATTGTTATTGTTGATGTTATTGTTGATGTTGTTGTTGTTAGTGTTTTTGTTGTTGATGTTGTTGTTGTTGATATTAGGCCATGCAGAGTTATTTTCAATGGTTACTGGTTACAGGATTCGTTGAAGGATTGTTGCTGTCCTCCATGATGATGATGTTTTCGTTGTTGTGATGATGACGATGATAATGATGATATTGTTGGGATGATGATAATGATGATATTGTTGGGATGATGATGATGATGTTTTTTGAAGAAAATGATAGTGTTTTTGTTGATTTTGATAATGATGATGATGTTTTTGCGATGATGATGATGATGTTGTTGGGATGATGATGTTGTTGTTGTCGTTGTGATGATAATGATGATGATGTTGTTGTGATGATAATGATGATGATGTTGTTGTTAAAGTGATAATGATGTTGATGTTGTGGTCATGATGATGACGACGACAAAGACGATGATGATGCCGATGATGATGACGCTGATGATGATGATGATGATGTTGGAGGAGCACTCGAGTTGGCGACTGTCATGACTCACCTCATCGTCCTATCATCATTATTCATCGACCATGGTCAACACGTCCTTCAGACAAGCAAGCACTAGGATGATGATGACGACGACGACGATGATGATGCTGATGATGATGATGATGATGATGATCTAACATCAACACGATTCAACATCAAAAACGTTAACCTGATTCAACATCATCACGAATCAGCATTAACGTGATTCAACATCAACACAATTCAACATCAACACAATTCAGCATCAACATGTCTCAACATCAACATTATGGAGAACGCGACTCTAGCTCGTTGGTTTTAAAAAATTCGTTCGAAAGATTTCAGCCTACCTTTTTCAATGAATCATGTGGTCGATCCAAGACATCGCAGAATAGGGACGTCCTGGAACCCACTGTGAGAGCGAATCCCAGCCAACAAGCAGGTAAATTGTAAATAATGTACAGTGAATGAAACCAAACTTCCATCACTCATTGGCACATGTTGGCAACGTAAAAAAGCTGGACAAGTTGTCATCTCATGAGTTGACCGAACGAACATTCGACACATGACTTCCTCTACTTTCTCACAACAAAGCCAAATTATTCTACAATCAAATTGTTACGTGTGACACAAAATGGATTATGTTTAATATCTGAGATCTGGACAATGATGAACCACCAAAACAGCGTCTGAAGCGAGATATGCGCCACTGCTCAGGTGCAATCAACCACAGTTTTGTTTTTTAGAATTTGGCCTATCAATCCTAATAAAAATCTTCTGGTAATCAAAAAAACGGAATGACAACAAATCTTAAAATTAGACAGCCAACATTAATCAATTGGACAACTCCACTTACTGCTCAAATGACAGAGCGAGTCAAAGCAACAGGAGTTGGTTTGAAACTTTCCATCGCCCATCACAATTGCCAAACTTCTCTTCACTGACTTATTAATTTTTAATAATTGAATAATTTTTCAACTTTGAAAATATTCAATACTTCAGAGGCCACCAAAATGCTCTTTTAAGAGTCCATCGAGATCCAGGATTTTAAAAGGGATTAATAAGTTTATACTCATTAGGTGCATTACTTGGATGAAAATAAAAAGTTTTTAATTGAAAAAATCAAATTCAGCTATGAGCATTTTTGCTCCATATCATACTGGACCAAATAATATTTTGTAGAATTAGCCAACATTCAACCACCTCAGCCTGCAGCATGCAACAAAAGCAGGACAACCATAACATTGAAAACAAACAGTGGTAGCATCAGCAATGGCAACAATCAATATCAAACAACACGAACATCCACAAACAACGACGTCACCAGCAACATACAACTGCAACAGCAGCAACAACACCAGCAACAAGATGACACGTGTTGAGATGCATGCGTATGATCTTGCGATCATTAATAATGAAGAACGTTCAGTCAGGCCCACTTCTGCTTCCATGACCAATCAATTTCTACTATTATACATCTAATTGGCAGGTTTGAGCAAATGTGTGCGTGTGTGTGCGTGCGCGTGTGTGTATGTGACTGTGTCTACGTGTGTATGTGTTTGTCTGCCAAGTTATCAGATGTCAGTGATTGCGTGAAGAATGAAATTTTTATTAAAATTATTATCTGCAAATCAAAATAAAACGTGTGAATATTTGATGAATTTAAAAAATTGTGATTAATTTGAACCGATATAATACATGGAAATTTAATGAGGCTCGCATTGCATGTTCAAGCGACAAAGATATTTTTCTATGGCTCATTTTAATTAGAGAACTAAAAAAGTTCACAGAAAAGTGGCCCAACAAACAACCAAACTCAAGTAATTTTTTAAATATAATTGATTCACAAACTATTTGTAGGATCACTTTAGCAGTTTGTCGTGCAGCTTATAAACTATATGACCAGTTAATGAAATTTATTTGAGACGAATAATTTTAAAAAAATTTCATTAAATAAATTTATAAAAATTTGATAGCATTCTGTTTAATCAAAAGAATGAAATAAATAATAAAAAAATAATATTCTGTTTAAATAGCTAAATATGTTAGGTGGAACATAATTTGTTCTGGAATTATAGAATTTGTTCAACTCGTGCGTCTCTATTGGAAGTATTTAATTTAATTGTTTAGTCAACAAATAAAAATATTAATAAATTAAAAAAGCTAGTTTTGTTTATTAGATTAAAACAAAAAACTTTATATAAATAATAATTAATAATTGAGTCGTTAAGTTAATTGCACGAAATAACTTGTAATTTTATTTCATCTTTTAAAAATGGAAACGAATTTTTTTTAAATATAAAAATTAAAATGAAACTGGATGCCCATGGAGACGGGATGGAGCGTGCCAAACATGCCTGGCTAGCATGGTGCAGCTGGAGGACGTCATTTTAATTCATCAACTCGGGGCTGCTCTGTTGTGTTCGAGAGATATTGCGTTGTAAGAGGACTTCAACAACTTACGACACACACACACCACACACACACAGAGAGAGAGAGAGAGAGAGAGAGAGAGAGAAAGAAGAGAGAGAGAGAGACACACACACCACACACACACACACACACAAGCACATACACACAACACACAAATACATACATACACACACGCACACAGATATGATCAAGTGATGTTTTATTTCATTACAAATTGCAACACACAAATGTATGGAACACTTCTTGTCCATCTGATAATGTCACTTATATTGACATACAGTCTGACCATAGCATGGGTATTTTCATTGAAGAATGCAATGCATCGTAAAATATCAGCCTGGAAAGTACATAATTTTTAAATGCTTTACAAAATTCATTTATCGAAACAATTGGAGAATTAGTTGCAAGAGTCATTCAATATTCTGGTCACTCACTTTTAAATCATCCATCCAGCCATTAAAATTTGACTTTTCAGAACCAGTTACAACCGTGTAAAAACTTCAAAGACACGAAATAAATGCGGAAAGCTCATTAGAGAGATAAGGCTGCGTAACTCAATGTCTGTCAATTATTGCTACAGATTGTTTCTACTGATTACCTCACTGCGTGTTTCTTCCCATGCATGCGTTGCGTCGTTTGTACGTCTGCATTGCTCATTGATACACATGCTCTGTGTGTGTGTGTGTGTGTGTGTGTGTGTGTGTGTGTGTGTGTGTGTGTGTGTGTGTGTGTGTGTGTGTGTGTGTGTGTGTGTGTGTGTGTGTGTGTGTGTGTGTGTGTGTGTTTGATACAAATCAACAATGAACCAGAGTTATAATTTTCTGTATACTAATTTTTTAAAATTAACAATCAATTAAACTTTGTTAAAAACTGACAACAAAGTTTTTATTTTGTCTTATACTTGATGAAAGTTCACCCCGAGAACTTGCTTAATTTTGCAAAAATGTTTTCAAGATTGGTTGACCGTTGTGTTTTTATCTCGGGCTTTGCATAAATGTTTTATTATGTACGTTCTGCCAGAGTTATAAACTTAAAAGTCTCTCAATCTAAATAAATACTTCTTGGTGTTTGTGGTTGATTGTGGATGTACTGTGTGCATGTGCGAGTGTACATGAGTGTGTGTACGTGTGTGTACGTGCATGTGCGTGTGTACATAAGTGTGTGTACATGCGTGCATCGGTGCACGTTGAACATTTTAAAGATCTATTGTATTGCCATTGTCGTTAGTTACTCTTACTTGTGAAAATTAATTGCATAGAAACATAAGATTACGAGCCTTACTATATATATATGTGTGTGTGTGCGTGCGTGTCTGCATGTGCGTGCAGTGGCGGATCTAGGGAGGGGGGTCGAAGGGCACTGTCTCCCACCCCCGTTGTGAGCAGCTTTTAACAAAAGTCAAAAAACTAAAAATAAGGTCGTCAGCCACACTACCACAAATCTTGCCCCCCCCCGTAAAAATTTTGGCATCCATGTGAAAATTTAAACTTTTAAATTTTTGGTCCCTTCTGTCAAAGTTGTCTAGATCCGCCACTGTGTGTGTGTGTGTGTGTACGTGTACGTGCGGATGATATGAGTTCAAATGTTCTCTAATTCGACCGATGGGTGATTCACTGGTTGCTTTGAATAGCATTGAAATTATTTGCCGGGCAGATGTTGTGTTATGATACGTTAAAAGATGATCCAACACGCGATGCATAAGAAATTAATAAACTTCAGAAATGCATGCCTGTGTGATTGTGTATTAAAGTGCAATCTTATCCTATTTGCATTTACGTTTCGCCTAAGCATTGTTTGTAAGGGTGTAATGTAAATAATAATAATGTATGAATGTGTGTATGTATGTGTGTGGGTGTGTGTGTCTGTGTGTGTGTTTGTGTACGTGTGGGCAGTGTATGCGCTTACCTGTCTGCTAAAATCTTCACATAATGGTCAGTTTTTTATTATAACGGGGTACTTACTTAAAGCATAATACTTACTATTTACCACTACTTGTAATGAAGAACGATGAAACGAGGTTTACAATTTTTGTTTCTAATCTTGACTCGCGGAGGTGCATGCATGGAAATGTGTGAAGTGCAGTTGTGAGGATGTTTGCAGTTAGCAGTGGCACATATGTTTCTGCGTGCTTCGTTCATGCTTGTTTGCAATGCGCAACTCAGCGTGTGTCCCCAACCAAGTCAAGGCCATTACGTCACATCACGTGTCTTGTTACGTCATCCTGTTTGCTACATAGGCATTAGTTGCTATTCTCAACATTCTAGCGTCTTTCTGACTTGATCTCATTGTTGTTTTTCAACATTTGTATTGTAGGATGTTGATCGTTCGTGTACGTACCGTACAACACACATGCATGTATGCTCGTTATCAACTTCAACTTCATCGTACCTCATCGCGTCATTATCACTGCATACATGATTCGAATACAACAAAATGTAGCAAATAACTTCAAGACATTTGAGAAAAATTAATAAAATTTACTAATTATAAATTGGAATCTTTAATGATAATTTCTAATTATGACGTTTCTATAAATCTATTTATAAAAATATTCGCGGAATAAGGTTATAACTAAGAGATGGTAGATATTCTGTGACATGTTATAATTTGATATTTAAGACATCTTGTCTCTGGGATATTATTTTTAGATGCTGTCTTCCTCTGCCAACCAAACCAGCCAATCAGTCTGTCAAACTCAGTCATCACCAACCAAATCTCCGTCCATATTTTATTCAATTTCAATTTCTTCACCTTCTATCTATCCAACATGCATTTGTCTATTTATTTCATAACTTGCCTATTCATTTACTCCATTTAATCAATCAACCAACCAACGAGCCAACCACCCAACCAACCAACCAACCAATCAACCAACCAACCAACCAACCAACCAACCAACCAACCAACCAACCAACCAACCAACCAACCAACCAACCAACCAACCAACCAATCAATCAATCAATCAATCAATCAATCAATCAATCAATCAATCAATCATTCAATCGATCATTCAATCGATCATTCATTCAGTCAATTCATTTATTCATTCATTCATTTATTCATTCATTCATTTATTCATTCATTCATTCATTCATTCATTTATTCATTCATTCATTCATTCATTCATCCATTCATTCGATTTGCAATCAATTACTCATCATCTGCCCATTCATCCGTCCAAATAATTGTATTGATTGGTTGGCTTGTTCGTTTTCGGTTGCTTAACCAACAAAATAGTGTGAACGACATCATCATCATCATCATTGCCATCATCATCATTACTATCATCATCATCATCATTATCAATCTCATCACCATCATTATCATCCTCACTATCATCATCTACCGTTTGTAAATTAAACCGCCGTAACTTACATATTTAAAATATTTTTTTACTATTTTTATGTATTAGACACATGCAGCACTGCTATTAATTGTAAGTGTCTGTTGCCATGTTGAATATATACAACGTTACATTTCTGTATATATTTACATTGTAGTTTTTCACACACACACAACACACACACACAACACACACACACGCATCTTTCATGTAAACCTGATTACTTCAATGCATTATTGATTATCATTCATACCATCACAGAATAAATATTCATCATCATATTTGTAAACAAAACTTCTTCACTCATCACCGACACAGTGCCAACATTTTTTAATTGCAACGGCCCCAATCCCAGGTGATTCAAGACAAACAATTGCTCCGTTTCATGTGAAATATCAAAACATGAGATCAAAATAGAAATTAAATGCACACAAAAATGATGAGGAATCAAGAAGAACTAACTTATACAAAGTGGTTATTAGAAGATGTTTTAATAATGTGACAAATACCTTTTTGTAAATTTCGTACGGCACTGCCTTAAAATGAAGTCATGAAATTGAATAAACTTTAAAAACAAACACTTGTCTTTCAGACATCATGGTGATAAAACAATGGTGGAAGACCGAAATAACAATACAGCAGAACCAACAATGTTGTTTAGACCTACAGCAATGCACTGGAGAGCCTTGGCACTGCATTAATTGGGTCCCCACTGCCTGCCTGCATGCATGCATGCACAACTTGCTCCAAACATCGCTTGTGTTTTTTCACCGTGTTAACACAGCGTGGTTGTTGTTGTTGTTTTTGTTTTGCTATCTCGTTGTCATACAATACAGTCACTTGACTGCAATGATATAACCGAAACAACGAATCGTTGTGTTGTTGGGCTGTCAGAATGACTCCATGGCATGTCTGCTACCTGGCAAGCTTCAGCCTACAGCAGACACACTTTAAAGTATGAAAATATTTCTACTGTATTGTATGGGGACGTCATTTTATGTTTCATATTGATTTAGCTGATCACACCATTCATTATTTTCAGAGAATTATTTGAAACTTAATCGTCTGCATACTATCTGGACTGATTTTTCAATGGTTTATTGATTCAAATAAAAGTGTTGTCATCAATATATTTATCGCATTTAAATATAGACTTTGAAATTTAAAGGAGGGCTGGAAATGAGAGAAGAAATTTTAAAATTTCACGATGTACAAAATATGGAGGTGATCTACGGTGCTAATTTCTTTGAAAAGAATACGTCAAAAACATTTGAAAAAAGAAGCTTAAAATTTTTATCAAAATGAAATTACGTCATGTTAAGCGTCGTTCGTTAATGAACACACATTTCACAACAAAAAGTTGTGTGTATTTATTTTCTAAAACTTTCTTCAAGACTCAGACGTAAATGACGAACTAAAAAAAATTGGGCGATCAAAATTGAACTGCTCTGATAGGCCTTAAAATTAGAATTACAAACTGTAAGCAAATGTGGCATGACAGGAATGTTAAATGTAGCTGAAAGTTTTTTAGTAGACTCTGAAAATTTTAAATTACATTTTTTATGAAATTCTTATTTGAAAATTTAACCGAAGTCGGGTTTTTCAACGGCTCCGATAGTTCATAAATTATTATTATTCTTGTTTATTATGAACAAACAATAAATTTGTTACGGGGCAATCCAAAAGAGTAAATCTTAACTAAGCGGAATCCCCAATATTCAAAAAAGTAATCCATAAATTTAAACTAAATAAATAAATGTAAACTAAATAATTTTTCTTTCTTTTTTAAAACTTTTAAAGAATTAATATATGCATACATATAAAAACCAATTAATAAATGCATATATGTAAAATATGTAAAATTTATAATTAACTTCGACTTGGCTTTTTTAAACTCACAAGCACGCTTTGTGCACTCATGAAATGTTTGCTAAAATAATATTAAGTTATTGTTATTATCTATGACCATCGACATTTCTCACACTTCGAATGAGGATGTATCAAAACAGTCCGATTATGAAAAGAGGAAATTACTGCAGATAATCCGACGGGGCAGTTAAAGTTTTTGGTCACATCATGCGGAAGGAAAGAATGGAAAATCTAACAAATACTGAAAAGATTGCAGAGAAAAGAGATCGCGGTCAACAACAAATCACATTCGTGAAGTCATTGTGTTACTTGCTGAATATCACCACATTTCAACTACTACAAAGTCTTAAAGATCGGGTTTTGTGAAAGGTGGTCAATTGTAAGGATAAGGCACAAGAAAGAAGAAAGACTGTTATTATTATTTATTATTATTATTATTACTACTATCATTATTCGTTGTTTCGCTGCTGCAATGCCAAGGCATCCTTGTAAATTCAATAAGAGAGCACATCAACGGTTCCGAAATTGTCCGATGGTCCAAGTCAACAATAAAACTATCTGAGGTCTTATATAAATTCACTAGAAAATACCTCATCCAACAGCTACCCACAAACGCTAACCTTTTTAGATGGGGTAAATCAACCAACGCGTTATGCTCGCTTTGTAATGAAAAACAAACGAATAAACACGTCCTGTCAAATTGTGGCTCAGCCTCAGCATTGAGTAGATATACGAATCGCCACAACAAAATTCTCACATTGATAATCGATAATATCAGGGCAAGCGCAAGGCCGGGTATTGAGATTTTTGCAGATTTAGAAAAAGAAATGGTACAGCCAATATCGAATCTATTCAAATCGTTGAGACCTGACATCGCTGTCCTCAGCAAAGATACCATTGAAGTACTCGAGCTGACCGTTTGCCATGAAACAAACTTCATGAAATCTAAACAATATAAACTTAATAAATATATAAACAATTTAAAAGACAACATTTTAAACGATTTTAAACATTTCAATATTTTAATAAACACTTTTGAAATTTCACCCATAGGTTTTTACAATCCATTCAATCTGTCTTTTATTAATGTTAAATGGACTGATCAATTTAGATATAGCTTAATTAATAATGTAATCTCATCATCATATGCCATATATTGCGATAGAAATAATGCGTGAACAATATGTAATTTTTATACTACTTTATCATCACTATACTCATTTTTGAATGACGAGCAGCGATGACTAGCCATATCTTTTTAACAATTAACTGTATTTATTTATTTGTATATTTTATTTTGCTTGTCTATTTATTTGATTATTTTGATTTTACTTGGCTTTGATAATAAAAGAGTTCACATTAGTTTTCAGGGGTATCAACAATACACACATCGCAATAGAAAACTGAGATTTATGGTAACCATAAATATTGTTGTTATGCAATTTTACCTGACAAATTAGTAATGAAACACTATGTCCCGCAAAACTTAAAAATAAAACTATTGAACAAAAAATGAAAATGTTCTAGACAAAGTAGTCCATGCAGTGATTGAATCACATATTCAATGCATATTAAGATTAACCAACTGACGATCAAAACTAGTGGCATACATATTCAATATTTTCATTTTGAATGAAGTTGTATCATATGGAGTTTTATTAAACTCCCGTTCAACGTGTGAACACTGACGACGTTCTCTCAAGTTTCTACATCCACATTTGTGCGCGTTGTTGAAAGAATGTACAATTTATTAATGTTTATATTTGTACAGGCAGCATCTTGAATTAATAACAATATTTTGCATTTCCTACTGAGTTTTCCTTGACATTTTGCAAGTATTTGTTGTCAGTTAATAACAAATAATTTCACTTTTACAAAACAAGGTAGTAAACCATCGGAGATGGAAAAATCTTTGTTCATTTAGCATGAATTCTGATTCGCAGCTGTTGGTAAATAATGTCGTCGTTTTTATGTGGTGGTTGTTGTCATTTTTAATTTTGATGTTGATTCTGTTGATTTAATTTAATTTTTATCTTTGTAGTTTCTGTTTTAAACTTTCTTATATAACATAACATTTTTAAAATTGTTGCTTAAACTGTTAATAAACTGTTTTAATTTCTATGGATTGAGTGATATTTTAAGCTTTGAAAAAAATGGCTGCCAAGGATTCTCCTTCTCGCGTTAAACAAATTCCCTCAGGCTCTCCAGGTTAATATTACAGCAACTTGTTTTTATATTGTTGGAAATTATTATTTATTAGGGTTCAGATTTTGTAGAATTTAGTCTAGCATTTATTTTGAAACTCTAAACAAGAGAATTTTCAAAAAGTCCTTTTTTTTTAATTTTTTGTTTTTATTGCTCAGCTAGCTAAGAAGTCCAAGTGTGTGTCTGTTGAGTTTTGTTATTTTGAGTTATCTCAATAAAATGTAAGCCTCAAATGAATTTTCACTAGTTGTTATTTCGTTTCCATCATCATAGGCATGCCATGCAAGATGCAAATACATTGATTAGTTTATTTTTATTTTATTAATTATTTCATTAGTTTTTTTGTTAGAAAAATTAATAATAATTAATTAATTATTATAATAATACAAATACTAATAATAATACTAATACTAATAATAATTATTAGTTAGTTCTTTGTTAGTAGTTAATTGAATTTTAGTAAAATAAAGACTATAAATATTTTCTAAGTAATCAGTGTAAGTAAGTTTAGCTCTATTAAGTATATTAAAATAATAACAACTGCAATTTATTAAATTGTAAATTGAACTATAACATTTTTAAGTGTCAGCAAGTGGAGTTAAGTTGAAAGGGCAACCAGTCCAAGTAGTGGAAGCAAAAGATGATCACTTGTTTGAACTCAATGAAGAAGCACTATCAGAGATTTTAATGAATCCAAATGTGAGAGACAAGAAAGTGGTGGTCTTATCGGTTGCTGGAGCCTTCAGAAAAGGAAAATCATTTTTTCTTGACTTCTGCCTGAGGTATCTCAATGCTTATGTAAGTATTATATCTTTTGTTCATGTTTATTATTTCATATTCATTTATTTAACTTTAATTTATTTGCAACTTTGTGTTATAAACATGAAATTTTATTTAAAATAATAAAAGTAAATTTTTGATATGTTTGTATCATTACTGAACTATTTTAAATGTAAGTTAATAGTTAAAAAATTAATAATCTGAAGAACTCAGCGGATTGGCTGGGTGATGAGGATTCCCCTCTCGATGGCTTTCCATGGAGAGGTGGGGCAGAAAGGGACACAACTGGAATTTTGCTTTGGAGTGAACCATTTACCATGACAATCCCAGAAACTGGAGAAGAGGTTCTAGACCAACTCATCATTTATTCTTTAATTGCTTAAAGTTAAACACTGTATTAAAGTAATTTCCGTGGTTGTTGTTGTTTATTTGGTTTTATGTCTATTTTTTAGCGTTAGATTGGTTCAATTTTAAACCTTTTAAATATATCCAGCTACCATGCAGATGCACAAAGATGTTAACACATATGATAAATAAATAATTAAAATTTGATGATCTTTGGACAGGTTGTTGTCTTATTAATGGACACCCAGGGAGCTTTTGATAGCTTATCAACTGTTAAAGACTGTGCTACTGTTTTTGCTTTAAGTCAGCTGCTGAGTTCTGTGCAAGTATTCAACATAATGCTGAACATACAAGAAGATGATCTACAACACTTACAGGTGCTTAATTACACACACAAACACACACACACACACACACACACACATATATAATATATATATATATATATATATATATATATATATATATATATCATCACCATCATCATCATGCACGTTTATCGGTGCCCAACCGTAGGAGGCACAAAAAGCCCAGGGCTTATATATATTTATATATATACATAATATATATATGTTGGTAATAATATATATATGTATATATATATATATATATATATATATATATATATATATATAATTTTCTCTCCCTCCCTCTCTTTCTCTTTTCTCTCTCTCTCTCTCTCTCTCTATGTATAATATCTCATAATATCTCATAGTAGATATTTATATATATATATATATATATATATATATATATATATATATATATATATATATATGGAGAGAGAGAGAGAGAGAGAGTGAAAGAAAGGAGACCATATTTAATATAATATTTTATAAATTCTACTGAATTCTTAACATTAATTTGCTTGTGGTCCATCTTATCCTCCTAATATTTTTCTGTTAATTATTTTGTTATTAAATTAAGTTTACAATTCTTAATTCAGCTATTTACAGAATATGGTCGACTGGCCATGGAAGATAGCAATGCCAAACCTTTTCAAGTTGGTTACCTGTTTAATTATTTTCACCTATTTTTTAAATTTTTATATTTCTTTAATGAGCTTCACTGATAACAATTTTTCAAAACCCAGTTTGGGTGCAAGGAGTTTCTATGTATCATATAACTAAAACTCAAAATAATTTTTTAATCATAATTAAATTATGATTTATTGAACCATTTACTATATTCGTAGTAATAAGTAGGGGGGCATATTAGTAAACTCGCAAATTACCAATCAACCCTAAAAAATGAGGCTGAGAACCACTGTACTGAAATGTACAATCTGCTATTCTGCCCATATGCACATCTTTAAGCTTTGTCTTTGTTAAAGTTTAAGAGTGTCTGCCTTTGAATGCTGTGGAAATAATACCAAGTAAATTACGGTGGTTTAATAAATATTCCATGAACATCTTCTGATGTGATTATTTAATGCAAGGGCTTAAATTATATATATTATTACTTTTCTCATTGCAAAGGCTTAAATTATATATATTATTATTTCTCTCATTATTAAATATAATCATCATCTTTATGTAATTGCTTTATGAGCTGAGATGTAATGACCTGCTATTTAATGTTTTGTTGTATTAAGATTCTTTGAAATAATTATTCATGTAGATGAATATTGCAAACCTTAGATCATATTAATAACTACCTGGCATAACACAATTATAATAACCAATTGGTAATTATCAACTAATTAATATATATATAATATATATATATTTATATAATTAATTGCTTGAAAGTTTTGTTCATTCCATAGGACTTGCACTTTTTTGTTCGAGATTGGCAGTATCCATATGAACATGATTATGGAAATGTTGGAGGACAGGAACTGATTGATAAGCGACTCAAGGTCCTCTATGTTCAACATATTTCATTTTTTATTTATTTCATTTTTTGCTCGTTTGTTCATCTCACCATTGACATGTGATGGGTCCAGTAGTTGATTTTTTGTCAATAGAATGACTTGATGCTTGCATTACTTATGTTCAAATTGAAATTATAATCTTTATTCGGAGACATTTGATAACTGTTTAGTAATTGAGGCAATGTTAAATTTGTTGCCCCTTGTTTTGTCACAATTTTTAATCAGCAATTACCGTCACTAGTAAATCTCAAGTATTATATAAAATTGTTAAAAGCATTTGCGTTTGTCATTCTCTGAGTTGTTAGCTGCTTGGAAAAAGTACCAGTTATTGTTTTTTATGTTGGAAGCCAGAAAAAACTGAAATATTAAATAATTTTTTATCTCCATTCTAGAATGCGAAAATAATTTTAAAAAACTTTTCAAAGGATAATAAGATTATAAATGCTTGCTCTTAACCATTCCCTAGAACAGATAGTAGAAGGCCAGCATTCAGAATTAGAACAATTGCGAAGGCACATTCGATCATGTTTTCACAAGATTGGTTGCTACCTCATGCCACATCCTGGTCTCAAAGTGGCCACCAATCCATATTTTGATGGCAGATTGTCAGGTCAGTTCCATCAAGATTTTCATGCATTTTTTTCTAGGAAGTGTTGTTTGGAATTAAGGTGAACTTTTAAAATATAAGCTCTCTGCTGTTATTCATTTTATATTTTGGATGTAATGTTGATTGAGAAAAATCATTGCACCGTAGTTAATTTAATCAACGTAATATTAGATATCACTCCAGAATTCAAAGAGCATTTGAAGAAATTCATACCAGCTCTCCTGTCTGCTGACAAACTTATTGTTAAAGAAATCAATGGCTCCAAAATTACTTGCAGGGAACTTTTGGAATACTTCAAAGTTAGTTCTCAGTCTTTTTCAAGATCAGAAAACATTCAATCTTACATATTCTGCTGATTTTTATTTAAATTCTATTGAATGTACAGCATCTGCTCAAAACTTATTTGATCTTCTAGTTTATCTCAATTTACTGCATAGATAGGCCTAGATAGGCACAAACAGAGCAGTAAATTTTTTTGATAGATTCACAAGCTCGTTTATAGTTTATGATAATAACTCTTAATGGAATGATTAAAACTTTTTTCTTTATATATTCACGGTATGCAATGCATCATGTTTCTCAAACATTTTAGGCTTACTTGAAAATGTATCAAGGAGATGAGATTCCAGAGCCAAAGTCAATGCTCATTGTTAGTTTTATTTTTTTGTTAAATCAATAGTTTATTGGCTTCTTTGTTTTCTTTGCTTCTTAGGAACTAATATAAATTTGTAGGTTTGTATTAATAGTGTTAAAAAGAAAAAATTGTGTACCTTCAATTACTTGCACTTAGACCGAATAAAGTTATTATGTGTACTCCATGTAGTTTAATTTACATGACATATTTGTACAGGCCACAGCAGAAGCCAACAACTTGAGTGCTGTTGCCAATTCTAAAGAACATTACATAAAAGAAATGGAAGAGGTGGTGATATCTTTAACATTGCAGATTTTTACCACGGAATGTTTTCAGTTTGCTGAAATCACAATATTTTTAAAATGTTCTGATTAATAAAACAATCAAATATTTGTGATGATTCAATTAAAAAATGTAGAAACATTTTTCAAATATAACATTGCAATCAATCATTTTACATGTGACTTCAATTTTACACATTTATTATCTGAAATTTAAAATTTGTTGGACCAGATTTGTGGCGGGAATCGCCCATACGTTAATCCCGAAATCCTTCTCTCTCAACATGTTCGGTTCAAAGATTCGGCAATAAAGATGTTCGATACATGTCGAAAGATGGGTGGCACAGAGTTCAGTGCATCCTACCGACAAAAGCTAGATAAAGAAATAGCTGAGCAGTACGAATATTTGATTAAGCACAACGAGTCAAAGAACGTTCTAGCTGCAGCCAAAACACCAGCTGTTCTCTTCTGCACCATAGTTGCCTTCTATTTTTTAAATGGAGTGATGAACATTATTCATTTGACTCCATTAGCAAATTTATCCAACCTTATTATGTTGATTGCCATCGGGGTGTTGAGTGTATGGGTCTACACCAGGTACACAGGTGAGATGAGGGAGCTGGGAGAAAGCATAGATGATTTGGCATCTGCACTCTGGGAAAATGTGAGTTTTACTCCATTTTTTTTAATTTTTTATCACAAAATTTTACGATATCTATCTGTGTAATTTTTTGTCTGTCTCTTGATTCCCCGTGGTATCTACCGCCTCTGCATTTTTACTACGTCTGCAGTTTCATTCAGTCTTAGTAAAATTTGCTAAAATTGGTTTGAACAACATTACACTGGAATAAATTTTGTAAACATAAAAGAATGTGTTGAAATTTAACATTAAATTTAACGAAGACTTTTTAGTTAGTATACTGTAGGTTTAAAACGTCATTTTTTTAAACACCGCATCCATTGATATTTTAAAAAGTTGCCTCCCGTCAGCTTATATTGTATGTTTTTAATGAACTATGTATCACAGGATGTTTAATCATTTTTGTTGATTTCATACATTTTGTAGTTCATTGGACCAGTCTGGTTGAAGTTGTTGCAAGGTGGTAATCAGCAGATGATCCAACACTCCATCACAACCACCGCCAACAATAGAAACACTTTCAGCAAGAAGAGCAGCTGATAAGATTTTGTCGTCGGGAAATTACCTTCAAGAGTATTCTAACTAACGACAAGCATATATTTTCTTAACGAGATGCTTCTATTTATTTCTATCTCAGTATGTTACAATACGTCATATGGTTTCATGTTTTATTGCCAAATTGTGAATAGAGTATATTGATGTTAAATTATTGAGATTCGTTCTAGTGGAACGCTGCTCACTCTTTTTTTTTATTTAATTTATTCGAACTGCAATAATCTTTTGTCGCAAGATTTATGAGCATGTATTTTTCAAATTACCGGATTGAACTTTTATTGAATTATTCACTTTTCGTTACCTACGACTTTCCCAACACGCAAATGGACACCAACAACTCCCTCTTATTGCGCTATTGTCACATTATTGATATTTCATTGTTATATATATATATGTGAATCAACTAAAATGAATCTGGACAGTATTTGATTCAAACTGACCACCAGCACGTGCACCGATTTTCTTAAGTGGGCATTCGTTGTCTTAAGGTTTTTCAAAGTGAGCCAGTCGTGTTCATGTTAGAGCCAGTTTTTTTTACATTGAATACATGAAGATTTGTTAGCAATGATGTGCCTTTATCTAATTTCAGAAGTGGTTCTGGTGCTTATTTTGATATCAAACGTCGCGAATACTTATAATACAGGCCTTCCCCATGTCACACAATGCTGAAAAAATTGGAAGATGTGACGTGGCAATGGATGTAGATGTCCAAAGAAGGCAAATGAAGTTGACATGTGCGAAACTAAATGGTAGAAATAGGTAATAACACGCGACCACATAATATTCCACCTGTTCATAAAAGCTTGCGTGCACTTTCCATTTAACGGACGGATAGTTCAATCATATGATGTTTTTTAATGAATGATATATGTCCGTTTGTTTTTTGTTTATATTCATGAGGTTTGTTGTGTTCAATTTTTTTGGAATAATTTTATTTTAAAAATGATTTTTATAAACGGATATTTCACGTGCATTCTTATTAAAAATGCATGCTCTTTATTGCAAACACAACGGCATGTTCAGACGTGATGTTGTACAAATAATTATATTCTTCGTAGGCATATAAAAATTGACAACTCCAAATTGAATCAAATCCAATTGCATTTTATAAAACATATCTTAAACAATGCAAAACTGAAAAGTCTTAAAAATTATATTTGTAAATTAAAAACGTAAAAAATGATTATAAGTAAACAATTTATTGGCATTATAAATTATGAAATCAATAACCATGCGACTATTTATCTATCACTAACAACTGTACACGCTAATTTATCTGCCTGGTGGCGGGTCAACAACAAACTCACCAACTCAAAGCATGTGAGTGCGAATGGTGCAAATAAAGTTGTACCAGTTGTTTGAAATTTAGACAGTCAGTAAGAAATTATAAGTGATACTTCACATTATTTTGCTGTGAAAAATTGGTGACGAAATTAACAGAATCATACAAAAAACAGTTCAAGCAAGCAGTGACAAGAGGGAATTGGCATAAGCCATAGGTCTGACGTTCGGGTGAGGCTGTTGATAAAAATTTAAAAATAATTTTTAATAATTTTATTTTCCCTAAAAGAACAACTACAGGCCAACAAAAATTTTTTGTGCCAAACATTTTGAAGCTAACTTCAGCCATATGAAGTCGTTTTTTCTATCAGCTATTATTTTATTTGCCAAGTTTGATAAAGAACTTTCCCAAACCCTGGTTTGGAATGTCACTAAGAATTAACTTTTTAAGCATTTAGAAATTATATATGTTTCATTGACAAACATTTTGTTGATATCTGTATATAAAAATATTTTTTAAACTTATAAAAAAAAATAAAATTTATTACTACTTTACTAAAAACAAATCATTAAAAAAGATAATTAGAAAAAATTTGAGCTCAAGGAAAAAAGCTGAAGATTTTGAATAGCAAAATTTGCAATGTAAAATCGTAAAAAATTAAAAATTTTATTAAAATAATTTGTTCTATATATTACCTTATTATTTTACATTTATTTCCCCTTATTTAACTTTATTTTATTATTTACATATTTTCTCGCGTGTTGTAACATTTTCTTCGTTTGACAGAGAATGAATTTTGAAGAATGAAAACAGATTTTAAATCCAGAGCATTAAATTGATAAAAAGATCAGCTCAAAATATCCTGGCACTAAAATAACCGTTAACCTGTAATTTAGAGAATTTTTGCAGAGATCAGATTGAACACAAACTAACTAACAAGTTGTTGCTTGTGTGTGTTGGTTAATTAACTGATTTAAAGTTATTAAAATGAAAATACGAGGATTATTTCTCTTGAAATGCTAACCACAGCTTCGTAAGATGTAAACTTTGGAGTTAAGTCTCCACCTTTCAATGTTACAAACGCCCCTTTGTTGCCCATGGTATCACTGTATAATGAAATATATACTCTTGTTATTATTAAAACAACCAGTAAAATGAAACAAATAAGATTAACTTGTAAAAGAAATAAGAACTAGTGAAAAACAAGAATTGAAATATGCAAATATGGCATAGTTATCGGCACAACTGACCAATAATTAGGAGCAGAGAAAACAGTGATGCATTGACCATTGTGGGCCACTTCGTAGCCAGCTTGTTTCACTTCATGGCTTCTTATTATATACTTCAAGTTATTCTTCTCCAAGAACTTTTTGGTGACGTCGGGACCGAATTGTATTCCCACTCCTCGTTTGCTCGGCGATCGACCATTTTGAGGCTGCGGATCAGACCATAACAACTCACACATGAGACCTGCAGTCAGCCATTCAATCAAAAAAACATGCAATGGTAATTTTTAAATTCTTTGACCAACATCTGCATCACAAAAAATCCCTAATATGTTATAATTGTATACCTAAACACATGTGTAGTACAAATAAAAAGACGTACTAGGCACTGCTCATAATACAATTAATTCACCAATCATTGGTGATGACACTTAAGCAGACATCATTATATTGAACTTCATTGCTCAATTGTGTGATGCCTCCTACGATCACATGTGAACTTTGGGAGCGCAATGAGCTAAATAAGGCACGTGGGTAGTTTGACTTGATGTAAAAGTTTCTATAAGATGTTTCTTGAAAAGTTGAATAGTGAAATATGAGCATTAACCATTAATAGGACTACGTTGATGTGCAAAATAATGAACAAGATAGAGGTAGATAATACAAAATGCAAACGTTCGATGAGTAGAAATGAAGTGGGTGATGTTTCGATGAACTGAAACCTTAAAGCAGTGAGATTCAGCAAAAATCAGCCCGTTATGAATATGCAGAAGGAAAGTTAAGTTAATAAGCCACAGTGAAAAGAACTGCAACGGTACACAGTAGTGATGTGCCAAAAAATTCTGTCAGTAAGTTTTCAACAACGGCATGTGGAAGAAATACAATGTTTGTCAAACCTTCTATCTAATTATAATTATAACGCGGAATTAAAAGCGGGACTGAAGTGCTTCATTTCGAGACTCTGTGGACTGTTTATCATGTCTCGAAGTTTACAAAAATATTATCGTTAGAGAATTTGTGCTGTTTTAGAGATTTTTGCAGCATTTGGTTTAAGATAGTGTTGCATAGCTAATACCAAATAGTTCACAGTAAAGCTGCATAGATTCAAAAAGTTTTGCAAACCCTTGCAATCTTCAATGATGAGTATGCATAACAAATTTATAAAATTACAAAATGGAGTTTTAAATAAATTTTTTAACGTTCAAGAAGTGTTTCAAGAAGCACATATAAGAAAAATACAAGTTATAAAAGAAATATGGAAGACTTTATATCAAGACAAGGTAGATAAACAAGATTAAGAGGCAGATAATATATGTTAAAAGTAATAGAAAATGAACGAAATGATGACCAGTTTAAACTTGAAAGCCTGTGCAACTTATGTTCAGAGCATAATAAAGCTGCAAAAAAATAATTTATAAAAATTCTATAAACAGCAGTGGGCCAGAGAGAAAATACCCAGAAGAAAACAAGAACGTCAGAAGGTTGGTATAAACAAAATAAGGAATGAACAATGCAGTAACAAAAATAAATAAGGAGAGCATTTAAAAATTTGCTCTTGCTGAAAAACATGACTAGATTTTGGGATGAAACTGGAGAAGGTTTGATAGATTTCAACTAGTATTGACATTTGAATAAACATCATTCTATTGTCGCATTGCCAAATTTGTATATACCTCTTATAACCAATCATAAGTTGGCTTCAAGAGCGCAAACTTCATTGCCTTTCTATCTTCAAATAATTCTTTAAATTATTTCAACTTAATGTGTTAAATTTTTAAATCATTGGTAAAAAATCATCTTCCCTTTTCAAAATGATAAGATCTAAATTTTGGAATATCACAATGAAAGAAAAAATAGTCAGCATATGGGTTTTCATCAAAAGATTGCGATCCAGCATAACACTGAAATACGTTGCTGGGTGTTTGAGATCATCTACCTGGCCAAGTTTATAAGTTATTCCCAACTACTGTGCTGAGTTTTCTAATGTAAAGTTTCAATATATGCTGCCAGAAATGAATTGTAAAAAAGATTTTTTTAGGCGCAACACTGCATTTACCAAATCTTAAAAAACGGTAATGTTGAGCTGAAAATAAAAATAAAGTTTTTTCAAAAAAGAAACGTAGATGCATCGTAATAATGTTAAAATGGATGATATGATGAAATATCGGATGTTAACATCAAGGCGAACCAGCAACAGAAGATGATAATTTGCATATAAATAACACATCATATCGACACATAAATAAAGTAACCCACGATGTTGACATATAAGTGACGTAATGTATGACGTAAGCACGTAAGTGAATTAACATGGAGTGTTAGCCTTGAAGTAATAAAGTATCATGGGATGTTAAAATAAAAAATGCAACAAACCTGATTCGGGTGGTTGTCTGTTTCTCTCAATCTTTCTCAAGTCGTCGAGTGTCACGTTATCATCAGAGAACAATCCTCCATGCATCACCTTCAGGGTTTTAAGGCATTTCAAATTAAAATGCAGTCAACTTTATAGTGGTTGGTTATAATAATCTTTTTCATCAAAACAAGATCATAAAAAGTTTGAGGACATTATTGTTTCAAGATAGATATATATAAAGAAGAAACTGAAATACAAAAGCAAGAAACGGTCAGTCATATTGCAATCTAATGAGGAAATTAAATGAAGTTTATAAGAACACGCCAACCAAAATGCTGTTATTGATGCAGTGGGATAATGGCAGCAGGTTGTAGACTTCTGTAAAAAGTGTGGCCATCTGGCCTGTATACCTGAAAACATAGAGCATATTTATTTTATAATGCATTCATTCATAACTTTTTGTATGTTTTGACCAGTGAAAATACAAGCATTTTCAGTTCGTTCTTAAGCAAATAAACTTTTTTAATTTGAACAGTTTATTATTTCAAAGAAAAGCAAAATTACCGCTATATTTTACGAAACTTTTAATGTTAAAATCTAATTCAAGTTTTTGTTCATGATTTAGCAAACAAATTATGTAACTAATAAGCAGCAATTAATGAAAAATGGATGAACGCAATAGAACTAATAATTTTGAAATATGTATAAAAGTGAAAAATTAAGTTACTTTGATTTCACTTCCCCATCAAAACCATACATTTGATTCATTGTCTCACTCTCATGATTTCCTGGTTTTGAACGTAGGAAAAGAGTTTGAAGATGCAACATATATGAAATGCAATACTTATCTAATTTAAAATATGATACGAACTTTATGAATCTGCGTCGACATAATGCCACAACACGATGTGACTAACATGAGTAGGAGGAAAGAAGGAAAAAAAAATTTGATTGATGGCAAAAGGGATTTGAATGTAGAAATTATTATAGTATGCATGTTTAGCATGCAAAACTTGCAAAAGAATTGCCTTTGTGAAGAGAATACTCAGAAAGATGTAAATCCATTTTAAACAACCATAAAGTCAGTGTTTATTACAATTTTATTATATAAAAATTTAAAATATTTACAAGTCTCATTTTTCACTGCTCTCAATCCATTTGGATTCGGACACTGCTGAGTAAGCAAGCAATAAAATCACAAACACCATAATACAGTTTCTTTGGTATATTTGGGCTGGCATCACGCTTAGTGACTTTACTAAATTCACCAACTTTGGCTAAGTTCATGGCGCTGTCTTTCAGGATTTCTCATAAAAAAATCTGGCTGTGAGGTTTGGTGAATAGGAAGGATACCCAACAAAATCCCTTTATCCAATATACATTAACATTGTCAAACATAAAACTCTCCATCTTCATAGCCTACTCTGGTGCCTGGTATACATGACTGTAGCAGAACGTTCAAGCAAGTGGGATCTATCATAACTTTAGTAAAAAATGGTCCAATTAATCCTTTTGACACTCAACCACGCCAAACAGTCAAGAGTATCATGTTGATTATGGCCTCGAATTATACTTGTAAGTATTTTTACATTTCTTTAAATATAATGCTTGCAATTATTTAAAATGTGTATACTAGTTAGTGAATAGCACAGTTTAAACTTCAAAACAACAGTCTTTTATTTCAAGTTTGCACAAGAATGCTTAACTTGGCAGAAGAAATAATTTGCAGAAGATCTGAATGAGATCCTATTCTTTCAATCGGAAAACAATGTCATAGTCGAATTTTGAAAAAAAATTACTTTTTGAAAAACATTAACTATCTAATAATATAATAAACAAACAATTATTAAAAGTACATATATATCTATGTATAACTCTAATTGGAATGATGTTTGGCCAACCAACCTCTAGACATAAAGAAATGGTTAGGATACAACAACTTGAATGTTAACAAGGTGAAAATACACTCAACGGAGAATGATCCTCGATCAACAAAATCCCCATTGAACAACTGCGGCGAAGTTTCATTAATATAGTTAACTAAACAAGTCAGCCGTATGTTATCATTCATTTATTCTTCAAATACATTGTTCATCAACACGATTATCAACAACATCATCCACCTAAAACAGATTGTAGAGAGGTGTACTATTAAATGGACACCTCAAAAATTGTATGGCTTTCATTTAATTTTTCAAACTGCAAAAGGGGAAACTATGAACAACTGGTTATTAAAGTGCTAGTTATTAAGCTTCATGAATTTTTTATTAGCCTAATATTTCTGGTAGATTAATAAAACAGAACCATATTATAGATGGTACTGCATTATTCATTCCACTAAGGACATATTAGTTAGATAAAAAGAGCTTATATCCTCTCACCACACCCAACAAAAAACATAAAAAATATCAGCTACATATGAAGAGTATATTAGAGGAAAATTGAAAATAAATCAACCAAAACAGAGCTTACATATGGATTGTCAGCCGATGGAATGCCATTGAGTTCAAATATATTCATCAAGTCATAGAACTGTCCATGAACATCGCCGCACACAGTAAACTTCTTGCCCTATGCAGAAATGTTTTCAAACTTATTTTTTATAATTTTGTATATTGCTTTTCTTAAGTTTTAGGATAAAATTTGCATGTTAAGTACATACATAGCAACTCATTATATTATGTTAATGATGTTCGCTGTCATTACAATCTTTTTAATGCAACTCGAGCTGTTTTAAACTTCTTCCCTAATAGACAAAAACATTTTTAAACTCTCATTCACTGTTTTTATAAATAAAACTTTAAAGTCTCAATAAATCTAAAATTGAAAAAAGTATAAAAAATGATTTTATGGAAAACTTACATCATCAACTTTTATATCAACCATAGAACACTGCTCAGAGAAATATTTTCTTGCGTCTAGCAAAATCTGAAAAAATAAAAGTTTCATAATACGTTGATAACATTTTGGTCTTAATGTATGAAAATCAATACTGTGTAAGCATATTTCCTATGAAGCTTTTTTTGATCTTTGTACGCTTTCATTAAATCCAATGCAAATTTCAGACTGACTTTCTCCTCATTTTCTAGTCTTGGACCATCGTAATCTGACTCAACAGCTGCATTATTTAATTTTTCAAAAAATATATTATAGCTTGAGAAATATATTATAGCTAGAGAAATGACTGATAAGAAATACAATTAAAACTAGCTGTAGGGATGAAAAACTGAAAAAATTACATATGGTAGAAAGATTGATTTGATCGACAACAGATTTCTTTTTTTCCTCAACAGATATTGCCTTCTCAAAAGCTATTCTTGTAACAATTTTGTTGCATTCATTGTATTTTTTCTGAGCATCTTTATCAGTTGGATGACTCTTTGTCACTGCTTCAAAATCTTTAAGAGCTAATTTAAATTTACCAAGTGCCATGTTAGCAGTGGCTCTTCTGTAGTATGCCTTTTAAATAAACAAATAATCAAATTAATAAAAGTAGAAAGCATAATTTAAAAAAAAAATTAATTTACTTTAACATATTTAGGATCAAGTTTTATAGCTTTGTCTGCATCAGCCAATGCATAACCATAAAACTCTGTTTTTATATATGCAAAACTCCTGTTTCCATAATAGGAAGCAACAAAAGGGTTTAGTTCAATAGCCTTTGTATACAAGTCGATAGATTTGTCATAATCTTTTTCTGAAAATTAGAAAAGTTAAATATGCAGTTTTTGTTTTAAATTAAATTACTTTAATAAAATTAAATATATAATCTTCCAAGTCAATATAACAACACTTCAGCATACAATATTGCTTAAAAACAAAAGTTAAAACATTGATGCATGTCTGAAGAAGTCTAATTAAGTAAAGAAGCAGTTGATTGTTTGGTTTGATTCATTATAAAAATGCAAAAAGTTAAAATTAAACCATTTTCTTTTAATATAAATGAATTCAAAAGTTTTCTCACTGTTTTTTTTTAAATGAATTATTTTGCAGGGTATGCTGTGAATAATTTTGTAGTGGCAAATTTAATTCTGAATGTGCCTTGTGCTGTGCTAAATTGAATTATAAAACAAAATAAGAATGACACTATTAATATTAGCAATAACTACAATAATGTAATGAACTGTGCTCGGCTGCTAACAGGAGAAAAAAGAGAAAAGGATCATTCATAATTTCAAACCATTTACCCCATATAAGGCATAAACACAAACAAACCCACAAAAGAAGAAAGCAAAGAAGCACAAGGCATTCATAAAAATAGTTAATCCAATACTTTTAAAGTGATCATTCGCTTTTTCTTTGAGAGCATCTGCCGATTTTTGTACATCTTCTGGTACTTCATCAATTGACAAGTAACTGAACGCGGTCCCGTTTGCAAATAGCACGTCACATTTGTTGGGTTTGTCATTCAAAATATCCGCGTCTGCCATGTGTTATTGCAGTTAAATTTTTTGCAATTAAAACCTAGATGACACAATATATTTTTGTGTTCGAAACGCCGCTAAGTAACAAAGAAGTATGACAAAGGAAGAGAGCCGCACGACGAACCACACGAAGAGAAAAACAGTGAAAGGTATGAAATGACAGCAGAACGTTAGGAACGATGACAGCGCTTATTACGTGCTATAATGTGTTGCTTTGCATGTGGAAAGAAAATATACTTGGAATAGAAATTAGAATACTTAATAAAATAATTTTTTTAAAGTTGATTGCATTGATTTACATGATATACATATATAAATTACATAGTAGATTACATACATATATATATATAGAGAGAGAGAGAAAGAGAGAAATATATATTACACATTAGACAAATTACGTTATCAACAAAATCTATAAAATTTATACCTGGTCAAAAATTTGAGCGAAATTTAACATTTTGGGAGTTGGCTTCAGTCATTTTTAAGCCGAATAAAAAAACGTTGTACTTTTCGTTTAAATTAAGTTTTGTATTCCCGAACAATGATTGTTGAGTATTATTTTAGTAAATTAAAATTAACTATTCAAACATATCATCCTTGTTTTTTGATTTTCTGTGCATGCAAGTGTCATAAAAGCGGCACAACACCGAAAAAATTATTTTGGCCATCTGAATTTATACAAGTGATTGAATATAATCTTGCTAAAAAATTGTTCGATAGGCATGAATCGCTCCGTTTTTTACCAACTTGTTTTTCATTCTTTCTTTTCTTTGGAACTCTCTACCTATTTCTCTGACTACTTCTCCATCACTTGCGAAGTTCAGAGCGGATCTCAAGACCCATCTGTTTTCAAAATTCATTGAGGAGCGCTGTTGAACATCGCGGAAATAGCGCTTTGTAAGCTAATTGATAGATTGATTGATTGATTCTGAAATTTTTTTTTTCAAAATTGCTAGTATTTCTGTATTCTGCCTTCCGCCTCGGCTATATCAATTATTCAAACATATCATCCTTGTTTTTTGATTTTGTGTGCATGCAAGTGTCATAAGAGCGGTGCATCACGTGTCTTGGAAAACAGTTCAATCAACTAACCAAAAAAATTATTTAATCGTTTAAATCGGAAATTGAAAAATGTTAGAGTCATTAATTAAATTAACTAAAAAAAACTTTAAAAATAAATAAAAAGATAACACGCGCAATTTTTTAAAAGAAAATAGATTTTTAGTTCACCAATTGGTGTCTTTTTACACACTGTACATCGCATGTTAGTAGTGAGATTTAGTTTTGTGCTCCTCTTGTCATTAGCTTTTATGTAGCAGTTTAACGAATACAAATAAAAAAATTCAAATAATGTTAACATTAGTATTTTTATAAGTTATAAAAATACGATTACCGATAAATAAATATATAGATGAATGAAATAATGAATAAAATAAAACAAGCAAAAATAAATAAATATATATAAAAATTTATATTATATATGCATACAATGTATACATACATACAAACAAATATACATATACAATATATATATATACATATAACAAAACACGGATAAAATTGAAGATGTTTAAGTTTTTTTAAATTAATAGCATGTGGTAAGATATCTAAAAAAAATAAAATGAACCACGTAAGCAGACGGAATACAACGTTACAACTAAAATATAATATCAGCCAAGCAAATTGATCCGTTACGAATAATAATTTTTGAATACCACATTAATATAATTTATTTATTGCTTTATAAATAATTTAGACTGAAGAAAAAAATCGATATACAATATGTTGGTATTTAGTTGAAATTAATTTAATTGGTCATTAAGAATCTTTAAAAATGTTCACCCAGCCAGATAACTTGATAGATGCTTTCCAATCATTTTATTGTGTTATTACGTCGCAAGTAAACCATTGATAGCTGACTGAGATTCACTCGTTGTTGGATTCCTGTAGTGCGACAATAAGCCTATCAACGAGCACGGACAACACCTTATCGAGGGGGTCCATGCAACCGCGCTGCAACCATTTTGGAATGGTTAGTCTGGCATGTTGAAATCCTAACTTATGCAATATGTAATCTACCCCTACAGGGTCGATCTCTTTGCCACCCCACGACAACAACCTATGATGAATTCAAAAAGTTTAAAGTTTACCAGTTTAACATCTTAACGATAAATGTACTAATACGAATAATTCATAATGTCTATGAAGCGATCAAAATATTATAATCTATAGTCACTATTATGAAAATTTGATAAAACACAAGATAAAATTGATTTCAACAGAACCTAAAACCTGTTCTAAAGAGCATAAACGAAGCAGTATAAACGAAGAAATTAAATAACGAAGAAGTTAACGAATAGCTACTAACTTTAAGCCTCATATTATAAATATGAAAATAACCGAAATTTTCAATGAATAATAATTCCTTACCTGACAAATGTTTTCATAACTTAAGTAGATTGCTTTTTTTAATTTACACAAAATCGTTTCACCTGACAGTTGGTTCCAAGTGCCAAGTCTTGCAGTCGAATACTCTGGAATCGAGTTTTAATATTTTTGTTGGATTATCCATACTCGGTTTCTCTGATTCGGTTGATCGCTGAAGTTTCCCATCCGACATTGAGGCAAAAGTAGCTGAAAATTAACGATCAGGGCTAAAAATTTGTCGATAAAAAAATGATCTCATAAAATTTGAAAAGCAAAGCTTAAAATGCATGTTTTGCATTCCTTGTAAGGGATTCGGTACGAACGACAATTTCTAGCCAGTTTTATCTGATAAAAATAGAAAAAAAGGAGAAAGAGAGAGAAGAGAGAAAATCATGAAAAGATACATGAACGGTGGATTACTTCCAAAATTGAATGCTACAACTATAGACAATTATTTCAAATTTAGAGTCAGTAAGGAATGATCTGGTTTTTAACTGTATTGAACAAACTAACTAAATAAATTTCCATAAAAGTCTGCTTTTGCACCACTAGCTAAATTTGTAAAATATTTAAGCTACCAAATATTTAATTCCCATAAAAAATTAATTTAACTATTTTTGATAGTAATGACTCCCAACAATTAAAAAAATAATAATAGTTTGAAGTCAGCTAACTTTGGCCTTTCTCTTTAATGTAGTTGGTGATGAGATCATGAAGGAAGAGGACAGCTTCCGCATCCATTGCAACGAATATGTGGTCATCGAATTCTGTAACAAAGCTGCATTCCACTACTGGTTTCGCATCTAACAAACAAGAATTTACAGACTCTTCAAAGTTACTATATAACAAATCGTCCTGCCAATTCACAATATCAATGAATGCAGTTAACAAATCAAAAACGCTGAACGTCCACCAACCCTCATCTGACGGCTGTTGATATTGTTGGTAGTGAACTGTTTTTAAATTCATTTGAAATGAAGGCAGCATGAATATGATTTCTGTGTCATGTTTGTACTCAGCCATGCGTCCTCTAAGACCAGGAGTAAATTTTCGACTTTCCTCTAATGCAGCATCCGAGGAGCCAGTTAGGTTTGTCGGAAATTTATCAAGATCTGCATTGTTAATTAAACTTTTTTTGTCAAGAATTAAAAATTCATCAAGCTGTGTTTCATGAAAATATTGAATTAAATAGCGGTAAAAGTTTCAAATGAACGAATTCGCTCAAATAATCATCTTTTAAATTATTAAAGCCTTCAACATCTAATTTTTTTCACAGTGAGCTTGATAGCATAACGTTTGTTTAAATTACAGTGAAAAAAATCAATAAAGCAAATAAATATTTTGTCATGAGTATCATAAGCAATTTATTCAATGAAGGTTTCATTTCATGTCTCAACAAACTTTTAGTGGCGATATCGTTAGTGGCAAATGCGTAATGGAACCACTCCTGGACGCTAGTGAATGGAGGGGGCATGTAATGACCACGCGACAACTTGTAAACCTGCGTGTATATCATTAATTCTTAATTTCATCGTATCATTTCTTTAAATTTCCTATTATCTGTTTCACATAGTTGCATTAAAAAAATAACGCAAAATTAAATTTAATTAAATTAATTGCAGAACAGTTCGTTCCAATGGTAGTAAACATTGTAGCGGTGTTTACCTTATAAATAAATAAATAAAATCATGTCAAAATAAAAAAATGTATCCTTCCAAAACCAACCGTAGCCATTCGCCTCTTTACAGACATGTCAGTAACATTATGACGAAGCTGAAATGTTAAATTCTGGACAACATGCGTCAGCTTCCCTTCTTCTAAACATTTTGCGGTTTAAAAACTTTTATAATTAAATAAGCTGTATATCTCTGTTTTACCATCTGTTACTTCACTTCGAAATCGAGGATTTAAAAACATTAACAATTTTTAAACTTATGTAAAAAAATTTCTATTAAAAACGACACAGCATTTTTAGGTCAAGGAAGAAAAAATTTTCAATTTAATTTTACTTATTCAATTTAAGAAAAAATATAAATGAAACTAGCAAACCTTCAGGCTTCTCGATGTTGGATGCATCTGTGGCAAACATGATGAAAGGCTCGTCCATTGTGAAGAGAGCCCATGATTTTGTTCTTTAAATAGATGTAAGTTTTTGTTTCATTTGTTATTAAAACAATTTTATACTTGACGTGTTTAAGATAAATAAAAACACCGAAATGAACGTTATTTGAACAGATTTATCATCTTTTTTGTGATCGACTGACTGTTTATTCAGCCACGAAAAAGTAAATGGGAACTAGACATGTTTGGAATGCAATAAAGTGGTCTCTTCCAAAAATAATTTGAAATGCATCGTTGGTAATGTGCACGTCATGCAAAATATTTTAAATAAAGCTTCTGAAAAACTGATTGGTGATATTTTGAAGAATTCCAATTTTTTGGTGCTGCGATAATTGTTTACATGTGTTGGAAAATGTAAAAAAGTATAAGAAAGATAAAGAGAAACATCAAGTTCTTATCTTCTGTCGCGGCCACGGCTCCACTCCAGAGCCTGTTGTTACTCTCTACTGGTTCATATGTGGATTTTTTAAGAAGCGAGATATATACGAAAGTTGGTACTCAATATTTTTGACGCTATTAGTGTAGAAGTCGTGTCACAAAAAATGGTATGAAACTTTTTTAAACAAAGCAGTTGATATTGTGAACCAACTAAATGTTTTCTCTATAGACTATTAATTGTTAAAAAGGAAGTTGAATTCGGCATGGTTGAACGCTGTGCCCAACACTATTTGCTGCACAAAATTAGAAAAAGCAAGCTGTCAAAAGTTGAGCGATCCGTTTTTGTTTTGTATTGCACCATATATGTGTTTTTAACCAATGAGAAGCAAGAGGTAAAAAAAAATAAAAAAATGAAGTTACGGAGGTTATTGAAATTTTTTTACCTTAAATTTGTAATACAACGTTACCGTTCAAATTCGACAACAAATTGTTTTCCCCGGACAGGGCATTGTCAGGTGGTCTTTCGTCGCCGCGGACGTTTGCTATCATCTCTTCGACAACCAGCGATAAGCCAAATAGCTACAAAACGAAAAAAACACCCGTCGAAACCATCGACGAAAGAATCAACAAAACGAAAGTTTGATCCCCAAAGAAACGAAATCAATGATTCCCAAATTAACGTCTTACAAAAAATGATTACATCATTATCAACTTGGCGCCTTAATATTAACTCAAATAACAATGAAAAACAAGGAAATGACAACAAGAAAGAAGATGAAGAATACGACACCAACTAAGTAACTCACCTTGCCAAGCAACTAACTTTGCTTTGTCTAAAGAATCTATATAAACTAAAGCTGCCCGAAAAATGATCTCTGAAAAATCGAAATAAGTCCTATCTGCATGATGAATATGGATAAAAACAGTTTATTAAATTTTCATGATGAACTTGGAATAATAATTCTATTTTCAATAAATTGGACAATTTTCAGAACATTCTAGTATTGAAAAGACAAACGAGAAACTTAAAATGATTAATGCCAACTATATATATATATATATATATATATATATATATATTTATCACTTTATCACAATATAGGTTTATCACAATCAATCACTTCTCTTCGCTGTCCTGGTTTAGGTCGTACCTCCTTAACAGATCTCAGTATGTCAGAGTTAATGACGTCAACTCCAGCAAGATTTTAGTGCCCAAAGGTGTCCCACAAGGGTCAATTCTCGGGCCTATGTTGTTTATATTATTCATTAACGACCTGACTTATGTTAATTCAATATTTAAACTCATCCTATATGCTGATGATGCTAGTTTCTTTTATGCATCAAAGTCCTTAACTCAAGATACTAATCTCATAAACACTAATTTAAAACTTATTACCAACTGGTTTTCTCAAAATAGTTTAAAGGTAAACTATCAAAAATGTTTTTACATGTGCTCCTCACAAATACATTTGGACCCCTGAATTTACACCTTAATAATTATTTGATTGAAAGGAAAACAAGTGCCAAAATATTGGGTCTCGTTGTTTTTGATAATTTGTCGTGGGCTGAACATATTGATTCGCTGGCGTCTCGAATTAGCAAAACACTGGGATTGTATTACAAAATTAGGCATAAGCTTAATATTCCTACTTTTTTACAATTGTACCACGCTTTTATTTTCCATCATCTTTCGTACTGTAATATTATTTGGGGTCACTCTCCAAAAACTCATATTTTAAAATTATTTAAGTTGCAAAAAAGATTTATCAAACTTATATTTTATCTTAAACAAACTGACCATGTTGATGATTATTTTTTCTCTTTAAACGTGCTAACCATATTTCAATTATTTATTTTTAATGCATCCCTTTTCATGTATAAATTTATGAATAAACGATTACCTTCTAACTTTTCTAATTTTTTAATACATAAACTTTCGGATTGTTTCTAAATGATAGCATTTTTATTATGGCGCCTAAAATTTGGTTTAAACTTCTGCCACAATCTATCACTTCTCTCTCCAAACGGGGTTGTTTCAAACATCATTGTAAAACTTTTCTTTTATCCTGTATACATGATATCACTATTTAGGTATGCTATGTTATTATACATATATGTGGGTTATATATATGTCGTTATAGGAATAGGAATGTATAAATGTGTGTGTATGTGCGCATATGTGTGCATGTGTATAAATGTGTTTATATGTAAACATGTATAAGCTCGTGTTTGTATGTGGACACGATCATCATAATATCATTGAATTGTATTCTTTTTTTACTTTGTCAATAACTAATTTTTATTGGTTTATTCGCTGAACTACGTGTCAATGTTTTTATGCTGTATCAATTCATTATATTGTCAATATTTTTTGTAGCCTGTACGTAAGTTTAATTTTAAAGTTTTCTGTTTAACGGTGGTCTATCATAAGATCTTTTCTTTTTTGATCTCCGTATCATTTTCATTTCTTACAATTGTTCGATTTGAATTGATGAATAAATAAAATATTGAAATATTGAAAATACATATATATATATATATATATATATATATATATATATATATATATATATATATATATGAATGTATATATATATTTTGAACGGTTTGGCCGCATTTGAATTTTCTCTTATTTTGGTGATTTGTTCGATGTTATATTGTTAATTTTGGTATTAATTTATAGTTACAATTAGGGGAAGTATTAATATATTTTTATTTTTAGGATTAATATTAAAATTAATTAAATATTTCGAAAATTAATTAAATGGTTTAAACTGTATTGGTAATATATACGTTTGTTATTTTCTGTTGTGATATGTTATCTGGAATTTTACAATGGCGAGTAAATGTAAAAAGTGCGTAAAAGTTACTAAAGACGGTGTGCAATGTGTGCAATGTTTTCAATGTGAAAATATTTTTCATGCAAAATGTGTTGGAGTAAATGATGAGGTTGTTGAGGTAACACGTACTTTGTTGAATTTCAAATGGTACTGTGATATTTGTTTGAAGACGGTATCCAACATTAGATTATCGACAAAGACAGTAAATGATAATAACAATGAAATCAAGTTGAAGGTGGATCAAATTAATGCTGCGAATATTTCGTTAAAACATGAACTGGACATAATCAAAAATATGATTAAAGATAATGATTCAAAATTAGAAAAGCTTGATGAACCAGGTTCCAAGTTAAGTGTTGAAATTGATCATTTTAAAAGTGAATTGCAAAAAACATGGGCAAGTGTTGTTGGCCAGGAGGTTAAAAAAGGTATGCAAAGCATTAATGTTGAAGTAAAAACAGTACAAAAAACATTAGATGATGCACAGGAAATAAAAGAGAGAGAAAAAAACATTATGATGTTTAATGTAACTGAAGGAGATAATGACAGAGATCGAGTCAAGGAAATAATCAAGAAACTGCCGAGTGATATCAAAGATTCTTAAATGAAAAGAATAATAAGACTGGGTAAAAGGGTTGAATCAACAAATAGGCCAATTTTGATAGTGATGGATAACATTTCAGCTAAAGAGTTGGTGATGAAGAGTTCATACAAACTCAAGCAAATGTCTGAAGAACTTAGTAAGGTATGGATTGCCAATGATCTGACTGCTGAACAGAGGAGTGAATTGAAAAGTTTGATTGCTAATGTAAAGTCAAGAGAAGCTGCATGTACGGGAGGTTTTTTATACAGGGTCAGAGGACCTGTGGGAAAGTGGCGGATCGTGAGTTTCAAAAAGTCATAAAAGGTAAAGGTAAAAGTCATATGAAAAACAATGGTTGTAAAATGCTTAACAATGTTAAAATAGGACTAGGGCTTTTGAATATTAGGTCAATTTTGTCGAAATATGATAAAGTGTATGAGGTAATTTGCGATGGTTTGGATATCTTAGTTTTGACTGAAACATAGCATGGGTCCAGTAATGAAATTGCTGTTAGATGGGCAATGCCACCAGGTTATAATTTTGTGGATTTTGTCAGACCTCATGATCCATTTCATGGTGGATTAATAATTTATTTTAAAAAATGTTTTAATTTTAAACTCATCAGATTACCTGTGTTAAAGACTTTTGAGGCATTAGCCATTAAATTAAAAATAAATGGAACTCATATTGTTTTATTGGCTGTTTATAGACCAGGATCGGCTTTAATTTCATCTCTATTCTTTCAGGAGCTTGTTGCTGTTTTAGAGATAATATCCTTGCTTAGTAACAATGTTGTCTTAGCTGGTGATTTTAATGTGCATGTAGAGAAACACATGGATCCTCACAGTGTGTCATTATGTGAGATTTTTGGTAATTTTAATCTTGTTAATAGAATAAATGAACCAACGCATGAATTAGAAGGTGTGTTTGACCTGATTATCACTTCTATGTCTTTTCCAGTTTTCGATATTCGAGTTCTGCCTCCGGGAGTTTTCTCTGATCATGGTTTGGTTCAGGCATGTTTATCAATTGATCAAGTTATAAGAATGAAAAAAAAAGGATGGTTCGATCTTGGAAAAACATGAATCACGATCGTTTTATTTCTTTGGTTCTTGATTCTCCTTTAAATAGATTATGCCAGGGTGGAAATACTGATGATTTATGGAATTTATTTGAAAGCGAAATGACGAAAATCACTGAAATAGTTGCACCTTATCGTATGGTTGAGGTTAGAGATGATCCGATGGCACCTTGGTTTGATTCTGAATGTAGACGGTCGAAGGCTTATTGTAGAAAAATGGAAAAACGATATAGAAAAACGTTGAAGGAAGAAGATAAAAAAAACTGGGTAATGGCCATGAAAGCAAAAAGTTTCATATAAACTCAAAAAAAAATCTATATTGGAAGGAGCTCGTTAAGGATAATCAAAATAATCCAAAAAAAATTTGGAGTATTATTAATAAATTGCTGTGTAAGGAAATTGGTAGTAGCAGTTTAAAAGATGCCACTAACCATACAGCTCAAAAATTTTTAACGTTTTTCAATAATAAAATAGATAAAGTTCGAGAATTGACGAAGACTGCAGATTATCCAAACTTCAATCAGTCAGAGTTCAAAGTTGAAAATGTGTTCTCTACTTTTCCAGTATGCACTGAAGATGATGTTAAAAGAATAGTTCTAAGTTCTCCATCAAAATCATGTTCGTTGGATATTTTGCTTACGCACATTTTTCAGAAACATATAAATTTGTTTACTAGGTTTTTAACCAGTTTTATTAACCTTTGTTTCAAACAAGGCAACTTTCCAAACAGACTTAAACATGCGATTGTTACACCGCTGTTAAAAAGACCAGGCATGGACATTAATGATTTAAACAACTATAGACCAGTGTCCAATCTTTCGTTTATTTCAAAGGTGATTGAGAGAATTGTTGCCAAGGAGCTGTTGACGCACATACGCCGGAACAATTTATTGCCTGTGTTTCAGTCAGGATATAGACAACATCATTCAACGGAAGCGGCTTTGTTGCAGGTTTTATCGGTTTTGTTGGAAAACATCGATGTTGGAAATTCCTCCCTGCTGGTATTTTTAGATATGAGCGCAGCTTTTGACTGCGTTGATCACGATATCCTCTTAAGACGACTGGCGATCTGTTTTGGTTTATCAGGTACAGTGGAATTATGGTTTCGGTCTTATTTGTTACAACGAACGCAACAGGTGTTATTTATGGATGATTTATCGGCAATTCATGTGGTTTCAACCGGTGTGCCACAGGGCTCGGTGTTAGGACCAATATTATTTTTGTTATATACGGCTGAGATTTTTAATATACTGGATTTTCATGGATTTACCAATTTGATTTATCAAATTGTGCCACTTGACTAAAAAATGACATTTGTAAAGTTTTAGCTCAATTGGATAATGCTAACCCGTGCCTCATCGAGGTTGAAATTTCGAAAAATTGGAAAATTTTGAAAAAAAAACGCAGTTTTTGGTTTGTAAAATAAAAACGGTTCACACTAGAAACATGATTTAAGTTTTATTTTGTTTATTGATTAGTTTTCTTCAAATGTTACTATGATCACTATTTAGCTACAAGTTATAGTTTCTGACATATTTGCATTGTTACAGATACACATTGAAAAAACGTTGAATTTCTCCATAACACAAAAACACACAATAACTTAATTTGTTTATAAAGAAATGTTTTTAAAATAACACCGTTGTATCTAAATCACTATTATTAACAAATAAACACAATTTTTATTCATATTATATTGTTTATAGTTGTTATACATCAAATAAATTTCTACTTTAACTCATTGTTCAAAAGGTAGAGGCTCGGATAATGAGGCTTTTGAGCAACAAGGAAATTTTGTCCGACATTCAGCAATTACTTGCAAAAGATATTGTTTTTGATCTTCCTCTTTTGTAATACATGAGTTGTAATCTGTTATTAATTTAACACCCCTTTCTGCTGTATCATTTGTAACTTTTAATCCGTCCACAATCTTTTTACTCTTTTAATATTCTTCGTTATTACTCCATAATTCTGGATTGGTATGCAAAAATTGATCATTAATATTAAATCTTTTTAAAAAATTACTTGATTGTGATGAAATAAAATGGTCCGCATTTTTGTCCAATATTTCTGATACTATATTTATTTTTATTAGTGGTTTCATATCACAGTAGTCATCAAGTTCTTCATCCTCATTTGCTTGAGATATTAATTTGTTGCCATTCTCTTTTTTACACAATTACTTAATGAATCATCGAATAATGAAAAAACAGCCTGCTCTGGGATTGAGGTACTATATGTGGTTGATAAATTTTGAAACTGATATATCTGAGATAAATTTATTAACTTTATTGTAATTTACCAAAGATTTTAACAATTGTAAATCTTGGTTTGGAGCAAGTGCAGATTTCGGAGCATCCAATCACACTTTCACATAAATTTTTATAATAAATAGGCAAATATCATGGAATCCTTGCTTTTCAAAATTGTCAGTTGAAACTGTTCTATGAACAGGTATATTTTCAACAAATATATTGCTTTTGTCATCCACCTTGCGTGATGATAAGCACCAGGAGCCGCAAACACGATGTTTTCTGATGGAAAGCGTTCTAAAAATATAAGACAAAGATTAATCAATTCTTTGTAATCGCTCCTTGGATGATAAACTGTTAATTGTTCTAGAAGATAACTTGAAATTTGACCCGGATTAATCAATTTGCTGGCTACACTTTTATCTGATTTAAATTTTTTTATCAATGTTGTTCCATTCAGTTTTAAATTTTTTGAAAATATCCGATTGAGGGCCTGTAGTCTTTCCCATCACAGCATCAAAAACGGATCTCAACACTACCTCCAAAATGTGGTGGCGACATGGTAGATACAATAATTTTTTCTCCATCAATTGCTCTAATAAACCGCAAGCACCTTTAATGCGTCCAATATTCACGGCAGTTGTGTCAAAGGACATTGCTTGAATCTTGTCTAGTGCACTCCACTTTCCAAGTTCTGAATAAACAGATTTTGCAATTATACTGCCAGCACCATTTTCTAATTGGGGAACTCCAATTAACTATTTTTCTTCTCCACAGCTAATTAAGACTGCAACTCTTTCAACATTTTCTTAATTTAACATATCTGGAAGTAATTTCCCATCCCAATGTACAACTGCTCCTTACCAAAAATGAGAAATCGTAGAAAAACCAAAAGATCTTAATATTAATACATAAAAACAATATATAGCATCCGCGTTAGTAATAGTAAATAAGTTATTGTGTGTTTTTGTGTTATGGAGAAATTCAACGTTTTTTCAATGTGTATCTGTAACAATGGAAAAATGTCAGAAACTATAACTTGTAGCTAAAGAGTGATCATAGTAACATTTGAAGAAAACTAATCAATGAACAAAATAAAACCAAAATCATGTTTCTAGAGTGAACTGTTTTTATTTTACAAACCAAAAACTGCGTTTTTTTTTTCAAAATTTTCCAATTTTTCGAAATTTCAACCTCGATGAGGCCCGTGCTAGCATTATCCAATTGAGTATAAACTTTACAAAAGTCATTTTTTAGTCAAGTGGCACAATTTAGGGGATTCCCCCGATAAAATTTTGAAAAAAAATTTCTTGCGACCACCCTAGTGAGCAATAAAGACAATGTACGTATGCCTGTCGTGATCTGCTGATGAACAATGTAATGCTTGTAATTTATATTAGTGTTTCATTTATCTTTTGCATTTTACGTACGCATAATTTTTCCTGTTTAGTGTTTGGTATTGCTTTCGTTTTTTTTTCTGTATTTTGTTTGGCAAGGAGCTTTGCCCGAGCTTATAATAATAATAATAATAATAATAATAATAATAATACCTCATTTTTCGTTGAAAACTCATAGTAATTTATAACGTAAACTTAATTTTGATATAAAACTGATATTTTCCAAGATTTTCATCTTCTACGATTTATGTTGGTTTACGTCCGTTAAGCTGCGTATACAATCAAACTATGGCTAACAAAACTATCTCTGTTGAATCTCGAGAAGACTATAATGTTATCCAATAGCAACCTCGTAAAAATGTTTGAAAAATTCGACGCCAGTCTCACAACAGTCATTGAAAAATCTAATGAGAATCTACGCAAATTGTTGGCTCATTCAGAGGGATTAATGAGCAAACTCTTCAAATCGACACTACTTCGAATGGAAGCTCTCAGCAACAGTTTCGAACGAGCGGTCAGAAGCATGTCTGCTGATGTGACAGATTCGATGAGTCACCTTCACACAGCCATGTCCACACTGAGCACCAGTGTTGGCAAATGTCAAATTCAGGTGTCGAAGCTCAATGAAACACCATGATTAAACAAATGACAAAGGCTTTATGGACAGTGGAACAAGAGAAAAAGGATGAAGAGCGTCGGGCCAACAACGTAATCATTTCTGGCCTTGTTCAACAACCTGGAGTTGGTGACAGAGAAGTGGTACCTCGAAAATATGCGTAACGTTGTCAAGTCGGTCTGCAGTTGATGATTTGATATCTTCATCGAGATTGCAACGCACATCGCCTGATACTAAAAATATGTTCATCAACCACGATCTGTCCAAGAGACAGGCTAAAGAGGCATTCCTCAAACGGCAGGCACGACGCCTTGCAAAATAAAGCGCTGAAAAATTCAAATTAAATGATCCAAACAAAGATCCTTTCGTTAAGATCAGACCTCTTCGGATGGCCTTGACCAATGCCAGAAGTTTGCAAAACAAACAGAATGATTTAATTTTATTTCTTTTAGAGTATAATTCTGGTATTTTTGTTGTTGTTGAAACGTGGCTTTCTCCAGTTGATCGTGATGAAACAATGTGTATGGTTCTTACATGGTTGTTACATGACTTTGAGGGATTAGGTATGGTCGAGGATATATGTGTGCCTGTGCATCTATATATGAATTCAAAGAGTTAATTTATTTTAGTTTTTTTTACAATGCATACTGTTTATTGTATAATAATATTTGTTATTGGTATTTTGTTATTGTTATTGGTATGAGTTAGTTATATATATGAGTTAGCTTGAATTTGAAAGTGTACAGATATTTATGATTGATATCAGGTCAAATAATGCTGTTTATTTAGTTATTATTTTTCATTATATTTATATGTATGTTTATGTGTGTGTACGTGCACGTTTTATTCAGAAAATTAATTATTCTCTGCTTTACGTTTTGTTGAGTAGATGAAATAACTGTTATATCTATCTAATGGTAACTCTGTTGGTAAATGGATATTATCCATGGGTCGTAGTAACTTCTAAAAGTCATTCAGCCTTTTTTTATTTATTGCTGTAATAGTAACTGTACTTTCAGTTGCTGGAGGTTTTGGGTGCGTGTGTGTATATTGGTCGCAGGTGTGCGTACTCTTTGTGATTGTGTTTGAATTGTGTTATGAAACCTTATTTATTGATTCTGTGTTAATGAGATCTTTATTTTATTTTTATTTTGAAATATTAATGTTTTTGTATGATCACTTAAATGGACAAAATTTTTTTTGGTTATATCGGATAGCGCCTTTGGGTTGTTCTATAAAAGTCGCTATACAAGTTTTCTTATAATATATATATATTATATATATAAATATAAATATATATAAATATATATAAATATAAATAAATAAATATATATATATATATATATATATATATATATATATATATATATATATATATATATATACTGTCAATATGTTCACGATATTTTTGTTGCATATGATAACATTGCTACCATTCCTCGATGTTTAGGTTTAAGGCAACAATACCGAATTTAAGATGTCGGTTTACACAAAGGCCTCAAAACAAAGGTTTATGCTTAAATGGAAAAAGTGAATGCTGCGAGAAATAGCTGGAAAGTACAATCGCATCGTTTGTAAACCGTGCGTATACACATTCATCGGACGTAGATGACAGAAACAAAGAAATACAAAGAATCTCCAACCTTATAATCAAAAATAACTGTAAATGATCATTAATAGAAAAAGTGATCCCAAAAAGAAAGCAAACAATAACAACAACAAAAATAGAAATGGAAACAAAAGCTTTACAATATACTACAAGAACCACATGTCGACAGCGTTTTAACAGGATGAGGAAGTTATGAAAAGAATTATTAGAAACAATGTCCAACCAATTAATGAACATGAAACCGTTAAACTTAGGATCTATTACATCAACCATGGAACTTCATCTATAAATATGAAAAACAACTGCACAAGCGATAATACCCGTGGTCACCTAAACTCTGAACTGTAACATTATGGAAACACTGATAAAGGACTAAATCATGAAATATTTCATCAAAAAAAGTCATTTTTCAAAAAGTCAATTTAGTTTCATCCCTGTACGTTTTGTGGTTTTGTAATTTTTAAAATTTTTGGAAGATATAAGATATTTAAAGATCAAAATTATTATGAAAACTATAAACATTAGACTATCGTCCTCACCATTCCCTGATGTCAATATAAACTATGATGCAAGTGCTTTGCCAAAATAATATTCCAAACCTTAAATGGAATATAAACAACAACAACACGTTTAGACGACATTTTCCCCGAGATCGGGGGTTGCCGTTTGGCTACCTATGATGAAACCGAAATACCCCTCGACGCCATTCTGCCGGATACTGAGGGCCATTGTCACTTCTGTCATCATAAGTAATTTATTTGGCTAATTTTTACGCAGGACGCCCTTCCTTACGCAACCACAGTTATAAGCGGTGGGCCTAGCCTTTGATGATCCAACATCACTCACAAGGCAGTGAGGGTCAGTTTAATGTTATAACCAGGACACCGTAAATGGAATATATCAAATTTAAATCATCCTAACAAATAGATAGTTTGTTTCATAGGAAATGTAATAAAACTTGCTACGACGGTAAAATCCGAAATTGAAAATAGATAAATGCTATAAATGTCTTGAAGAATTTAATCACACTTTTTTTTATTCCATCGAATTATATTTACAACGACTAACAGTTAAAGGAAAACAACGTATATGTATACCAAATTGTGCGTTGAAACGAACAATATTTGTGATTAAATACTTAATTTGGTTGAAAACAAGAACGTAGATAAAACAAATAGCGGTAAAACTTTCAAACCTGGATTGGTATCTTAAAAATTAAAAATTGACCAACCTGAAATTGATTCCGTGAAAACAGGCGAGTGTTATGTTTTTGCCGAGGAGGTTCATCGATCCACCCAGCATAGAACCCAATTCCGGCAACATTTTTGAAAAGTTTGCTAATTTGCAGCAAGACAAATGTTGAAACACTTTTTGCCAATGCCTGTGGTACTTGATCTCTGACAACCAAGGCATCTCTAGAAGCAAAATGCAAAGAGTTTAAAAGGGTTTAAAAAAGTTTAAAAAAGTTTAATAAACGTTGCAAACTTTTGTAAAATTTGAAATAAAGACTGTCGAATTAATTTTTACGATTATCAGAACGCATTTGGTTTTTTTTAAACGAAACAACGCAATTTTTCCATAGCAATAAACCGAATACATTATATAAATACGTGACAATACTTTTCGTCATTTTGTTGAGGCATGGTTTTAGAAATCACGTTAAAAGATGGTTTAACAAAAAGAGGTAAGTAACGAACCATCTTCTTTAGCCAAGTTTTTTTTGTTAGCTTTAGCAGTAGACACAGAGGTGCCAAAAGTTGAAAGAACTCTTTTGCTGCTGACCAACTGTTGACTAAAAAATTCCTCCAATTTGTGAGCCATCTTCAGAAGATCAGGTGTCGTCGACTTGGAAATCATCATATGCAATTTATCCCAAGATAACTTGCCATGCACAAAAACAAGAATGGACCTTAATTAAATTAATATTACAAACGTTTAGAATCGTGGAAGCACTAAAATTTAACTGTAATAATTAATAAGTAATGCAAAACTAACTGATCATCAAAAACGTCAAAATCCTTTGTGTTGATGTTGGGCAAACCTCTAAGTTTCCATTCATCATACAATTGCACCATCAAGTCACTAATTCTTGTTATCAGTATGGTGGACCCCATGTAATCCAATCGCATCTCCAGGATGTGAAGAGATGTGTTGATTCTATGTTTTGGCTCTTTATCTGGCACTTCTTTTACAAGAGCTAGTTAAATGTTTTAGAATTATTACAAAAGCTTCAATTTTAAGACTCTAAAGTAATGGAACAAACAGAAATATGTTGACGCAAAATCAATTTGTCATAATTATCAGCCATTAAAAATTTTATACAGTTTCATTATCAAGTTTTTAATAATTCTGTATAATTAAATGATCAAACATAAAAATTTGAAATTAATAAAAATTAACCTTGTCCAGATACGTTTTGAAGTTCAATAAGCCCCCCTATAATTCCACCTTTGGCTTCCAATTTGGAACTATTGAGCCCGGCGAACATGTTAACATTCTTAAATCCAGCACTGTCAATCATTAGACGCCCTCGACACTGCAGACCTTTCGTCGTCCAGCTGAGATTATGTGCAACAATTAATTATTCAACGTTGGCATTTTTTAGTCGATTTATGTATTATTGCCACTTTATTTAGTTAAATATACATGTGCTTATCATGTTTTTTAAAAGTTCTTGTTTGAACAATATTTCAAAACTCGCCACCTAAACTCGTTCGCCTTAACGCTATTTAATCACTTATATTTGTAAAAACAGTCAGTAGTTATCTAACTACTAAATATAAAAATTTAAAAACTTCAGAAGCTAAAATGAAATGAGTTTAAGTGCTAACACTGTGTTTCCCATGGCATTACTCATATTAACCATGACATCAAGTTGGGGTAAGTTGACTGAAAACAAAACCAACGTCTCCCAGGAGTTCAAGGTTTTGAGAGGTTGAGACATGTTGTTGGTGGCAGAATGTTGCAATGGAATGTAGTGCAAGGATTTGTTGATTTGTATTTGAGACGGGTGTTTATGTTGGGAAAAGCTTTTATGACCCTTCGTGAAATTTTTACTTGAGACAGCAGTTCCTTTACAATAAAATAATGAATAATTGATTTAAAATAAACATAAAAATATCAACAAGCTTATAATCTGCAGGCATTCTACATGGAGGATTGTATCATAATTTAAGTATCACCATTTATGTCAAAAAAGATTGAGTGAAGTTATGCTAAAGTTTGCTGTACTAACGAAACAAATTATAGAAAAAATATCGTAAATACATTATCGTCACAACAAAACAAATGATGACAATAATATCTTTGCTACATGAGGTGTTTTTCAATATACTATGAAATTAAGTAAGCCTTTTACAGAATTGATGTGTTTGAATGCCAATAAAAAAGTTTTTCAACCTTTAGAAATAGCCATTTTAGCTGAATTTTCAGGCACTGTTGAACCAGAAGAAAACGTATTATCGGGATTAGCATCAATCGCTGAACCCACTATTGAAGTTTCAGATGAAAAATGTGAGGCATCATCTGCTGACATAATTTAAACTTTTATTACCTTCAATCAAAGAATCAAAAAATTTAACCAAAACTAATATTAATTCCTTTCCTAATTCAAATCTTGACAAAAATTTTATTAAAAGACTTAACAATAAAATTTAGTGATAAATTAGTATACGTTGAGTAATTTCAAACCGTATGTTAACTCGATTGAGATCGATCTTAGCAAACGAATTTGTGGAAAATTGGATTAAATGCTCAATCGTCAGCACCTTAATCAATTTCCAGTTGCTTTTCAGATTAGTGTTGAGCTTTGTTTAAACCCATTTGAAAGATTGTAACATTTCATTATTTGCATTAAAAAAAATTATATGTGAGCCTGTATAAGCGATTAAAAGCAAATTTTAACGGGACAGTAGACTAATTGTATAACCTGAGTCCGATTCACTATCATAAACAGCCATTTCCTCTCCCAGGAACAATCTTCTGGCAAGACTTCTTCTGTACCATGCTTTAGGCAGAGCAAGAATCTCCAAAAGACGCCTCATGTCATATTTGAACGAAGCTGATCCTATATCGCAGACAACTGTACAAATTATTCAAATTAAATTAATTTTGGATAGCTTAATTGGTGCATAACACAATTTAAAGCAGTTTAAAGCGAATTTTTGCGAAGAATAGTCTAAGAGGGTTGAATAATAATTTTATGAATGTTCATTTAAAACAGCGTGTGATATATGGGAAAAAAATTGTTAGAATTCTTTGTTATAAAGAATGCAATTATGTAGAGAAGATGTTAAGAAAAGAGATGAAGCAGATTATGGGACCATCACAAAACACGTTTATTGTTTAATTAACAAAAAAATAAATAATCACAAATCAAGCACATTTGACATGACTGAAAAAATAACAGGTGCAAGTTGATAATGACAAAATTTAAAAAGTAGAAAAAATTGACACTGGATAGAGCAGTTAAAAAAGTTATTCATCGGAGAAATAAATAGAAGCAACAAACGTGAAAATCTGACGACATTGGCATTGGTGCTAGCATCCTTCTGAACAATCTTACGACCTCTTGATATGTTGACCTTGACAAACTCAACATTCAAATTCAAGGAATCCTTCCTACTTTCGTGTATCAAAGTACTTTTAGACACGCCGGTTGAAGAGCCTATGTTATCAATAAGTTTATATTCTTCATAACGAAATGATAAGAATTTATTTGATGATGAACACGAATGAAATTCATAGCAGATAATTCAAATGAAAAGTTAAGTTTCAGGTATGAACTTTTTGCTGTAGATTCCATGCCATTTGATACAGTAAAGGAAGTTCTTCTTTGCCTACCACCGTAAGGGTGAAATATGTAGAGCGAGAAATCATTCATACATACGGAAACACTCAGCCCGCCGACTCCTTCTGCATTGTCTAACATTGTTACCGACTGCTTGGACATGCCTGGAAAATGGTATTTGAAACATAATCTTTATTAACTCTTTCACTATCATTAAAACGAATTTTACAACGAAACGAAGCAAACTAATTTAAAAAAACATGCCTGACTGAAGCAGGCGATAAAAATAATCCGAACCTTCTTTGAGTAGGTCTACATCACAGGAGTGACTATGTTCGATTTTTTTTGTAGAGAATACAATGTCGAGTGATGGTATCCGCAGCAAGCACTCGACCCTGGACAGAGGCAGACACGTGAATCGAACCATCGATGGTTGAATTCGAACGTAAACAACAACTTCCACCGGGAATGAAGCGTAGGGCTGTTGTGTTTTTGATAGCGCGCTTGAGGAAGCACTCCCTGTGTCTATCAAAAAATCTGTATCTGGAGCTGATGAAATGTTAACAACAAATACTTATTTCATTTTTTTAAAATTAAATAAATGCATTAAAATGTATAAATCTGCAGATTTTAAATGTATCATATAGATCCTGGTATAAAAAGTAACACAAAAGCACATTACTTGTCTCAAACATTGCAGGATAAATAAAATATAAAAGCAGTCTTACTATTTAACTTGAAAGCAGTCCTTTTTAATGGCTCAATTGGGATTGGTTCGATGGCCTGTTCAAGGAAGTCCAGTAGAGACGTACTTATCAGCATTTCCTGATTCGTATCAAATTTTGAATACTCATGCCATTAGACACAAAAAAATAAGCTATGAATAATATTGAAAAGGTTGAAAAAAATGTCTTTAGTTAATAATTCATAAATAACTTCGCTATTAATAAAATGTGAAGTAGAAAATTAATAAAATGTGAAAGTTACGAATATTTGTAATAATTTTGATAATAACATGCGTAATAAGTGATTTGTACAATACAACGTTAAATATTTAGGCTTTGAATTTTCAAAATTGCTAAAATCAAACTTGCATTTGGTAACAGTATAAATATTGTTTTGTAAATGTCTATTCAGACTTTATATGATTTAAAAAAAAAACAGATCTGTGTTGAAATAACATCTAAACTTATTAGACCTTTCCAACTTAAAAAATTTTCAACCTCTGTGTAAAACTACATTGTTATAAGTATAATCTTTTGCTAACACATTTTCAGCCAATCAATCCATAGTCCGCTTTGATCCTTTGAGGAAAGTTGAGATCGATGACGTCCATCTTTAGGTAGATTTCCAAAATACTTGTCCATCTTTGGTCAATTTCGTTGGATTCAATACTCCCACTCCTGATCATTCTTAAATATCATCCACCCATTTCTTGTAAGGTTTTCCAACTTTTCTTTTCCATCTTCTCTCCCTCGTGAGAGAAGATTTAGTTAATATATCTATTATGCTGCATTCTACAATTAAGTTTTAAAGGTTTTAACTTTCGTATTTTTACCTTTTCGTGTACACTTCTTAGTTTGTCAAGCTAGTTTCTCGTGACCTCGTTTATCACCTTTTGTTTCCAGTTGATTCTCAATTATTTTACGTAGCACTTCATTTGAAAACCTTCCAAGTTATCCTTTTCATTTTACGCGGTCCAAGTTTTACATGTTTACATCAGTGTGGAAAACACACTGGTTTTTATTATTTCTGATTTCTGGTAGATATATTACCACTTTTCCTGATTTCTTTTAACGACGCAAACAGCTGTTCTTCATTAAATTTCTTACGACAATTTTTTGATTTAAAAATATTACTTAAATCCTGTAATTCGACTTTCAAGAATGTATGTGGATAAAATTTTTGAAGAGGAAAATTCGTTTTAGGCTGTATGGCAAATCTGATCTACACTTGTAATTTATATTCATAATATAAATTACATAAATTATTATATATATAAAACTGAATATTCTTCGTATATGATGAATGAAAAAATGAAGTCCAAGCAAATAGATAGACAGTCAAGTTTCTATCACTAAATTATTTACGAAAAGTATCAATTGACAAATAAATTTATTTATTGAATATTTAAACTGATAAACAAAGTTACTTAAAACAAAGTAATTAATGAACAAGTGTATAATTAAACTTGGATAATTTGCACATGTTGGAGCGACATAGAGGCAATTGAAATAATAAAAAACAATTTGATCCAGTCTAAAATAATAAACAAACATAACATAGAAAATTCCTTAAAAATGAAATACTTCAGGCAGTTTCTGAATAGAACACCATATATAAAGGTTTGCTCTTTTGAAACCTAAATATTTCTTTGTGTTTTCAGAATGATTTCTCAGTGGATCGTCAGAAGCAGCTACTGTACGAGAGTTATAGTGCAACTGGAAAAAAATATTAATAAATAAAAATAAGAAAATAAGATCAAAAATAGAAAGGGGAGTGTATATATATATATATATATATATATATATATATATATATTTATATGTTTAATTGTATAATTATTAATGTTCATTTATATAGCGCTAATTAAATAAAAAATCTCAAAAGCACTCACATAAATAGAACAGTATACGAGTGAAAGGTTAAAGGAAAATACTAAATGTTAAACCTACGAAAATAAATACGTTTTCAATTCTTTTTTAAAATTTTTCAATGAATTTCCAGGTCTTCTTAGCAACTCAGGCAGAGCGCTTCAAACCATCGGACCAGCAACAGTAATGTCACACAATCATATTTGTAAACAATTAACTGGTACCATCAAAAGGTTCGCATCGTCTGGTTTCAAACATTCCAGAGCCAAAACATTTAATGATTTGAAAACTATGACTGCTGTTTTGAAGATTATCTTTTTAGTGATTGTCAGCCAGTGGAGATCATTCAAAATCGGCGTAACGTGATCAAACTTCAACCATACTAGCAACTAATACGTTCTTTATGTGTTCTTTCATTGCGAGTTCAGAATCAATCAAAACTCGCAAATTGAATGCAGTTCTGCTGAACATTATATCAATTTTGTTTACTTTCACAAAGTGCATATCTAGCTTTGTCATCTGCTGCCAAGTGCCAACCGGGAGCAACTGGGTTTTGCACTGATTCAACTTGAGCAAATTGCTGGACATCCAGCATTCAACATCGGTCAAATATTTGACAAATCTATCAATTTCTCTCGGAAACACTTGCGGCCGACCAGTAACAATCATCTGAACATCATCAGCGAACGCGTGGCAGATGAATCCATGTGAATTAACCATCCTAGCTATGTCCGAAGAATATAGTAAGAACAGAATGGGCCCTAACACTGAACCTTAAGATAATCCAGACGAAACAAAATTAATTTCTGATTAAGTGTCTCTAAACAGAACCTGCTGGGTACGACCCAGTAAGTAAGACTGGAACCACGCATATGCAGTATCACAAATAAGTTTGAGAACCACTGCTTTAAATTGATTAATCCCATTTCGGTAGTACACTGTATAAAATATGGTCTTCCATTATATATATATATAATCGTATCATAATAATGCGTATAATATATACAAGAGATATAAATAAATGTATATGTGTTTAAAATCATTTGGCATCGCACACATACCTTAACGTCGACACCAGGAATGATGAAGACGGTGTTGTTATTTTGAGCCATGGTTAGGCGGTTGATCTGTGACGGCAAAATGTCTACCCCAGTGAACGTCACTCCCTCTTTTGCTCTCTTGCGAGTTCGACGATCGACTGATTTAGGTGAAACTTTCCAAACCGTAGCTGGTCTAACACAGTGATGGCGAAACATGATCAAAAATTGTCAAAAACATGGTAATAATTTCAATATTTGATTTCATAATTTACAAAATTTACAATTTGGCACCAATATATTTTTATTTTTATTTCATGATTGTATTTCAAAAAGAGTAACCTTTTAGCACTTTCATAATCTGTTTGCAGTTGTTCAGTTTTGATTTCTTTTGGATGCAAAACACATTTGCCACTATCTATTTCAGCTCTGATGTCCAGTTCAAAATCAACAGCTGGTTCGACTATTTGCTGTTGCAAGTTGTGCTTTGACATCACGTTTTTCAATTTTCTGTTAAATAATCCATTACAAATTGTATTTAAATTTCAAAATAAAACTTTTTTGCTATGTGGCACCACTTGAAACTGAAAAAAGTTGTAGTAAGAAGATCAAAAAAAATTAATTTTGAGCCGACAAAAAAAATCCTCAAATAATAAAATTTGCTGCAAGTAAATAGAGATAAAAACAACACTGCTCTCGAAAATTTTGTGTACAAATGACTTGTTCCTGACTATAGAAACCTGAGATAACATGAAACATATATATATATATATATATATATATATATATATATATATATATATATATATATATATATATATATATATTATATAATATAACATAAATATAAAAGAAACTAGTGATAAAAGAGAAAATGGTTGAATGAAGGAAAGTTTAATTTGAAAAAAATAGATGAATTAATGAATGGAAATCATTAAAATTCTGTTAAAAGGGTGTATGTGAGAAATGGAACCAGAAATGAATTTGAAGAAATTCAGTAAAAGATGTTTTAAAAATGTTCAATTACTCATTAAAAGATACCGATACAGGCTATGCTAGATGTAGAAGATTTGACAAATAATCGCTGTTAAGTGGGATTTTAAGGACTGCAAATAAATAGGATAAGTATGGACAAGCTGTGATAGGTTGTGTTTTCAAATGTTTAGAAAACTGATACATTGATGTGGATGAAGAATTCACGTCTAGGCAAAAAAAGCAAGAAAAACTGAAAGAAACTGCTGGAGGAAACAAGAGCTAACGATCAGGAAAAATAGTAATGTATAAATGTTAATTGTTTTATTTTGTGTGAGCCTTTTGTTTTAGTTAAGTTGGTTTAGCCGCGCTAAGATAAAAATTTAAAAGAAATAAACGAATAGACATGAGCAAATTGGTTTCAGCGTTGTTTTGGGTGTTGGAAAAAGTGACAAATGTAAAAACATAACTGCAGTGACCTTGGAAGATCTTTTTGTTAGCATATATCAATAGAGAGCGTTTTGTTAAACGATAATTAAATGAAGGAAAACTTAAACCAAGCAACACCATCGATCAAATAAATTAATTAACAAAATTTTTAACGTTGATAAAAAGACACATTTTCATGATAAAATATTTGTACGATAAAACTAACGCGTCAGTTTTATCAGATGGGTTATTTAAACTAGCGAGGTCATCATAATACTCATATTCATCCTCATCCTCATCTGAATGTATATCAAATGTGGGCAGTGCATCAGACTGAAGTTTCGTTTGCTGTCCATATTCTTGTAGTAATGATCTGTTGTCGACAACAGGCGAAGTCTCCTCTTCAAAAGCGACCAAGTCTCGTCCCGCTGATTTTTGAAAATCTAATTTTGGAAAGTGTTTAAATAAGAGTGAATCTGGTTTATCGGCAATTTGTGCAGCATTTGCACCCCTCACTCCTAACGAATGAAGTTGCGATACGTCAAATGACTGAGTTCTATAATGCCCAGTGGATGAGTTCGTGTGCCGAGGTGCAACATCCAATTCCTTTTCCGGCTGGTCTGCTTGTTGCTGTGGTTGTTGGGGTGTTGTCACAGGCACGGACAGTGCTTCGTAATCCGCTTGTTGGTGCTCAAATAATTTCAATGACACGCGTTAACAATTCAATCATTTTTAAAATAAAACTGTTAAAAATAAATTTAGCTACTTTGGTTGGGGCTAGTGAGGAGGTTTTCAAAACATGTCTGTTATCAAGTGAATGAACTGATAACTTGCTGGCCCCGTACGTCTTCCTGGGATTGTGATGAGATCTGACAAAATAGTATTTTCTCAAAAGTTTAATAAATATTTATTTTTATCAGCATAATCATGTTAACTGCTGCTAATGTTAACAATGATAATTTTAAAATGTAAAATTCGATTTTACTAACATTAAAGACGTATTAATCTTTTTTATGACTACAAAAATTTTAATTATCCCAAGGTTCAATTGATTTTAAAATTTTGGACTAAATTTTAAATTGTTAAAATTCAACATTTTTTGACGTCTTACGTAAGCCTAGATTTTTCTCAGATATAAACGTCGAAACGAAGCTTCTAAAAAGTGTAAATTCAAAACAATTTTAAATATAAGAAAATGTTTAAAACAATTTTTATAATAAAATCATTAAGAGAGTTTTCGTTTTCTGATGATAATAATAATATAATTAATAAAATGACTTATTATTATCATGAAAGCTATTCTGTTTCTGTCAATGTCTGATAAGAATAAGAACAGTATTTTTCTTTTTTATTTACCAGTAGGTAATTTAAAACCTTCTTTTAATAATGTTTTTGAATGCGCTTTTGAGAACTCTTATAAAAAACGCTTAATAAATTTTCTTATTATCCATTAATAGTTCGTACAACGGTTAACATAAGATTTTTGTTTCATAAAGTTAAAATGAGATTTAAAAAACATTTAAACAGATGCATTTAAATGTCTTTAAAGGTTAGAGCAACAGAGCAAACAATGAAATCTTAACTATTCTGCTAACCATTTTGACTTTTTTTTAGTAAATTTAAACACTTACCCCAAAACTGTCATTTCCTTATTTCCTTAGATTCTTGGCAAGTGTGAGGTTTTGCCAGAATTAGACGTTTGAACGATGAAAATCATATGTCAAAAACAAAATTATGATAAGCAAATAACTGTAAAAAAATATAAGCGGCCTTCACCTAAACTTCTTGATGATGTCCTGCCTGAAATCGTGGAAGAGAGCAGCTTCCAGACCCTGCAGCTTTCGTTCTTCTTCCTGAATGGTGTTCTGACTGGCCCTCAAACTCTTCAAGTCCTGCACCACTTTGGCCTGAGTAAATTTTTAACAAACTCTACGCTTTACAAAAACTATGTAAAACTGTATTAGAGAAACCAAGTCAAGTAAACAACGTAAAAAACTGACGCTCAAAAATGTTATGGTAAATTAATTATAGTGAATGCCCGATTAGTTTATACAAAAATAAAAATAACGTTATTCTTAACAACTGTTGTCCAAAACAAACATAATATTGAAAAAAAGTCAACAAACAGGCAATATAACACAAATTGATCGAGCTGGCATGGTATAACAAAATGTTAGGAGTTATACTTGACCTCGAAGTATGAGATGAGTGAAAAAATTGTTAAAGAATGATTTGAGATTGATAGAATAAAAAAGGGGTCTGTATGTGTGTTGTGTGTGTGTGTTGTGTGTGTGTGTGGTGTGTGTGTGTGGTGTGTGTGTGTGGTGTGTGTGTGTGGTGTGTGTGTGTGTTTGAGGAGTATATGCATGTGTGTAGTCTTAAACTGATATTTAATTGTTGGTGGTGGATGACTTTTCTCTTTCCTGAGTTAACGACGACATTTCCCAATCAGATGAATTTCTGTTTAGGAATGAAAAAGAAAGCAAAACAGAGTGAAGCAGGTCTTCCGGTGAAAATTCTTTTGTTTGGTTTGAGGGAAGGTTCTTACAACTGGTATATCATTTAATTTCCAAAAATTGAAAAAGCGTCTATCAGAAGTAAATTCAGACGAATTTATAATTTGACCACAATGTATAAGATTAGTAATGAAGTTGCTATGGAATGATCTGAGATCGATAGAACGAAAAAGATGTGATTGGACATGAAGAGTTAATAAGAAAAAAGAAAATTAAAGTGAAAATGTTTTCGTTTGGCGGTACACTCCATGAACCGTTAAACATAAAGATGATGATTCTTACAGCATTACTAAAGTTTTTTTGAGAAAATTCTTTTCAAGCAGCGCTATAAAAATTCCATAATAATAATAATAATAATATAATGATATGCTATACTGTTAAAATCAATATAATGAATTCAACAATCAATAAAAGAAAAAAATTGAAATAACTTGTTCATTCATCTCCTTTTCAATCAGACGAGTTCTTGTTTTGGGATCAAGAGACAAATCATAAACAAAATCCGGAAGGTCTTCTGATGAAAATATACTAGTTTGGCGAGAAGGTTGTTCCACCTAATTATTGTAAAATAAATTTTAAATTGAAAAAAACACAATTTAAAACCGAATCAGACCAATGATGTCGGAAAAATGTTATAATAAAATTAACCTTAATTGATATATTCTGGCGGCTGTTGATAATTGCATCATGTATCTGAGCTTCTCCAGCTAACGAAGTCAGTGTATTCCATACGACATTCAACCGCTTTCCAATGTTGGTATCAAGATGAATGTCTATCCCTTTCATCTGCCACAAAATGTTCAAGATCCACTTTGCGTTCGTTGTCTCACATTTCTGCTGCATCTGCTCAGTGTTTTCAGAGGGCATCGTTTTGGATTTATGTGTTGACGACGGCGTTTGATGCTTTGTTGGAGATTCTTGCTGAGGCTGATAGCGCGGCTGCTGTTGCTTTTGTTGTGGCTGAGTTGAAACGGTGGTTTGTCTGCTGTTAGTAGTTCTTGAGCACATCTCAAAAGTTCCGTTTGGAACAACTAAAGCATTCATTATGCATTCATGAGAAGCTTTTTCAGGCTTCCAATCATCCCATGATACTTCAAAATCTTCGGCAAACCTCAAACAGAAATCTTGAAATTAAAATATACATTGTTTAGTTTACATCAGTTGTAGTGTGCAAAACAATGTAAAAAAAAACGATGTAATGTTCATCAACAATTGCCTATATGACAGTCCGTGATGAAAAACTGAATGATGAACTCAACGCAACGAAACTCAGTTGTAAACATAAGTACTAATTATTCTTTCTAAAGCAAATCAATCGTTATAATTTCAAAAAAAGCAAAGAAATTCAAACCTGTGAACTTTCCCTTGCTAACGAATGAGCCATAGGAGCAAGCAGATATCTGAGTACTTTCTAAAGTTAACACTAAAGCTCCCGACAGTCCGGAATCCTCTCTGGTGACGGCAAACCCTTTCTACCAAGCAAAAAATTTATAAAATTGTTTCCATAAAATTTTACATATGAAACAACTTATAGTCTGTGATAAAAATTTTGGATTAAAATTAAATTTAAAATAATTTTTAAGAGTTGACGTTAAAATTCGTGTTAACCTGTGTGAAAGGGTTAATTGGCAAACAAATGCCCAAATCATCGATAGTCATTTGAAGGAAGAGAACACCCAAGGAAGATTCAGAGAGCGCAAGAGGTGGAAGTTTAGTCAGGACCTTTCAGTTGAAACAAATTTCGACTAACATTATAGAAAAAATTCTTCAATTACATTGACCAATTAATTGAAAGCCAATTTAATAACTACACATTTATTCAACAAATAAAACTCTATAATAAAATTAGGTAATAAAAACATATTAAAGTATCAAGAAATAAATACGATCAAGCTTTCTTTAACAACTATAAATCTTAAAAACAAATGTTTTAAAACCGCTTTAAATTAAAAAAGCCAACTGAGAAACAGACATCTATGAAAGACTCGCATGAGGGTACTCCTCATAATGTACTATTGAGATGGTAGTCTGCCTAGACTGGTTCACCAGCCAAGCAAAGCACAAAAACAGAATGTTGCATCATGCAATTATTACCATATTAAGCAGAACGATACTTGCAACAATTAGTGATCAGCGCGGAGTACATGAAGCTTTGAATGTAAATAAAAATCATCTAGTTTTTAATACTTGTTGGGTAGCTTGTTGAATTTCTTTATTGAGAGCCATTCTTTGTTCTGTCCAATACTCGTATGCGTTGCGATAATTCAGCCAAACCAGGATAGCTTTAATTTTCAAAACGAGCAATTTGAGAGCATTAAAATTTTATTTGAAAATACAAATTAACATACTTTAAAATAGTAATGTTAGAGCAAACGTCACTCTTTAACAAATATTTGCTTTTATGCAAGTTTTTATAACTTGTTTGGAAAAAATCATGAAAGACAGCAACTAAAAACAGTCAGCAAGACTGAAATGCTTCCAGCTTTAAAATAATAGGAAGTCTAAAACGAACTAATTAAAATAGCAGATTATGCAATTAAGTCTCATATTCATTTGACTCCAAGAAAAGCTTTTTAAGCATTTCAACTTTAAGAATACTAATGACATTAGACTAATAAAATAATAATTATTACAATATAATAGTAATAACGGTAACAACAGTAATAGCAAACGTTAAACCTTTATCGAATGCGGAAGGAAGTACGAATACAATAGGTCTCTTCAGAGTTATCAGCAACGCTTCTTGATTCAACGATGCTCCTGATATCATTTCATCCTACTCAAACGACAAAATAAAGTGTAAAATGTTTGAACAATTGCTAATATTAATGAAACATCAGTCCAAGAAGTTATTCAATACTTGATGTTAAAATAAAAAAAGTAGTGTGATTAACAAACTTGCAAAGCGTTTCTCAATGTGATACTAGTGCCAAAAGATGCGAGGTGAGGAAATTCAGCCTCTGCTTCTTCAAACATCAGATTCTTAATGAGAGTACCCAGAGCCAGATTCAGATCAACTTTTACTTGAAAAAACACTTTTGGAATCTTTAATAAAGTTGATACAAGTTTAAAATGTTTTTCCAAGTTGAGCAGTAAAATTACAAATAAAAGATTCTATAATATTGGTAGAACCATTTAATGAAGAAATAATTTGTTAACCCTGTTCTCCATTGGTAATTTAAATTCATGTGGTTTAGATTGACTTCCCTCTTTCCTAGATCTCTGAACTCGGTTTGAAAGTTCAAAATCTATTTTTCCAGTTTCAAATCTTACAGCATTGTTCGTAGGTGTAGTTGCTGTTATCTGAATGCTCTGTTGATAGAGAAAAATACTTTCAAAATTTAGTATAGTTTAAAAAAATGTGAAATCAAAAAAGTTGAAGACTGCAATTTCATTAAAAAAACGTCTTGCATTGTGCTTTAAAGATGCAAGTATGCAATAAAGTATTCTATCACAATTAATCAACCATGACAAAAAAATTACCATTTGTGTATCTTGAACGTTGTTGTTTTGAAATCTCAAAACATACAATAAAGCATAACTGATATAACATTACAAACTTAATTTAAGCAACGACTCTTAATTTAGTTAATTTGTATAATTTTACCCGTGAAATAATCGTGATGTTAGGAAACTACTGCAAATGAAACAAAAACTCAACAATGAAATCGGTTTCGTTCAGTAATAAATTATTTCTTAACTACTACCTTTAATTTAAAAACGTTCTGCTGGTATAAAAAAAGAACTAAAATTAAAAATATTTCCAAATAAAAATATAAAAACCTTATTAACATTTTACTTACTCCTACTGGTAACTCAAGAGTAAAATTACAAGATACTAATTAACTATAAAAAATCCAACTTGAGCAAATTACAAAATGAACTTCAAAAACATTCAACAGAAGAACATGCCTTCAATCTGAATAAGAACGAATAGAGCAACGGTTTTCGATGGTGGCCGGCAATCGGCGGCATATTTTCAGTCCACAGTGCCACAGGTTGGTCTGTACCTGAAACTCTTTGTACCACTTCATTTACTTCCTGAATAGTCAAAGAATAAAAAATTTTAGCAAATTAAATGTGATTTAGGATGTCATTTTTATTCAACGTTTAAAAACCTTCATGAAAACTTTCTGAACAAAAACGAGATGGTTCAAGAGATCAGTTGTGAGGACATGTTCGAATGCTCCCACCTCAGCAGTTGCCTTCAAATAACTTCCCTCCCTCAATTCCAGACCATCGACCAGCGGATTTGTTGGGCAGTCGGTTGGATTGCTGCTGTCCGAAGAGTCCTGTCTGTATTCCGCTTCAATGTGAATTGGAGGCATGGCAATGCTTGCTGAAGTTGGAACATTAGATGAAGTATTCACCTGTATGCAAGTGTACAAACGCATATATATATATATATATATATATATATATATATATATATATATATATATATAAAGCATAGAAGAACCGCAGCGATGATAATAATAATAATAACGTTAATAATAATAAAATTTTTAAATATTGTCAAAATATGTAGTTAATTAAATAAATTAATTTGCGCTTCTCGGCTGAGCGTTGATATTTACCTTAACAACCATAATATATATATATATATATATATATATACCAACCGACTTAATCTAACAATATATATATATAATATATATATGCATATATATATATGTATATATATTGAAATAAATTGTAAGTTAACTTGTTTGAAAAGACAAAAAAATGAGAGGATGTATATTCATTTCATACCTATCTACGCGTTCACAGAGGCACATAACAAAATAATTATTCTCTATTACACACACACGAACGTACACACACACGCACGTACACACACACGCACATATATAATTTGAAATACAGTTAAAAATATTGTGACTAAAGTATATATATAAGCAGTAATTTATAAAGTCTACCGAATTACTAGCGTTGGATAGTTTTTTATTACATTTTTCAATATTTCTAACCAAATTATGAAAACCAGTGGATACAAAGTAATATCAACTATAAGATTAAATAAGATATTGCTAAATTTTTGAAAAAAATTGCCAGAATTTGTTTAGAAATATTAAAAAATGTAACGGTAGATTTCAAAAATAGGGCTGCAAAACGTGTAGACGGTATTTTGACCGTTTGACGCCAATTTTACATGAATTGCATGTTCAAAAAAGAGATGCTAAATTATTTTGATAGTGCCTTTGGGAGGTTTTAATTGGCGCTAAATAAATTTTTCTTAATAATATATATATATATATATATATATATATATGTGTGTGTGTGTGTGTGTGTGTGTGTGTGTGTGTGGTTTGGTGTGTGTGTGTAAAACGGAAATACAATAATCAAGCCATGAATTATACTGGTAATTAATAACATTACGTTAATATGTTTACATGGAAAAATAAAAATAAGTTTTAACATAAAAAGAAGCTACAATGAAAGAAAATGAATATATGGAAAGATTAAAACAGATTGACTACAGAAGAACATATAAAACTGAAATTAAGATGCTAGCATGCGTCGTAACAGAAGTGCTAAATAAATAAAAAATAATATATCCATAATTAAAAGATCTGACCAATGAGAAATGAGTGAGAAAAAATATAAAATATTTTGCTAGTTGATGGCACTACACTTACACATCTATCTCCAACAATCTGTTTCCACACATAATTCTGACTTCCTAATGTCTATTTATTGATACGGTGGCCAGTCGTAAAATGATAGCATAACAATTGCTTAAGTATAAGTTTAAAGTGTAAAAATAAGTTTTAAACAAATTTGAAGAAATTTAATTACTTTATAAATGCCTTAAGATCGAATCAACAAATAAAACCACAAAATGTAACAACTTGCTTTGAGCGTTGCTAAAAGTAAAAAAGTTTTATATACTTACATGTATTGAGAAAAAAAAAACACTAAAATGCAAAACAACTTTAACTTATTTAACTATTTCAAGCTATACAAAATTTACAAAGCCATAATGTTATGTTAAGCCAATTCTTACAAATTTCAATCAATATAACACAAAAACTGTACTAATAAGCAATTATTGTAAAAATTGTACAAAAAACTAACCATAGAACTAAAACTGAGTGAGTGTTTCTGGAGATGAACAAAGAAATGAGAATGTTCACCAGCAACACCAAAACTTGTGACTTCATCCATCTTTATCAAATTAATAATAGCATATTAAAAACTGATAATCAGAATTTATCAATGTAATGTGGATGCATAAATATTTAAAAGTGTTCAAGATTGAAAAAAAGATAAGCCAGTATGAAAAAGATTTTCAGTAAACCTGGTATTGGGCTTTCAAAGATGGTAGCAGAGATGCACCGACAACCAACCCTTTCAGCAAACCTTTAAAATGAACTTCCATTAGAGTAAATGCTGATTTCTTGGTAGGTTTGTTCAAAAGGACTCTTTCCACAGGAGTGTTGTTGGCGGTACTGTGTTGAAAGTATGCAGGATCAGCAGACGGAGGAAGAGCTGAGGCAGCTAAGCTATGTGAGCGGTGAGGGAACGTATGGAAGAAGTTAGGTGTTGTTTCTTGCTGGCTGAACGTGGCTGTGTATGGCGTGTCCACAACGTCCCCTGGCTTCATGCTGAATTTCAATAAACTTACTTCATGAAACCATCAACAAAGTGCATAAATACATGCAAATTATTAATTTATTATTAATAAATATTAATTAACAATTCCCCTGTTGGCTTGCACTGTGAAAAGATTATACCATACAAAAGTGACCAAAAATGCGGAAACGCTCGGTTTCGTCGTGAATATTTCCGTTAAACGATCGACAGCGCCAAAACGGTTCATCGGAGTAACAAAAATGAAATAATATTTAACGCAAACTAACTTTCTTCAACAGATCGCACTGTCTTGGAAATAATAATAAATAATAATAATAATAATATCATTTTGTATATCGCCATGGCAAGCGACTGAGACGCTTTATTATTATTAGTACAAACACACGGTGCATAAATACACGAGAATCAACGCGTCACACACTTTTGCATGTGATAGGCGGGGATCTTTTTTTTGCATTCGAACCCGGACACTGCATAAACAATGCCGAGCACCTTAACAATTACACCATCGCGCCGCTAAACAGTTTTTTCATGAAGAATCAATGTCGAAAGAAGCTTACTGCCAGAAATAACTAGCTCTACATTATACCTGCTGAATTATCAACAACTTTTTTATACTAAAAAACAACAACAAATAATGTGTTTATAATCAAATGAAAAAAGGATAAAAACAAACTTTGCATGTTTGCTGGGCATTTTTATGAATTCCTGGAGCGTGTTGGACAGTCTTTTCGAGCTGTGAACTACCATGGTGTGCAAAGCAACTGGGTGTTGAGGAATGTTGATGGAAACCACACCCATTGATGCAAGACAAAAGCTGTTGTTGTTTGCTTTCTTGATGAACGAAGAAAACAAACCACTTGTTCTTGACACTTTCACTGATACTACAGTTCTAAAGGTTATGTTTTAAGCTAAAATAGAATTAATTTTTTCCAAAGTTCAAAACGAGTTTAGTGCTACTGTTTTAAAAATCAATGTATTAAACATGCTTTAATTAATTAGGTCACATCAAAACTCCAGCATTACATTATAATACATTACATTATAATTTGTGAAACTGTATTCATTTGTGTGTGTGCGCGCGAGCGCGCGCGCGCGCGTGTGTGTGTGTGTGTGTGTGCAGGTTATTTTATGGCAAAAAGATTAATTTAAAATTATATAATCAGTTAAAAAATTATTAATAAACTATTAGCAGTGGGAACGGCTAAACATTAAGAGCTGTATACAGAATTAAAAAGGACTGTTCCGTGGAAACTTACTGTTGTATGGAAGATTGCATTCCTTCAAGAAGAGTCACTGTGGTTTGATCAGTAGATACAAACGCCGACGACTCTGTTGATTTCTTTTTTGTTACACCTGTAATCATAAACAGAGAATTTAACATGAAAAAGTGTTTCAAAAATTCAAAAATATGTTAGCAAAGATTGATTAAATTATCAGAATGGAATTTCCATTATAAACGTGAGCATGACGCCAGCACTCACTGAAACAAAACAGAAGATATTTTCTAGCAGACTAGTTAGTTACTACCATCATGTCAAAAAAAATTTTAAAAAAACTGCAAACCTTTTATTTTTTCTCTATGCGTGAAACTCGCAGTTGAGTTTTGAAGTTCAGCTTGCAACTTGAGACCACTAAGTACTGCAGATATGCTGAAAGAATTTACGTGGACTGATCCGAAAAGTATCACAGATATCTTCTCTTTTACTAATAAATCTGGATAAATGTTATTGAAAATTGAATTTAAACGAAATCAAATATACTTCATTATAGTTAAAAAGTAAGATAAATGTTTCGAAAATCGAAAAAAGTTTTAGAAATTTACAATTGTCATGGTAAACTAAGAAGAAACTTTTCAAAATTATGTCATGATTAATAATATGTGACTAGCTTTGAGTAAATTGATTGGCAGCAGAGTTCTTGGGTCTAGTGAACCAATTCTTCTTAAACCTTGCATACTTTGGAGGAGATCCATGGCCTGCAATTTTTGTTTTCTGTTCATCTTCTACCACTGACAAAGCCGGTCTGCAAAAATAAATAATTTTGAATGAAAATAAAAAATAAAATAAACTATTAAAGGTTGTTTTAGAAAGAAGCAAACCTTTCAATTGTTTTCATCATTTCGGGCATGTTGTTGTATAGATTAATGAGGTGGTACATGGTTTTCCAACATTTTGGAGTATTTTCTTTAATATCAGAAAAAAGAACCTTGTGTTGATTTCCTGCTAACACGGGAGTAGCAACATTAGTGACAACTGCAACATTGGATTGCTGTTGTCGTTTCAACGACTGTGGCAAAACATTGATGTCTTCTTGCTCGTAGCCTGCATATGCCCCGTATCCCTTTTCAACACTGTCAAGTTGCTTATCAATGTGCTTCCTTTTGACATTCGATTCAGCTCCAGGAAAGAACGGTTTAGATTTAGGCGCATCTAAAACGGTATTTTGAGATTTGGAAGGATTATTAAGAGTGAAAAATGGAGAAGTCGTCTCATTTATGCCAGCAGATGGAGGTGTGCTGAAGGTTTCAGGTGTGTCCCTTTGAAGGTCAGATTTTGTTTTAGCTACATTTTCCACCATGGTGACAAACTGATGGACCAATCTCAACAAAGACATATTAACGTGCTGATTAACCGATTGACTTGTCAAACCAAAAATTACCTAAGAAATAAACAAAGTAAATCAATTCCTTCGTGAAATGAAAAAATTAAACAAACGGAGTAAATAAAAAATTATGTAAATTTGAAATAAAAAAAACCTTAGTAGTGGTTGGTTTCACTTCAATTTGTTCAACAGTATCTTTTAACAAATGTACTGTTTTTAAAAGTACAGGTTCGTGGTCTGTTGGAAAAAATAATAATCAGAATATATTTCTGTTTAAATCATGCAATAATAATTCCTTAAAAAAACATTTTGTGATAAAACAGAAATTTGTTACCGAAATTTCTAGCAGAATGCGTGCTTCTTCCACTGTCTCCAACTTCTAATCCACCACCTTCTTTTAATTTTTCATCTTCCTCTTTGTTTGCTTGTTCATTTTCTTCAAAATCAAAAACATCTACCATGGACAAGTTGATACAAAATGATTTGCACAAAAACGTTGGTCTGACTCTTAGTCCAGTAGATTTTGTTATCAAACGTTTCTTCAACGTTTTCGACCTGATCATCGTTTCTGAATCTACTATGTCAATTCTGATTTCTTTCAAATCAGCTAGTACTGAAAGTTCTCCCCCAAATTTTTCCATCACTGACGACATCTTTATTGCTTTCATTCCCAAACCCATTGCTTCCAACAAAGGTTTGAACAACACCTAACGATAAGAAAATTAGTGAAACGTCAAACCAGATTTCCAAAAAATAAATAGCAAAATCAATTAACTAATAACAAAATCTAGGATGAAAAAACGCAAATGCTAAACACCTGGGCATCAATGAGTTGAAAAGTGGAACTAGCTTGATAGTGAACTCTGCCATCTTTGCTTGCATCACTCGAACCAGTATTTTTTGTAAATTTTGTGCCAAATGACCAATAATTTTGTTTCGGATCTGCTTGCGCTATTCTCTGCCTATTCAACTGTTGTTGATAGTGATATCTTTGTTCTGGACCTCTTAAGCTGCTCTCCTGACCTTTAGATTGAAATATATTGTGATTGTTTATGTACTCGTGTTGTTTGTTCATCCACTCATTCAAGTCTCGTTTTTGCTGACTCTTGGTGTTGGAAGCAGGGAGAAACAAAACGTCACTGAAAGTGTGCTGCTGGGCATGAACGTTGTTCATTGATTCATTGATGTTGTTAGTAAAAAGTATGTGGTCACTCGTGCAGCCAGAGTTCAATGTCAAATTACTGACATCATTGTCTGTTAGTTTCTGCTTTAGAGGGGTCATGGAATCTGTGAATGGAAGTTTGTTCCCTTCAAAAAAATACTTCAAATTTTTGTAAGAAATCTGTATTAAAGTTAAAAATAAATTTGGGAATTAGAACAAAACTTACCAGCTGAATGAAACAAACTGGAACCTTCAACTATAGTAAAATTTTGTTGCTTGCTGTGATCATCAATAAACTCGTCCCTCACCGAATGTGAGCCAGAACCCACTTTAGATTGACGCTGCTGGTTGAAATGGCGTTCCGAAAACGACTGAGGTGTAGCTTTTTGAACAGAGCCACCTTCCGCTTTGAGAAGTGATGTGCTCTCGTCTATGATGTCCACATTGTCCAAATTAACATCCATATCTTCCATTGTAACTGCATTTGTCGATGAATTATGATGATCACTTTCATGCCTCAAGTGTTCATAAATTTGTTCATGCTCATTTTCGTTGTCATCCATGACGGGAAGTGCAAATGTTACTGTGACCTTCTTCTTGGCCTGAGCGTCGTTTGGTAGACAAATTAAATAATAAACTTCTTCTTGACCGAGAACGATCACAAAAAACATTCATATCCATTAAAACTAAAAATTATGCATAAATACATTAATTTTTTTCTATGTTAATTTATTAGATTTATGCATTTCTGAACATGAGCAGAATTTAAACGTTGCATTAAATACTGGAATGTTTTCACTAGTAACAGTATTTGGAACAATTGCCTGCAGCTTTAACAGGCAGACATAATTGAACATTTTTAAATAGTGTTACACACAAAAAAATGTCTAGACCATGTGTTTTTGCAAACTGAAAACATCTCACTCAGTTTTATAAATAACGAAATTGCCAGCCAATTTTTGTTCTCATGATAAATAAACCTTGTAGGTGTTTTCATCAAACATCGGAAGGTAGAGGACATTCTTCCACTGTCTGATGAGGATCATGATGCCATTTTTTAATATTTCATTTGGAGGAATGACATCTTCAGCCATACACTTCTCGATGTCTTCAACGTGACTTGCATGGATGAACTTTCGCATGACTGTCACCAACTGGCAGGAGGGATCATCTTGCAGAAATTTTGACTCCCAGGTAGTTTTATTATACTTGCTCTGCAGTTGAAATAATGAAATATAACATAAAAACATACAATCATTATGTTCCTCGTTAGTCAACATTATAACCAAACAAAGAATATCAATTTCATACAAGTGTGCCTGCATTAGTTATTTTCTTCCAAAACTGGCGTTGACATATAATTCACCAAATAAAAGTCAACTTGAAATTTTTTATTTGAACCTTGGGCATAAGGTGAATGTTCTGCATATCTAGAGCTCCAGTCATCAAGCAAGCCATAACTGAGTGCATGCGTTTGTTGAACCGGTTGAACATTAGCTGAGCTGACTTGATGGCTTTGTGGCAAGGATTCATCCATGCGTTGATGGACGGAGTAGCTGTGGATAACAAGTTCCAATCATGCCTAAAAATTTAAATTGTTAAAAATTAATGTTACCATGAGGCATTCGTTGATGTAACCAGTGAAAACATAAAAGCAACAGCCTAACAAAAATAGTCAACACAAAATTAAATGAAAGAATAAGTTACAAAGTTGATCTAAATACTTGTTTGCCGCGTATTTTATTTCTTTCGATGATGCCGGTGGAGCAGCAAAATTGAACCAAACCGTTTTTATTTGGAGGCCAAAGCTAGAAGCATCCCCGGTTAATTTTTTGTTAGTTAGTTTAGTCTCTTGGTTATTCAATGGATTATCTCTATTTGGTTCTTTAAATTTATCTGCATCATTGGCAGCAGTAGATGTAGTAGCAGCTGGAGTTTGTGGAGGTGCAAAATTTTCTTCGACAGTTGAGAAAGAGAGAACTCGTTCCTTCGAAGTCTCCCCATTTGTATTGTTATTTGATTTATCTGCTGCCTTATTTTCCAATAAAATTATGCTAGATTTGATTCCCGCATTAACATTTTTATCATTTACAACCTCAACATTCATTTGAAGTGGTTTGGCACTTTTTGATAAAGCTTTTGGTGCGCCAAAACACGAAGCATTTTTTGTAATGGTATTTTGCACAGAAGAATCATCCATCATAAACGAAGTTGAAGTAGCCGTGGTAGGTTGATTTTTATCAACAAGCTGGAAAAATTTGAATCTATCTTTAGGCGTGGTTTGTAGCTTAGCTTTTTCCATGTAGCCAGTTCTAGTAGCAGAAGTAAATTTAATGTCTTCAAAACCGCATTCAAACATTAACAAATTGATGACATCCCCTATCTCAATTTGTTGAGTATCATTTGAACATTTCTTTGGTGACTCTTCAACCGCTTCATTAAAATATTAAATTAATATTATAAAGGAAACAACCTTTGTCGTAAACAAAATAAAATAAAAACAACAGCTTTAAAAAATACTAGGGCGAAAACCGGAGAGCTCCTACGGGCAGGAATGTAACTCGCTGTTAGCTTTCTTACAAATGTACGCTCACCTCTACTAATCCAGTCCCTCTGAACAATTTTATAAAAAAATTATTTCAAATTTTTTGGTTTATTTTCTCTTAAAGACCGCTAATCTACTCTGAGAGTATTTTTATCAACACTGCCACGTAATTTCAGTTATTTTTCATAACATCTGATTCTCAGCTATTTTCAATTTTCTTTGGTTCTTTACAAAGTTAAAAACTTTGATGGGTATCTTATATATTGCGCCATTCTATTTTGTGTAAATAGTGTTGATTTTATAATTTTTCAAGGTAGTCTCATTTTTTTTCCACAACGCATCCTTTGTACAATTAATACTAGAATCACCTACATTTTGAATCACCTACATTTTGAAACAAGCTCTTTTTTTGAAACGCTTCTACTTTAACTTTTTAACTTTCATGCTCCATTTATCATATTCCCAACAAAATTGAATTATTTTTAATGTCCTTTCCACAGCGTTCACAATGAACGATGTCATCAGCCACACTGCCTCCCCATCATGACCCTCCTCCAACCATCCACCACCACAATGAACAACATCAGCCACACTGCCTCCCCATCATGACCCTCCTCCAACTATCCACAGCTCCACCCCACATCGAACCAATTTCTTATCTTTCTTCCATCCATTTCAACCACTGTCTTTGAATCAACATAAATACATTCTGTCACTGTTTCCATTAACTATTCTTTCACTCCACTATTTTAAAAAGTTTCTTATTAGTACTTGTACAGTTGCCCAATTAAAAAAATCCACACTACGTAAATTACAAATGAAAAAAAATACAAAAATATATTTCTCAAAACCAAAAAATAATAAAAAACCTTCAGCTATTTGATAAAGCTCCCATGAAAATGGAATCTCGTTGAACAAACTGTGTGAACTGCAATTACGAAGTTCGGTTTCAAATTTGAAAAACACTTTCGATGACGCTGGTGGAATGGCAGTCAAAGAATATGGGTCAGTCAAATTGCTCAAAAAGCTTTTAGACCTCCTTAACTGCAAATGAAGTTGTTTAATGTCCACTTGGATTACTGAATTACTTTTACGAGCCTCAGAAAATGTTTTACATTTGACTGTACTGGTATTTGTCTTTTTAATCAGCTTGCGGTAATCATCTTGTGCCTTCTTTCTTCCTACGCCTATTTTGTTTCCAATACTTGCTATGCTCATTATGTTCAAATCTGCTGGGTCCCTGTACAATTTATTGAGTGAAAAAAACATTCAACATGCTATTGTACAACTCTATAAGAGCAAAGTCGTAATTAATAATGGTCACAAAAACGAACTAAGATGCTAAAGAAGCTCGTGAAGATATAAAAAAAAGAATTCTGAAAAATAAGATAAAACAAAACGCCAACACATTTTACTCAACACAAAACTATTGATTGAGAAAATATTAACAATAAGGGTTTTCAAATATGAAAAAGGCTACACACTGCTTTTCTAACAAGGAAAAACCCTGTTAGAGTGATCAAGGCATTGATCCAACAGGCACCAAGTATGGTAGAGTGAGGTGGATTTGTGGGAAAAAGAATTAAGTACAATGGAAAAAATAGGAATAAAAAATAGTTTAATGTATAGGTTGACTTTCACTATTAAGCTCACGCTCGTCGTCATAATGATGAGAGACGACATGTAGAAAAAGTTCCTCTTGAAAAAATTTTCATGTAAAAAAAAACTTTGGCCTGATTGCAGCAACCGGTAAAGAACTAACAATAAAATAAAAACTTGAAAAACTTCCTTGGTGTTAATTAATACGATTCTAAATTAACATCAATGAGATCAAAATAACCTGGATCAATAGAAGGACAAAAAAATTGAAAAAAATTTCAGAAGGCCATATTGAAGAAGGTGAAAAAATTGGTGACGTAAAGTGGACTAAAAAGAAGTCGATTTCGGTTAACATTAGATGAAGTTTTGATGCGTTTTAAAAGAAAAAATAATTAATCAATACTGTCCGACTGCAAAAAAAAATTTCAAAAAATTGAGATAGTAACAAGTAAATTAAATTTTCAGAATACTGATATAATGGAGTATAATCTTTTCTTGTTTGCATATTTGATAACATACGCTCTGATTTTTTTCCACGGTAATAACTTTTCAATAAACAAAATATAACAGATTCAGAATAAAAAAATGAATCACTAACATTTGAGCAGATTTTTTATTTTTTGGACAATCGGCATTAGACAAAAGAATGGTGGTGGTAGTTTTGATCTCAGTAGTATTCAACAGTTGCAGCTGAACTTTGTTATAGCAAATGGCAAATAAGGAAATTGACGTCACTTCACCGGCTTTCTTCAGTGTTTTCTTTTTATTTTTGCTTGGAATATTCGGTGATTTAGTAGGGTTGAAAGATAATGTTCTAAATTTTGATGTCTGCTCCGAATCATGATGAAAAATTTTAGCTATTTGAGTAATAACTTTGTTGACCTTCTTCGTTGATTTAAATTCTGAAAACAGACTAATGGTTTCAGGGGGTGACAAGCCGCCTTTCGAGGCAACAGCTGACAACCCAGACTGAGGATGAATAACATCCGATTTATTTGATTTCACTTGTGTGCAGTTCTTTGATAATATACTTTCATCTAAGACACATACTTGCAGCATAAATATGTTTATCTGCATAAGTTCATCATAAGATAAAATTCATTATCTCCAGCGGATCTAACTAATCTAAAGAAGTGTTGACATGAAATTGCTATAACCATCGCAATTGATCTTTAACTAAACTAGCAATTTTGTTAGAGAAATCTGCTCATCAACAGAGATTAAGTGAATAAACATTATGACCCTTAATTACTAAACAGTGATTAAACGTACATTATAACTTCAAAACCTGGAATCATCAAAGTTGTTTACGAAATCAAGTAATTCAATAATGCATCTTTAATGTATGTATGAGGTAACATTTAACATCGGGTAATTTCTATTTAGCGTTTAATTTGCAACGTAATTCTGTTTCTATTTCACTAAATTGTGTATGTTAATCTAGTACGAACCGATTAGTAATAAATAAAATAGAATAAAACATTGTGAATCAAAATTGAAAAACTTTAGACGCAAACTTGAGGTAGTTGTAAGAGTAGATGAGAATTTTATTGAGTTGCAGTTTATCGATGCTAGTTGTGGTCGTTTCACTGTTGTCACCCCAGTCCGAAAGACAAGATGGCAGAGTGGTATTCTTATCCTCTTGATCGAGAACAGTATTCAAGCACTTCATGTGAAGCATGTCAACAATGGTCGACGGATGAACGCTGCAGAGGTAAGGAGTTGCTGATTCTATGTACCTGCGTCGCATATTGGCATGTTACAAAACTTTGATTTTTGCCGGGATAGTTCAAAATAAAGGTAAAGATTTTGGTATAATGCAAATATTGTTAAAAAAAGGAAAAACTTAACGGAATAATAAAGTTACTGAAGAATCAATTGGAAAAGAAAGGGAGAGAAAAATCGATTGCCTTTGTAGTGCTTCCATCATCAGCGGTGACATCATGATGTTGAGAGACTGCTTCACTTTGATAACTGCTACCCAGTCATTCAGTGTTAACTCACTTGCGAAATCCGCTAAAATTAGCCAATCAAACATAATCAGTAATTAATGAAATAAACAACAAAAGCTATATTTGTCTGCATTTAAAATTAAATAATTTACATATAATGAGCTTTAAAATATAAAAAAAACTATTGTATATAATTTTCCAGTCATTTTATTATGATTCTTAATCTATCGAATAAATATGGCTAAAATACAAGGTAGCGTTTGAATAAAAGATATTATCGTCATTGTGTTAAAATAAATTACATAAATAAGAAAAAAAATTAATGTAAAATTTCTTTACGCTTTTTATCAGTAGTGAATCCATTGAAAAATGAAAAATGTCCGAGCTTCAATCCAAAAGTGGAATCCTCTTTGTAACTCACAAAATCAACATTGGACTCGTCATCGTCAGCATTGAATTGAGCAATGGAGTCGCAATCAAAGCCTCTACTGGAGCACATGAAGTAAGGTACACAACTTTCAAAAGCAACAAGGTTCGTTCCTGAATATTCGGACACGAGATCAGGATGCTGCTGCTGGTTGATGTTCATGACTGTTGAAACAGGAGAGCTAGAGTTCCAATTGTGACAGACCATTTGACTCATGTAGCACTTATAACATTCCATAAGAATTGGACATTCAGTTATCGGCAGTAATGGAGGTGGTGGTGGAGGGGGCAGCGGTAGAGGAGATGGGGGATAGATTGGTAGTGACGAAGGTTGAGGAGTGAATTCTAAATGTGATGGTGGAATCGGAACAGATTTATTGACGACAGATTTTGATGGAACTGGTGGCAGGACCGCTGGTTTTTTAAGAACAACTGGCGAACAAAAGCTGACACGATCTAGTTAAATTAAAAATTATAACATTTTTAAACTTCATTACAAAAATTAGGAATATATAAAAAATTAGTTTAGCAAAAAAAGTGAAAATTATAAACTTTTAGAAATGTTTAAAACCTGAAATATTAGCAACATCTAAGTATACTGAACCAAGAATTCCTGTTGCAGGTTCAACATTTTCAAAATCAGGAGCAGCCGATACAAAAGTTTCTGAACTGGTGTGACTAGATTTGTGTTCAGCTACTTCATACATGCTCACTTTGCTCTCCGCTTTATGTACTTCATCGATGCTCAACTTTCAAGGGAGAAATTAATGAGAATAAAATAAAATTAATAAATTATAAATTAAATTGGTAAGCAGCCGTAAAATAATGCTGATAATATAACGCGAGAGAAAGTAATTTCATGAAAAATAAAAATTGACGCTTACGATTACTGCAGTACACTGCGAAGCACTTTTCTAAAGCAATGCAATGAAAAAGAGAGAAAAAGACATTAGCACCGTTAAGCTTGCACAAAAATATAGTGTTTCAACCTTTTACGAAATTGAATAACAGACAACGCAAGATCACGAAGGTTCCTAGGCAAACCATTCCAGACAGCAGGACCCATTGCGGAGAAATTTCTTTGACCAAATGCCAAATTTGTGTCAGGTACAAACAGTAAACCTGAATTGTCAGAGCACAATGTTTGATTCAGCACTGGCTGCAATGTAGCTTTATTTACACCAGACAGGCCGTAATATAGACTATAGCAATAGTCTATTTTTGAGTGGATAAAGAAATGAACTTGACATTGAAGAGTATGTTTGCTTAAAGGTCGTTTGATGCGCCTAAGCGTACGCAATAGTCCAGAGCTATATTTGTCATCGATTGTAAAACTGCATATAAGCGGAGTTGTGCATTGTGAAAGTAGCGAGGTTTGGAGCGAGGTTGATAGAAAAGTTAGGAGTGAGGTTGTAGTTGTGATTTACTGTCGGCATTTGAAATAACGTTCAAACAAGTCTGCTTTTGAAGCAGTTGTGTTGATCTATAAGAAATCTTGAACTTACGGATAGTGCTAGTCACAACACTGGCGGCAAAAGTGAGATCTCTGAAGTTACAACACCAGTGTCAGTAAAGTTAATTGTTAAAATTACAACATTGTTACCGTGAAAGTCTCATGACAATCAAATTTGACTTATTCAAAAACGACAACATTCAGTCGCTACAACAACTATAACAGGCTAAAAAATCTCACAATAAACATTTACCAGCATTTTCAAATAAAATCAACAACATGGCGTCTAGCTCAGACTCACTTGCACATAAAGTCAACAAACAATTCATCATCAATCAACACAAACAGCAATTCAGCAGCTGAGGCAAAATCTCCGATTGACAAAAAATATCAAACAGCTTCTGCATCATTTGAATGAACACGGTCTTATGCCAAATTATCAATCAGGTTATCGGCACTTTCATTTGACAGAGACAGCTTTGGTTGATGTTTTATCTGGTTTGTACGCTTCAATGGATGATAAGGATGTTACACTGCTGGTCCTCCAGAACTGCTGCGTTCAACTAAGTGGATCATTCAATGCTTCTGGAAATCCTGTAGTGTTTCAGGAAATGTTGCTGCCTGGTTTAGATCCTGTCTATTTAAAGGTATACAGCAGGTTTTTTAACGATGTTTCAACCAACATCGAAAATGTTATCCCAGGCAAGCCACAAGGCTCTGTTTGTTTTCACTGTCTATTGCAAATGTTTTTCCAAAAATATTATTGAAAATTTTGAATTTAGATATCGTGCTTGCTCCTTTCCGATCTTCGAAATATTTGAACGATTTTGGTTTGCTCATTGTTTCTACGAACTTGAAAAAAGATTGAATTGATGTATCATAGAATCAAATTGAACAAAAAACAATTCCTACTGGTGGGCACATGGCAGCAACTGGATAAGATTTAAACATAGCTAAAATTTTTCGCCACAGTGATTAATCTTAAAGTTATTTTGTTATTTTTGACAGTAGCATGAGCATAATAGAATGCTGTCCAAACGATGTTGCTTTCAACTATGTAAATTAAAGTCAATTCAGATTTCCCTCAAAAAAACTTTAAATTGGATTTCCGTAACTGTCTTCTTTATAATGTATCAAATATTTTAAATGATCACTTAAAGTCAATTCGAAATCGTGCGGCCGAGCTAGTCTCAAAAAGATTACAATTTGATCCTTGCAGTCAAATGTTGCGAAATTTTTATTAGTTACCTATTAAAAAAAGAATAAAATCATGATAGCCATTTTAGTTTTCAAAATCTTGAATGGAATATGTCCAATTTATGTGTCTGTCTGACAAACTCAGGTAAAAAACCGATACGTTTCATCACTACAGACGATACATTTATCAAACGAACTTAATTATCTGGTAGTCCCACCAACGTAGTTAGTAATAGAGTCTAAAAGTTTTGTCGTCTCTGGACCAGTTAATTAGAAAATTTTGCCAGAGCATTCACGTCAACCTGGAATGACATTGCTGGAGTTTCACCGGACCTGGATTCCAGTCGAAAAGTGCTTTTGAGGGCTTAGTAAAAAGCGCTGTAAATTCTTTTATATTTTGCTTAATATAAAAATTAAAAAACATTTTTATCATTATCTCGAGTTTTTCATACAGAAACATATCGAGCCTTTGTATATATAATAAAATTAAAAAACAATACCCAACATAATATCTGGGTAGGGTTGAACAAAAATTAACAAATATCAATAAAAACCTTTGGTGACGTTGGAGTCGATCGCAATTCCTTCTCAGATTGCCATTTGGATTGTTTTGAAAAAATGTGTGAAGATTTTGATGAACGGAACTTATCAAACATGGAATGAACTTTCATTCCTAGATCTTCTATAAGAGATTTTGGATTCTCACTCAATGAAATTGGTGTAATATGACCATCTTTTTCTTCTGCTGTTAGTTGAGATGGTAGTGACCGTAATTCAACAGACGCCTCTTTATCATTCAACTGTTTAGAATCACTAGGCAAAACGGTAATTTTAGAGCTTTCTCTGTTGGTAAATTGAAAAATGCTTAATAAAAGAAGATTAATGAAAAAAAAGTGAAACCTTGAAGAAATATCATCAAATTTTTTGTAAGATCCAATTTTTGTACTGCTACCTTTCTTTGTGTTCTCTTCTACTTCTTTTTTACCTAACAAAATCTCCTTGCTGGTACTTTTTCCTAAATAACTTAAGTCCAGCAATTGTGTGGCTGGTAAAGAACCAGTAGAAAACTGTAAAAACTTTGATTTTCTCCAGCTATTAGATGGAATGTTGACGAAATAGTGATCTGAATGAGATTGTTTTTCTGAAGAGTGTCTGGGTATTTTATCAATTTCTTTCAACGACAGCGGTCTCGCATTTGAAAGTTTTTCAGTTTTATGAATAGCCGCTTCACTTTTGACACTGCGCCTATATTTATCAGACAACTCCCCATTTAACGAAAAATCATTAAAAATGGAAGGTTTATTCATTGGTAATATTGCAAATATTTCATTCAAATAATCAGCGGCTGATAGACAATTTTGACAAAATACGTATTCCTGATTTCTCAATAAACTTTGCCCAAAACCGAATGACATACTTTTATCAACAAAATCAGTAACATACGGTACTGCTACATTAATATTCTCACTGTAGTCGTCAGGAGATGGATTAAAAAACTTGGGCCCGTTACGATTGTTTCCAAAGAAAGCACAACCTCCAACGCAACCACAAGTTTGCATGTTCCAAAGAAAATGAAGTCTTTGGGATCTCTGATCATGAAAGCGTAAAAAATCTTGTTGAGTATTTAGAAGTCGAAGATCTAACAACGTTTTGCTTAAGTCGATATGAATTGGACCAAGTTTCAATCCCCCACTTTCAAGCCAGGTGTTGGATTCTGAGTTAAAAGCCTCTGTTGTAATATCTATTGGTAGAGTTGACACGTAGTGTTTCAGAGAAATTTTTGGAAGAAGAATAGTCAGTCCTTCCATTGTTTTAGAATTGAATATATTGCATTTCGCCAGTCGTATCGGGTTTATCTGAGTGTATAACATCAATGAAAATCAGTATGTTAATGAAAATAGAAACATGATCATTAAAACCACGAGAATAATGAAAAAACCTGAAGGGAAAGAGCTGAGCCAGCTTCAACCATATGGAAGTCAATGCAATCCACAGACAACCTGACGAATTCATATTTGAGATCAGCAACTGTGGGACATGGCTTCAGATTGATCACCGATGATTTTGTACATTCTGGTTGAGGAACCATGTGTTGACATGGGGGAAACTCCTGGGGCCGAACCAGCTTGTTCTCTTTGTCACTGACCATAACAACGAAAGCTTGTAAACTTTCTACAATAATCTGTAACTGCAATTTTTTCATTCAATTTGAAAAGAATTTTATTTTTTGAACTGAAAATTTTGTAAATTCTAATATAAGTCTGTTTATGTGGATAATTATAATTAAAACTGATAAACTGAAAACTTTAAATAAAAAAGATGGTTGTTCAAAATTTTGATGAGATAGTCAAACCATTGAAAATGAAACAGCAGCATAACAACAGACTACAATTACACATGTTATAACAAGAAAAATAAAAAATCATATCCAACAGTGCAAATCAACTAAAATCAATTAATGTGTAACAAATACAAAAAACAACAAAATTAAAAAAGAAAAACCTGGGAAGATGTAAGTCTGCCAACAAAATCTCCCATCGTTACTTCAATCAACCAAGCATATTCCAAAGTTTCAGAATCAATGGGCAGACCTTTGTGGGAGAACATGGCGTGGCCTCTTATCTGCATCAAAAATTATAAATCCATCATTGTAGATGAAAAGTAATAAGATGGTTTATATGAGCTCAAGCTTATCTTAGACAGCGTTCAATCCATTTAAAATTAGATTCATTATTTTTACACGATTTAAAGTTTGCATTGAAATTTCTATTATTTAACAATTAATATTAAACAACATTTTTCTGGATTAATATAAAACCTAATAATTAAAATTAAAACACTGAAAATATAGTTTTAAAGAGCAGCAAGGAATCATACTTGCAAGGCAGACAGAGTTAAATATCCCGTCTGCAGATGTGAGTGCTGGTCAAGTCTCTGTCATTTATTAGAAAAAAAAATCCGCTTATTATTCATATCAATTATGTCAAACCCAATCAAAATCTCGTTACGAAATGAACATTTGAAAAAAAAACAATAATGATAAGCACAAAGAATAAAATTTCAAATAAAAAACAACTTCAATGTTATCCTTGCAAACAACGATGATTGGTGAGAAGAGAACTTGGAGCATGGTTTCGTGATATCTTTTGTCAACTTCCACAACCATTCTCTCCATAAATACACTAGGACATGGTGGACCATCATTTGTGCAGTGCTGTAATAAATCATATATATCATCATTTGTGCTATAATGAATCATCATTTGCGCCATATCATATATATCATCATTTGTGCTATGATACATCATTTTTGCTATACCATATATATCATCATTTATGCTATGATACATCATCTTTGGTATACCATATATATCATCATTTGTGCTATGATACATAATGTTTGCTATACCATATATATCATCATTTGTGCTATGATTCATCATCTTTGCTATACTATATATATCATCATTTGTGCTATGATATATCATCTTTGCTATATGATATATATCATCATTTGTGTTATGATATATCATCTTTGCTATACGATATATATCATCATTTGTGCTATGATACATTATTTTTGCTATACGATATAAATCATCATTTGTGCTATGATGCATCATTTTTGCTGTACGATATATATCATCATTTGTGCTATGATACATCATCATTTGTGCTATGATACATCATCATTTGTGCTATGATACATAATGTTTGCTTTACCATATATAGCATCATTTGGGCATCACATGGGCAATGCAATAATATACCATATCATCATTTGTGCAGTGATATAATATATCATGTATATTAATATTTGTGTATAATACATCATATATATCATCGTTTGTTCAGCGCTATATGTCTCTATCATTCGAGCAGTTTAAAGTCAAATATCGAAAATTTTTATCAAAGACTTAGTATATAAAATATTGTAACAAAAAATATTTGTTATATAGATTTGTTACTAAGGTTATGAAATTATGAAACCCCATTTATAATTAATGATTGTACCTATGGATTCAAAATTTTTGTGTTAAATTACCAACCAATATTTTTTTGAAAAATTTTTGAATGTTTTTAAATAATGTTCTATATTAATTCATAGATGGTAGATTTTATGACAGTGTTAGTTTTGTGAGGTTCGCTGACTGGATCCAGACTTCAGCAGACATAGTTAGTCCTTTCAAATTTCATATTACTTCTTCTATGCCTAACTCCAAACCAAACAAACTCTTTCATAATTTCAAATAAAAACGTGAACACGTCTACGTATAATAAAAATAGATAATGGCATAATAACCTTAACAAGATGTCCTTGAACGTCATGCAGTGTCAAATGGAACATCAAGTTAAACGACCTGTACATCCTAGCATCAAAATTGTCAACTGATGTAGAGGTACTTCTGAATGTGTCTTCATTTGTTTTTGAGGAATATTTAACACCATCATCATCCGTTCCCAAATTATATGGGACATTTATATTTGAAAAGTCCACGTTTTTAGATAAATCTGTGAAATTCTGATAGGAACCTAAATAATTTTCCTGGGTGAGAAAGTTAAACACTTCACTATATAAAAAAAACTGCCACTGTTTAATAAAACCAACCATATTCAGAAATTTGTTTAATTTCATAAAACAAAAAATGAAATGTTAATCAATCAGAACAAGAAAATAATAATTTTTTCAAACTTCTCTGAAAATTTTTAAAGATAATTTTTAGCAATAATAATAACAATAATAATAATAACTGTTTTTTAACAGTCTCGCTTTTGCATATGAAAATTTAACAAATTCATTTTTTCGATATTTCAAATGCTTAAACAGCCAGCCATCAAACAGAATCTGATTAGATGGACTCAGACTCAGTTCTGAATGGTTCAAAAAAAGTTCTAGTTTATTTAAACTTGGGTATATTGAACCACTTGTAACATTACTTCAAAAACATTTTCAAAGACACAACTTTACAACTCCATTTTAAATGATGCCCATGCACACATTTGAAAGTTTGTCAAAAACCAAACTAACATCATAACGTCTATCTATCATATATAATATCATTTATTAAATTGAATTACGACGATGAGCATTCTAACAACAGGGCCGGCCTTAGGTAGTAGGAGGCCCTAGGCAACTAGGCAAAGAAAATTTGGTGGCCCCAAGCGACATTTTTTTAAAATGTGCACAGGAAATTTTTACACATTTAAAAAATTTCAACCTGAATACGTTTGTTTTATGATAAATTCTTCCTGCATAATACTGCAATTAATTAAAAATAAAACAGTTAGGTATATAAAATTCGAAGCAGGATTTCTAAAAAAAAGTTGTTTTAATCTGCACTGAGAGGCCCCTAAAAATCGGAGGCCCTAGGCAACTGCCTAGTTAGCCTATGCCTAAGGCCGGCTCTGCTAACAAGACCAAACATTTTATGAATTAATATCCGTAAGACACAGCAGTCCAATTAATGTTACTTTGTTAAATTAACTACGTTCAGTTTGTAGATAACAAATTGATGCCAGTAGAAATTTGTTAGTTTTTTTGTAATCTTCAACAAAGCAGACCAACGAAGCTCATTTTATTTTAAACAAATAAAATATGGCTTAATGTTATATACAAAACATATTTCGCTACAAAACTGATTATAGGTAAAAGCAAAAACGCACCTTGAACTCTAAAGCACAAGCAACGAGGGATCCGTAAGCCTTCAAAACAGACGGTCCTATCTCAAGTTCAATTGATATATTGTCTGGCTCCAATTCAGATGCATCAAATTCATCGTCACCCCCACTGGTCTTGTTTTGAGAATGGTGCTTAGATTTCTTTTTAGAGGGGTTTTGAGGCCTGAGAGGTCTAAGTGGGATCAGTCTGAATGGAATCAAGATGGATTCTTCAGCATCAATTTCCTCGGTATTGAACGAACCAAGTTCCTTGCCAGTGTACAGCAGAGGCATGGGATGATAAGTGTAGACCATGCTGAAAGCAACTATAGGAGAAGTCACTACATCGACCCATCCATTTCTGTCAAGAAATATTAACGGGTGAAAATCAATCTCAATTGCAACATACCATTGATGACAACGTTTTAAAATTTAATAAACAGCCAAAGCAAATCACGACTGGAAAAATTACATCAAGTGTTAATTAGTCCAGAAAGTAAATAAACAAGGAACATTGAAAAATTTAATTTAAGTTTTTTGTATTAATAATGACATAACAGTATTATCGATTGAAATTCTAAGTTACCATCCATCAATCCTACATAAATTATTTGCATTAATTTGCTAATATATATTTATAATCTTATCAACCATTTCATGAAACATCACAAAAATCACACGTTTATCAAAATACAAATGCAGCTTTAAATAAAATATTAAAAAATTCGTTTAAATTCAAAATAACATAAAAAAAAAGTTACTAACTCTTTCAAACAGAGTCGATGCCATTTTTTGTCCTTTGGTTCCTCAGATGCAGCCTCATTCTTGACCAGACCCTCTCTCGACAGCAACTTCAAATGGTCGGACATGGCGATCAACATGTGGCGACTTGAATAATTTTCAGGAAGGTAAACAAACCCTTCAGCTGACTCTCCCTGGATCAATATATCATTAATATATATTATATACAAATATATATAAATAATGTTTATATATAATAAATAAATAATATAATATATAACTAATATTTATATACATAAATACATACATTATTATTATTATTCGTTTATTAAAGAAACCAAAAATAAGTTAAAAGAAACTGGTGGGATAGGTCACTTTCAACTAACAACTATTTGACACATGAATCAAACTTTCTAAAAAAAGAAAGTTTAATAAGATTTGTTTTGTCACAAAAATCAACAATCATGAACATTGAGTTATTTCAAAAATAAAACTATTTAAGAAATAAAATACTTCCATGGGTTCATCTACACACACACACACACGGGTTCATCTAAACACACACACACACACGCACACACACACACGCACACACACACACACACACACACACACATATATATATATATATATATATATATAGGATTGAAATTGTCAAAGATACAATTGTTAAAAAAATCAGTCATTTGCCATGGCGCTATATAAAATGACGTTAATATTATTATTATTAATATTATTATTATTATTATTATTGAAAAATTGCGGCTGTTAGCATAAAATTTGCGAGGTTTCCTTTGAGCTCCCACCAGTGACAAACATGAACTAAGCTGTTATGTCATATAATTGAATCAGATAACCTTATAAATTTAATGGGTTAAATGATAATGAGATGTTCAAAACTCTCAATTCATAGAGAGGCCACTAAACTTGTTGTTATTGATATAGGAACATCACACTATGAAACAAACATTTTCAGGCCTATAGCTACAACGTTCAAAAGATGTTTTACGCTAAATATTTCGCCACCCCACTGGACATTCTTTTCACAAGTGGCCTGTCAAGCAGAGTTATCAATGTAGAGCCAAGTGCGTCCTCTACAATAACGGCCACGTAATAGAGAGGAAAGAAAATGATTTAATCATAATCAAAATCTATCAAATTTATAACACGTAAGTCAGTTGAATATAAATGAACAATTAAAGAAACAAGAGAATAAATACCCTGATGAAAAGTTTACAAGCAACAGTTTCTGGAAGGTAATCATCAAATGGTAGCTGCAAAGTCAAGTCAAACATGTCGCCAGTAACTGCTATGTGAGCTGTATCGTTAAGTATAAACAACTGTTGCCATCAACAAATATCATAACATTGTGAACATCATTGAATATTACTGCTAGTTGTTCAATTTATTTTATATGCCAATAATTAACTGACCATCATGTTGTTCATCAAAAATTCTACAAAGACGAAAAATTACTACTGTAAATCATTAACCACTCAGAGAAGCTTTAAGCAAAGGTTTCTTTTATTATAAATTAGCCCAGTTCTATTTATATCATTCTTTTTTTAATATATCTAATGACAATTTTAAATTGTAAATTGAAAAAGTGAAACACATCAGTTCATCTTGTTGTACAATAATAACTCAATAACAACCTTAATATTAAATGGATCAAATCTAAAACACACTAACAACCTTGCACAACAGTCTAAGAATGTAATACCTCCAAAATTAATTAGAACAAATGCAATCAAATCTAACATAAGCCCCGATAAAAAGAGATCACTTGCCATTTTCTGTTGACGTGCCAAAGCAATCAATCCAGTTCCATTCATTAGTGAGCACCACAATCTCAAACTCTTTGATCATCAAGTTCAACTTCACATTGTAAGGTATGAAGGAATAGATATCTGGATGCGCTTTGCTAGACCAGTCATCAATCAAATCTGAAATTATTCAACCACAAATAAATCATCCAATAAAATATAAATTGAAAAAAATGTAAAAAGAGCAATTGCGATTTTCAAAGAGCAATTTCGTGGAAGAACAGCAAAGGAAATAATGATATGCAGAAGCATCCAATGACGAATACCTGAGAAAAAGATTTTATGTTGATAGAGCAGATGAGCTGTGGCCCGGCAAGCTGTTAGATCGTACACCCAATCTTGAAAATCATTCCAGTAGGTTGAATATTTCACTTTAATGAAGAACTGAAAATTTATTAAAATAATTTAACTAAAGTTAAATAATTTATATTAAAAATGAGTATGATTAAATTCTCGTATGGTTATTAATGCATTTAATAAATTGAAATGAAAAATGTTTCAATGGTCTGAGACCAAGCAATAGATGCTGAGATGTGTTTAGTTTCCGCCAACTTTGATGAATAACAAATGTAGAGAAGTGGCCAAGTGGCTAATTTAGCTTTATCTTGCCCCTAAGTATAAAAAATGACTTAGCCGTTAATTACTCCAAACAATGCATAATATAACAAACAATAATGGGTTGAATATAATATAACGGGTAGTTGCAGATGAAAACTATAGAGAGCAATATACATGCATATATATACAACTTAAGATTGATGGGATCACCGTGATCGTACAAAATTATACAAAACAACCATCATAGAAAACATTAAATAGGCAGGCCGTAATATAAACTAGGTCATCAAAAAGTCAAAAATAAAGAACTAAAAAATATGCAGTGAATGCCATGACGTCAAGGTTGAAACTTATTAAAAGCATTAAAATATCGCTGAGATGTTATTTTGTTATGTCAACACAGAATCTGAGCTAATGTAAGAGTTTTTTAAACGCAAAAGAACTACAAAAATATGTCTAAATTAAAAAAAAGACTAAATAATAAAGGAACCACCTCTAATGTTTCGCATTCAAGAAGATTTCTGTACATGAGACTGGTGCTCGCATCGACATGCATCAGCTGGCCCGTCAGTGTGAATGTATATTGGGGCTCATCTAAGAACCACGGAATTGTGAATTCTAAATATGACCCCTGCTTGAAATTCATGTGCACAGCTTGAGTTTCCTGTACATTCAATATAAATAGCTATCAATAACATATCTAAAAAAAAATTAAAAAACATATTTTTAAACTTACATAAAAATTTTTATTGCAAACTATTTTACAAAAATTATTATAAAGCCAAACGTTACTGAATTTAGTAAATAAAGAAAAGATTACTGACCGTTTGCTTGGTAAAAAGTAAGTCAAAGGTCACATCATTCTGCACACTCATCTTAAAATCGAAACTTCGACAAACTCTCAGCTGTCCTGGTTGTGGCAGTTCACTGGCCTTCAGTGGCACATAGTTTGCCGGTAGGAAAAATTTGTACAAAAACTCCCTGACAAATTTTTTAATATGAATTTTAAAATAAAAATCAATCAATCTTACATAAAAATAATCAATAATCAATCAAACGTAAAAATAAGCATCTTGGATAATGATTAGATGACTGGTCTTGATTTGCAGTAACTAGCTTCAATTAAATGTAGATGTCCGTCGGCCTATCTTTTGCAAAAAGTGGCGTCAATAAGATATATTCACGTACCTACCGTACGTACCTTAACGGTTGAACCGTTTGTGCCACTGAGAACTATGCAATAGGCAAAAACACTATTAGATTAGAACCCAATGAAAATTGAAACTGACCTCTGCCTCTCACACCACGGACCATAACTGAAGTCAGTGTTTTTGCCACACTTGATGTCCATGCCCCAACAGGGCCAGGTCCTCACAGATATCACGTCACCATTAGCCAGATATACACTTTCGGGCTCATACGGTACCAGACCTACAAAAACGATGCTATGAAACTTTAACGACGAATTTATGGATTTAACAACAACTGAGATTAATTTTTACATAGCAGCAACTCTTAAGATTTTAACAGATACTTTAGAACTCTGTTGGATATTAAAATTTAAAAAAGAATTTGACTGTTGTAAACAGGTGAACCTGGTTCATCTTGATAGTAATAAATTTCAACGTTGCTACTCCTAACAAGGGCAAATCCTTCTCCCATGCAACGTGGAGGCCTACATATAATGATCAATCAATTAGTTAATTAATTAATTAGTTAATTAATTAATTGTGATGATGTGATGAAATGGACCTTCAGTCAGTGCATGAAGAAGTTTAATGAGTTGTTATACACATGCACTTATTAAATGACGAAGAAAGGGTAAAGTTTAGCAATTTTCATACACCAAATCTAATTTGCCAGTCTTCTAAAATCTCATTTTGGTAAAGTTTAAAATATAAAAGAAAGTTATTATTCAAAAATATTAATGAAAAAAAAATGTACTTTTTCCATTTAAGTTCAAACTTAAACAAAACAAACATAATACAAAACAATGAATAAAGGCATCCATCATCTTGAAACATGGCCACACTTACTCATCAGCCTTGCCAGAATATTTAGGGCTGGGAACCAGCATAATTTTAAAATTGTCTGCTCTGCACTTGACGATGTGCATGAACAAATCAAACGGTGTTGAGGATGGTTTTGTCGTGTAGACCATTCTCATTTCCCTTGATGTAATCATCAGACTTTGAGGCATTAGGTAATTGCCAAAAATTATTCGACTCTGTAATTAAAAACATCAAAACTAATTATCCTCATTTAAATACTTCGCAGTTCATAAAAACCTTTCATCTTTAGATCTTAACTATTACACACCAAAATGTGAGTTACATAACAAAAAAGTTATCATAAAGAAAATAATTCACTGAAAGCTCATTAAATACATCTGGCAAAACCATACTTGAAAACCCAAACAAAAACTAATAGTATTGAAGAAAGAACAAAAAATATTAAAATAACAATAATATAATATTTTAAAACAATATTGAGATTTCTTTAACATCATGAGAATCGAAGAGTTGAATTAAAAACTGAGGGACCAACATTTGAAATGTCAAGTTTGATGACAGGTATCAAGTCCCTCCACTGCCATCTCTTCTTGTTCAGCAAGACAGCTGAACTACTGAATGTTACAACAACGAGACCATTTATTACCAACAGATAATTTTAAATGTTTAACTAAATTTATCAATATTAATTAAAATAGCAATGAAAACAAATTTTATTTCATGGATGATAATTTAGTTTTTTTTACTGTTTATTAAGTATAAACAAAGTTCATGGTCAAATTCGTTGTTATATTATGCAATGCTGAAAAAATTAAATATTTAAAAAATGTTAATTCCGAAATTGAAACTCATACAATAAAATTTGAATATTGAGAGAATTTGAGACATTATATGGTTCAATTTTTATACAGGTGTTACAAGGAGGAGTGAATATTTTGTGATGGCTAGAATTTATTGGGATGCGAAATTGCATAAACATACCAAACAGAAAAGAAGAAAATTTGAAAAAAAATTAAACAATAATAAAATCTAGAAAATGAAAATAAAAAATTATTTGAACTCATTTTTGGACTTGTCATCATGTAGAGATGTATTCAATTTGTCTGGTGGTATTATATTTTGATCCAGCCCAAAAATCTTTTCGAGTTCCGAGAAATTAGATGAATAATTGTACAAATGAAATTCCACATTCTCCAAATAAAGTGACAGTCGAGTGTCAGAATGAGATAAATCTGAAACAATGAACCAATTGAACTAAATTACAAAATATACATATAAATATATATATATATGCATTTTACACCAAAAAATATATGATAAATTACAAATCTGTGAAGCTCTTAACAATGTTCTTTTATCACACCAAATTTTTGAGAACGAAAAAAACTATCAAGCGATTTTTTTTTAATTTCTAACTTCAAAAAACTCCAATGAAATTTATTAACTTGTAGGAGCTCCATCAGTGGCAGATGGCTATTCGTCTAATGCAGTTGTAAAACAAATTATTCTGCCAATAATTACACCTCTAACATACTGCAAAAACTAATCATTTCAACAAAATGGTTTTATTAACTGCTTGAAAACGTCTACTAAAGCTTATACTTGTTCGAAAAGTAAAGATAAAAAAAGATAAGATATTTCCAATTATCGTCATATCACTATAATTTCTACATACTATAAATCAATTGAAAAATTAGTTCACTATCATTTAACAAATTTCTTAAAATATAATAACATCATTAATTGCAGTCATCAATACGGTTTAACAAAACAGTTTTACAAAGTTTGATATTTTGCATTTATATTAACATGTCTGGGAAAATATTGACACAGAGTTGTCGACTTTGGGTGCCTTTACTAATATTTCAAAGACTTGTGACAAGCTAGATCACAGTATTTTTCAATTGACAATTACAAATCCTCACATTCTTCAATGTAGAGCAATCTTCCACAAAAATGTATCCAGGGCCCTTAATGTATCTTTTATTTATTCTTTTTATTAATTACATCACTAATCTATCAATCAATCTTCATTTAGCGTCTAGAGACCCAGTTTCCTGAGGTAGGACGTTGTTTTCTTTGCCATCAAATTTTTGCGCCAAATTAGACGATCAGTTGTATCCATTCTTCATTTAGCGTCTAGAAACCCAGTTTCCTGAGGTAGGACGTTAAACGACCAGTTGTATCCATTTCATTTAAATTTAGAGCTTTCATGTTTTGCTCGATTGTTTGCGACCAGGACTTCTTTGGACGGCCTTTGGGACGTGTGCCAGGTACTTCAACATCTGCAAGAGAAGTTATGGCACTGTTTCCACTTTGTTTGACATGACCAAACCACCGCAGACGGTGTTGCCGGCATTCGTCCTTTATATCATCTAAACCAGCACGACGCAGGATTTCGGTAGATTTGATGTGGTCCTTCAGACTAATTCGTTGCATCCATCGACGACAGCTTCAGCTGTTCCAGTACAATCCAGAACATCCCATGGATATTGAAATAATGTGACTTTCTACATCACTAAGTCATCAAATCTACTACAATTTACTCTTTGTGCAGATGAATGACACCACTATTTTAATCATTTTCAAATCATCGAATAAAACTGTACTATTAAATTAAAATTATGGATGATTTGCATGTAAGTAGAGGGTCTTAAAATTAATACTAACAGAGCAACATGTATCCTATCTGAATCCAAAATAACATAAATTAAAGCAAAATTATATATGGTCTCTCCTTGCACTATCACACAAACCTTTTTTTCAAAAAATGCTGTACGTACTAAGATTATTTCTATCTTTTATAGAATTATAATTTTAAAAAAATTCTCTTATTTCCAAAAATATTGTTAACAGTCTGCATCAATTGCCATTAGGCCAGCAAAGCATACTGATTAATTGCATATTTCACCATATAGAATAGTTTTACTCCCACATTCAACATTTGTTAATGGTGTAAGGAGCTTCTATTTTATTTTATTTTGTGTTACTAATACACACTTGCTATACATTCACTAGCTTATGCATGATTTATTTGTATATTTGTATTTTTACCTCATTTACATCCAGCAAGCTGGTTGTAAAGATTTCTGCTCGTACGTCATGAAACTAACTTTGTCTAGCCAATATGCCAAGTACAGACAATGCAAATGAGAATATGAACCCATCATCTCACACATCCAGACGAATCATAACAACAACAACAACAACGACAACAACGACAACAACTACAACAACAACAATAACAACAAGCTTATGATTTAATAAAAGAAAACTAAAGCCTTGTCAAAGAAATAAATAAAAATTAAAAGATTAGCTCACCTTCATTGAAATCCTTTTTGATGAGTGGCTGCCACCATCTGAATATGGCATAACCAAGCTTTAATCTCACTGAGTAATCTTCAGTTATCCATAAAACTTCTCTAAACATAATCTTCCCGGACAGAACAGACAGACTAAATGAGCCTAAAAATATTTGGTAATTGATAACATTATATGTTTATTTAATTGTAAATAAATATTATCAAAAAAGGTATATTAAGAGTTTAAATATCAATCAACTATGAATTATTAAAATTTGTACGATGTTATAAAACTGATGAAGTTTTGCTGAAGATGAAATGTTCAGAAAATTTTTTAGCTTTATTATGTTCAAACTATTTATAAATTTGGGTAATTGTGGCTTTTTATTTATTTTGTATGCCATTGATTTAATAAATCAATTTATATTCATCCGCTAAAAATATTTGATTCTTGAATGATCAAAAAACTTTTGTCATTTTTAAATCATGACAATTATTTACACTAATTTATTTTGGCTAGTGCAACCCAATTATCTTGAACAAACTACTTTTCAAGCAATTTCTAAGCATATGAATTTAAAAATAAATTTTTTTCTAATATTGATATTTTATCAAAATAGTACATACAGACAAATAAAAAAACACCTACAACAAAATCTTACCATAAAACAAAGGTGAAAAAAGAAGAATGTATAATATGGACAATGAATAGATAACAAGGAATTAAAACTGATGACATAGAATGCAGGTGAATAACAAAAAGGAAAGAGCGGATAACAACAAATTACGAAGAAGATGAAAAAATAACAATTAAGCAAAATAAAAGTTGATAAATACTATTTAAAAGAAGTTAGCTGTTCAAATAGCTGGAAGTCATCAAATTAATTCAAATCTGCAGATCAATCACCAAACATCCATTATCAAATCATGATCATAATTTTGAAATTCTAATTCTATTTTAAGCTGCTAAAAATAAATTTAAAATATTCAATTAACTTTAAGCTGCAGCCGTCAAACTTGTTGTGTTGTGCTCAGGTCACCAACACTAGCACTTAAAACTTAAGCGACTAACTAAATTACTGAAGCTAATTATTAAGATAATTCAATTGAAAATTATTAATAAATAAATCAGTGTTTTACTGTTAAAAAATGTTAATTTTTAAAAAGATTAATAATCAATCATAATAAACATTTAAAACTTGTAAAAAAAAAACTCAACCAACCAATTTTTAAATAGCCATACTTGAGAAAGCGATTTATGGCAAGAGTTAAAAAAAACCCAACCACTCTGGAGTTGTAGTATGTTAAATAAACGATCCATACTATGCTACAAAACGCAGCGACGATCAACCAATAATACGATGATTGAAATGATTCGTTTATATCAGTATTATTGAACATTTTCATGAATTGAAATTAATTTGAACTTACGAAACAAAAAATGCAACAGACCGCAACTAAAAGACCACAACTTTTTAAAGACTTAGATTAATTTTTAAATTTCTTAATCGTGCAGAAAGTTGTCACTATATGTTTAAAATACCTATACCGGCACACAAACGCTCCGCGCGTATTTTCAGTGCGCTTTAGTTTTATATCTAAAATAATTCTTCTATTTCCGTAAACAATTATTTATCAAATTTAACAATTTTTATTGTTTACTAATAAATATTTATTTATTTTTTAAAATTTCATTTATTTTTATTACTTTTTAATTGATTTATTTAATGAATTTGCATATTTAGTAATTTTTTCTTGTGTAACAAGTTGCAATGATTTGAGATCGTCGTTCTTGACAGATCATTTCCTGGTCGTCACCCTTTCGTCTGCATCCTACATCTAAAAAATAGATATCCAATGATGGATGCCAGCAACAAACGTCGGTACTATGTTGAGTGTCTGAGTCGGAATCGGATTTGGTCGAAATTGGAATCAGTCGGAGTCCAAAATTTAGATAAATTGGATAGATAGACATTTAAAGATAAATACCAGCAGAAAACGTCAGTGTCAGAATTGGTCGAATTTGGAGTCAGTTGAAGTTGGAGTTTTTTGCCCGGAGTCAGAGCCGGAATTTTTTGAGAAATTGAAAAAGGATATTTTTTATCCAAATCCAAAACAAAAAGTAGTATGAATTTGATTTTTGTTTCTATAATTATTTTTTAGGATCATGTTTTTTTAAGATAATTAATTGTGTATATCGATATGCAATTATCTTTAATATTAAAAATAAAGGTTTGTAATAAAATAACTGAAATTTTATTTAGAAAATTTTTTAGAAGTCGGAACCCAGAGTCATAGTTGGGAGTCAAAGTCAAGGGTCGAAGTCTGAAATTTTTAACCTGAGAAAGAGTCGGTGTCAAAATATTTTGAAGGGCCGGAGTCGGAGTTAGATATTTTGATATACTATCGACACGCTGGTATAGTCTACCACTACCACCAATATGTATGAACGAATAATTGCAATTCTTTATATATAAAAATATATTAAATATTTACTCTCTATGTGAGTATATGCGTGTTACCGCGAGATTTTGAAACTATTTTTTTAATTTGTATTAGAGCATGGATCTAGCTTAATTGACGTTTCATTTGTTGATAAATTCCAAAAAGTTGTGGGGTGGGATGATGCTCTTGTAACATTCTGGAAATAAGTTCGTCTTAATTTATAAATTTTAAGCTAAATTTAGTTTTTAAAATGTCTGCGCAAAATTCTCATGGAAACAACTCCAAAAATGTCTTCCGTCGTATAAGCGGTAATATAGGTACAGGTGGAGTGTGTGATGATTCACTTTTTTCTCCAGGAATTCTTGATGATAAACAAATGTTGTTGGACAGCAAAACTTTAAACTTCCAGACTTCAGTTGATTCAACTCACGAATTGTTTTCAGACGACGAGAAGAATACAAAATTTTATTTAAATAATAATCACTACAATAACAACGTTCCAGGATTTGGGTTAGCATCAGATGATGAATTTCAGAACAGTGATGATAACCATTCCTCTTCGAATAAATTTATATCAGATGAAAAATTTGATAAATCAGCATTAGAATCAGCGGGGTTATTAGATCTTGATGGACTTTCTCTTGATGAAGATTCTGATTGGTTAGTTGATTAATATTTAATCAAGTTTTAAATGTCTTTTTTTATAATTTTATTAAAAATTAAATATATAATAATAATAATTGGTTAAGTTTTGGCCATTTAACAAACAGAATTCAATAGTAATTTATGTGAATTATCGGTTTATAAATTATGGTTAGTTATTTAATAAGTAATCTGAATGTAGCATTTTTTGTGATAAGAAGGATATGGAAAAAAATATAGCAAGCATTGGGGGGAAGCCTGTTAATAACAATTCATCATTCATCCAATTAAGCTTTGGAATTTTGCTGAAGTTAGAAGAGTTAATACTTTTGCTTGAATTTGCTGCTAAATTACAGAGATGTCAATTTGATGCACTGACACTTATGATTAGTTTTATTTACCGATTCAAACTGTTATTTATTAGGCTAACAAAACAAAAAAATGGAATGGTAACCCACTCAAACACTCTAAACTGGCTGATGAAAGATGATTTGGATAGCAAGCCTCTACATTCAGTGAAGGACAACAAATTTGCATCCTTGAATCGATCATCAAGTATGCTTTGTACATTACTTTTATATGCGGCTCTTCTACTGCAGTTAAATAATTTGTCATATTCTTCCATTATATAAAGCTCATTGATATCACTATTAATAGGTTTTACTTTGGTCATTAATACTTGTGCTGAGATTTGTGTAAAGGTTCATATGAAATAGGATTATGATGCAAAAATGATTGTTGGGTTTGTTAGATGGTATCATGTACAAGATGTGTGATATCTGAGCATGGTTGTTTAAATGGTAATAAACCAGATGACATTGATTTTCATCAGAAAAGTGACATTAATACATGTTGTACTGTGGACTTGCATTCTCATTGGAAATGAAAATGGTTGCAAAGACAACAACAATTTTAGGTGCTGGCAGGAATGCTTATTTGCAATCATCTTTTTATTACTTTGAGACAATTCAGTGAAGAGAGAGTCAACAAATTGTTGTCTCAAAAAAGCATTATATTGTAAATCCATTGTAAAATAAATATTACTAATAGTAATTTTTGTTTATGCAGTTTTAGCACATTTCATTTACAACCCAGTAGTTTTGTTAATTTTTTATTTTGAAAATGTAGTTACTGTATATATATTTTAGTTATTATGTTGGACACACTTAAAATATTAATTCAAATATTAATTTCTTTTCTCATATAGAATAAACTTTGTATTGCTGTTTAAGGCGCAAGCTTGTTGGATACTTAAAATGATACTGTATATTTATTACGTATAGTGTTATAATTTAATTGTTCAAAAACAAATTTTAACACTTTGAAGCTCATGTTATTTATCTTGCCAGTTTTTTCATTACTGTTTTTTTGTTCCATTTTTCCAGTTTTAGAAAACGAAATTTCTGAAATTTTGTAAGTCTAGACTCAGAAATATTTATTTCAGCCACACTGTACAAGTCAGCAACACCGAAACGAAATGATGGGGCCAAACTGGACTCTTCCACAGATTATGGTACTGTCACCCAAATTATTGGAGTTCCACCTTTGTCAACATCCAATAAAGATTTGTCCACAGTTGGTAGGGATTTATCAGTTGCAAAGCTTCAGAACAGTGGCATGCAGCAACGTGCTGTGGACATGGCACTACCACACACAACCAACGCTGAATTCACAAAGATGAATTCAACTAACTCAACTTCAAATGGTAACCTGCTGTATGGGTCGGGATATATTTTGGCTGATGTCAATGACGTTCAAAATGTTGCCAAACTGCAAGAACAGAGTTTGTTTATATGTTCAAAATTATGTTTTCAATCAATAAATCAATCAGTCAATTGGCAAAACTGGAGATCCATTCAGGGTGTTAGATGAGATGTGTATCCATCCCTCATCCTAATCCTGGCCCAAAACTTTTTATATCGTCGCTGTGGGATTGTATTTTAATGAAATGGTGAAATAATTGGTTGTGATTGTTGTTTTAAAAAACTGTTGCAAATGTCACAAACACGGATGGATCTAAGGTTTTTTAAGCCAATCAATCAATATATAAAATATCTTCTTCATCGTATACAAAATTGACATTTGTTGAGTTTTTCGAAAACCTGTGTGTGTTTATAATATGATTAATATTGGAACAATTAGGAAAAATTTTGATGAAATAATTTTGAAAATTATGGCTAGTGAAATTAATAGTGAAGTGGCTATAGAAATCAATGATAACATAGTTAAAAATGTTGTCTTCAATTGATCTGAGTTTCTGGTGACACAAATGCCTGAATTAAATTTTTATTATAACTCTAAAATGAAAAAATATTGCATTTCAAAATGTCATAATGGTATGGAGACTTTGTTCAATAATATCTTAAATTAATTTTTGTATTCAATAATTTCACATTAGGTCTCCGGATGTCTTTCAGTACTCCGTTGGTGAACAGTGGAATGGGTTGGTAATTTTTATGCAATTTATTTTGGTTAGTATGAAGTTATAACATTTATTCAACTTAATTTTCATCTCTGTATGTTTTCAGAAATGGCTTTGAATAAATCTTCTGGGAATGTTAACAATGAAGTTATTAATTCAGGTACATTCATGTTTTGCATCAGTAAATAATGAATGATGAATAAAGAAAAACTTGTTGCACAACTAGGTAACCAAGGAGGTAGGCAGATGACAGTTGCCAAACTTAAGCAGCCGAGCAAGTTGGCATCAACATCTTCAGGACATCTAAGCACAAATGCCCGAAAGGGTTCGCTCCTAATTTTTCTACAGTTTTCTACCACATTTCATTAAATTTGAATGTTAATATGTGATGATATTGAAGGAGAGAAATGCATTTGTTCTCTATCTTCTTAACGTTTGAGTGAGCGCTTGATGCATATTAGAAAGTTATGTAAAGGAATTTAAAGTTTATTCTGAATTTTTTAAAAATTGATGTAATAAAAATTTGCAGAAGCATTCACCGTCTCGAGGCCATCGCAGCAGCAGTCATCGACAAACAAATCAATGCTGAAAAAATCAACTGGATTCAATAAACCTGACATGTCCGATTACCAGAGTGTACCAAATGTTTCACACAACATTAATCAACACACTACAAGAAGACTAGCTGGTAAGTTGTTTTTGTAATTAGAAAATTTTCCTGTCGATATTTTTAAAAATTAATCTAGCTCACCAGACTGAACTCTTGCTTATAAAATTTTATTGATTAGCATGCATGATGTTGAATGGAAGAATTCAATGACTCACTTGCTGAGTGAAAACAACATAAATGAAAATATTTTGTTAACCAAGGTGTGGTTGTTATTTTTAGCCAACCCATCTAATGGTGACAGTCATCAGCAAAGCTTACCCAACATAAATCGAAACCAGTCGATGAGTCTTGCAAAATCAAATCAAGGCTCGAGGTTGTTGAACGTGAATGTAAAAAATAACACTCGACCGTCATCGTTGCACATACAATCAGGGCCACCAGTGAGAACTACCTCGCAGCCAATTGTTACTTCTCATATGATGAAACCAGTCCAAAAACCAATGAATACCAGAACAGTTTGTTTTGCATTCCACGATTTTTTGACAATTTATTTAAATCTTTTAATAATTTTTAAAATTATTCCTGTACTTTTACAAGTCGTTTTATTGTTATAATAAATAAATCAGCCCAGTTCTCAAGTAATGAATCGGGGGGGTCTCTCGGTCGCCCCACCACAAACGAAGAACATGACAGCAGCATTATCGAGACCTACAAGAACTGGCATCAATAATGTTTCCACCATAGGTTGTCACTATATGCATTTATTCTAATTATGTAATGTGTGACCTATATCTAACTGACTCGCTATTTCATTTGCATCATGAACAGGTGGACGCCCATCACTGGCTGCTGCCAGACAACCAACCAGCCAAGCCAGGTCTGCTGCACCTACAAGACAGCTACCGAATCCATCGCAAGGAAAAGCAACATCAGTGATTGGAGTAACAGGAGGTCGTATTAGCAACATTGGATTGAACAATTCCAGGCTCCCGGCTAGCCGACCAACAACAAATTCAAGCGGCATTAATAAGCCTATCACATTGAGTGGCATAACGTCAAAGACATCTACATTTTCGGCTACTGCTGGAAGACAAATAAGTAATTCTAACATTTCTAGAAGTGCTCCTAAAAATAGTTCTCTGGCTACTAATACATCAAGGTTGAATTCTACTCTGAAGAGCAGCACCATGCGAACAAATACCTCAACCACAATTCCTCCTAGGGGCAGTAAGGTAGTTGCACCATCCAGCATTAGGTCTACCAACCAACAACCGCCAGTTAATAAAATGATAAAAACGGTTTCTAATTTGAGGTCTAACACTCCAATGAGTCCACTCTTGAAAAAGTCCAACCTGCCAATGAATGGAGCATCGCCTATGAAGCCATCTCCTGTTGCAACAGTTAACTCAAATGCAAGATTAGGTGGGAGACCAATTAGAAAGTTCGTATTCAGCAGTTCTTGATTATATGTAAAAATACTACCAGTATAAAAAATACCACTAGATTTTGATGTATTTTCAATTATTTTTAATGATTCTACTAATTAAAAACACGCTCCAAAGTATTTCTGGTCAATTCTTAAATATAAGTTTTATAATTGGTTATTAGTTTTGTCGTAATTCTTTAACCTTAAAATGAATAATTTATGTATTTTTTTGTTTTATTAAACTCAACAGCGTGGATTATGATAACACGTCGTCTCCACGCCACGGAGTTAATGAAGATTGGAAAGAAGGATGTTTTTAAGTGTAATTTTTATTTTATATTATCTGCACACAACGTGCCTTAAAATTTTCCTCCCATCGATGGGTGCGTATGTTTAAAACAGAGAGTAGGCAAACATTTTACTGAGGTCTATGTATATAAATATTTTAATATAAATGAAACTATTTAAATATAACTATCTTTTTATAATGATTTTAAGAAGTTAAAGTTGCAATTATTTCGAAGTTGCTTATTTGTAGACTTGTTCATATTTATTCGAAAAAATTTTTTCTCGCAAAAACATTCGAGTGAACTCAAATGTTGACAAGAGTTCAGTGGCAAAGGAAAGTATTGAAATGGCAAAATTTTAATAACATTTGCACATTCGCTTTGAAAACTTTTGTTTTAAATGTAAAAAGCACGAAAACTAATTTTTCTTAGATTTAAAACTAAATCACAAGATGCTCATGGGCCTCGTAAAAAGGACCTTAGTCTATGCCTGTTTTAAATTATATTTTGTTCAAGATAACTAAACTTGAAGTGATGTTTACTTCAAAAATTTTATGTTGTTTTCTGAGCTTTACCCTATTTTTGTAGTTACAACATCATGTACCCGCGAATATTTTTATAAACCTTTACACGAAGTAGCTAACTGTATATTTGCTACATTGTTACAATTTTTTACTGATGCAACTTTTTATGTTCCCATTGCATATTTTACATATTCAAATCAAATAAGCTTCTAGATATTAACGGATTTTTTTCATATGGAGTTATTTTTATGTACAGGTATGTACAGACACACACACACACACTTTTATATATATACATGTATATATATATATATATATATATATATATATATATATATTATTATTTTTTTAGTTATATTATATACATATACTATCCATACATATATACATGCCATAAAGTAAGTAGAATATAAAATATGGGTGAAAATAGTTGACGTGCTCAGGCAGATGCTGTGGGCCAGTATGAGTACATGAGCAAGTTGTACATGAGCCATGCACCATTGTCCGTGCAGAGAGATGGTGTAAGTTATGTACTCGTACTGGCCGACCGTATCTGCATGAGCAGATCGACTATTTTTATCCATATAGATTGTATACGTGTATGTACATTAAGATAATCTAATATTGTAGGATATAAAAGCATATATATTTATATCTATCATTGTATCATTTATTTTTTAAATGATGTTTCCCATTAGTGTTGTTTATACATGCCTTAAATCCATCATTCCTTTCGTTACAAACATTCATATATGTGTATATATATATATATATATATATATATATATATATATATATATATATATATATATATATCTGCCAAATTCTTATTTTTTAACATTGATTTTTTTAATTTTTAAATTTTTGTGAGTTCAAATTGCTTAAAGTTGTTCATTGAATCTTAGTAGTAGCAACTTCCAATTGAGTTAATTATTTAAATAAGTATTTTCATGAACACGCTAGATTTGTCTTTTATAATTTCTTATAAACCTTTTACTCTAACTTTATCAATATTCTATTTGCGTTATTGGATTCACATTTATAATCAATTTATCACTTTAGGATCGAAGCTTTGTTACAAAGGATACTTCATTGATATCCTTTTCTATTTCTGTAGCACAATATCATTAAGTTCAGTGATCACACCAGCCAGATTTTTTTCATTAGTTTTAGCGTTTTTTATTCTTAGCGTACAATTCAGTTAGGTGGTTTTAAGTATATGATAGCATTGACCGCCGGTTGGCTCAAAACGTTTTTAACAATAAAATTTGTATACTGAAACTGTCTCTAAAAGCAGTTGATTTGATCAAAAATACGCTTGTATGCCCTGTAAAATATACACGATCTTCCAATCTGAAATCGAACAATTAATAATTTTATTATTATTGATTGGTCAAATCTCTATTGTTCTTTCAACGTTAAAAAATCGTTCAAATTAAAATTATCCAGAGATATCGTTCTTATTGTCATCGCATATAGACGAAAAATGGACACCAGAAAAGGCTATCCACATTTTCTCCAACAATTTTTTGATATCTTCTTCCACGTTGAATTATTGTGATTCTTCGTTGTTTTTCTAATCGCGACAAAAATAACACTTCAAAGATTATGAATCGGAAGACCTGCAGAGTCGCGTGATTATTGACGCTGCCAAGCCGAAGATCTGATAACGCAATATTCCGTTTAGTTTTCGTTAAGTCGTATGGTGAATTCTCTTAGGTTTGTCCATACACAAATACGTTATAGTTTGATTTGGCAGTTGTAAAGGTTTGTATATTTCAAGAGCTGTTGTTGCATAGTGGGCTGAGCATTTAACGGGGCGGTGTTTGAGTCGATTCTGTTTTGGTAGTCGTTAAGTAGGTAACATTGACCTGTTGGTAGTCGTTAAGTAGGTAACATTGATCTGATCTTAATTGTTTTTTGCTATCGTGCAAAAAACTTAGTAGTTATGACTATTTTAATACAAAAATTACGTTGTAACTTGGGGCGGATACTAACTTGTTTTCGGGTTTGGTTGTGCTTGTTGTTCATGAAATATTAGTGTGCAAAATTTGTCAACATTTTAACGAGGGGAGGCCAGCTCTGGTCATGTTGTCAACATTTCACTTACCATTTTTTGGAGCTTATAAAGTCAATTTTTCCTTCAAAAACTCTACTTTTTCCGTTAAACATGAACTTTTACTAACGTTTAACACAACAACAGTAAGGGCACTGGCCCCTATATCCGCCACTGAAGCACATATCAAATTCAATTATTACCGTCAACTTCATTGTACATGACCCTAAGTGACAATTAACCATTAGGGACAAAAGACAAAGAGGCAAACACTATTAATAGGCGATTAGTTATCATGAGTCAACCATCAAGACTATCCAAATTAATACAACACTTATCCTTTAACATCACCACATATCGCAAATCAAAGTTTTTTGTGTACTCCCACCTTTTTTTAATCTGCTTGCTTTTCACTCAGGTTCTATACTTTTCTCTAGTCATTCTTTTAAAATAATCAGCATGATGTTATACGTGTGAAAAATTAGTGCAATCAATCTCAATTAAAGCTTCTGAGTCATCTTTTTGTAACGTAACAGGACTAGTAAGACTAGTCATCCTGTTGTTATCAGTTTTGCTGTTTTTAATTATTTTCGTGGTTTTTTTTACTTTCATCGTTTTTCCAGTTTCTTTTTTGTTAACTATTTTTACCAGAGCTTGTTTTGTTTGTATTTAAAAATTCTTCAACACAACGAAGTCCGTTATTGTAGGCGGCGTGACGGCCTGGTGGTTAAGGTCACCTTGCACCTTGTGCTGTTTCGCAGAAAAAGTGTAATAAAAATTAACCTTTTAATTTTTTATAAATACTGTGGTTTGCATAACTTTCTCTGTACCTTTCTCTGATTCAAAGCATGGCGACTGCAATAGTTTCAAAAAACTTATTTTGTATCTTCCGGGCTCTGCCGTTCGTTTGAATGAACGAGTGTTTGAGTTTTTGGAAATACAAAATTAAGTTTAGATAACACCAAAGTTGCCATTCATTCATTGGTATAAATAGGCAAAAATAAATTTGTGATAAAAAAAATACAAATGACTGGCATTTATTGACTGTTTCTGTCGCTTGTGCTTGTTTTCCCAACAAAATACTCATTTCTTTGTTTATTTTTCAAAATGAAACTTTATCAAATTGTTAATTACCGTATTGTAGCCGCATTATCACTTACAAATATCGTAATTTTATTCAGGAGATTATTAATTATCACTTACGAAGTTCAGAGCTGATCTCAAGACCCATCTGTTTGCAAAATTTATTGAGGAGCGCTGTTGATCATCGCGGAAATAGCGCTTTATAAGCTAATTGATTGATTGTATGATTGATTAATAATTTTAAGCTTAAAAACAATAAAATTTCACCCTTTTTGGTATATCCTTTTGAAAATACAATAGTATTATTAATCAAAAAATATTAAACTCCGCTTACATCAACTTATCTGTTTTTTATGTTGAAATTGCAGATTATATTGTATCAATTTTCCGAGGTACCCTTGGTTCTCTTCACCAGTTCAGTTTTATCCTTGTTTCATATATTGAAAATACCCTATTTTTAAAATACCCTTAAATATAACAGATGTGTTACGTCCATGAACATTATCATCCGAAATTTATTTTACATTTATTTACATATCTCATTCTTGCTATACAAGCCAAACTATTTATTTTTGTTTAATGATTTGTATCATTCCTCTTATGAAGACATGATTATTAATTAGGTCAGATCATATGGGGTTTAAAATAGGGTCAAATCAAGTAAATTGTGTTTGTTTACATAACATGCTGACGGTTGCATGCTGTCAAACGCAGGCACGTGCGTGACGAAGATCGCTGTCGTGTTAGTTTTTTTTAAATCTTATGTTTATAATATTGCTTGTATTTCAAAATTTTAATCGATTATTTGTAACGAAATGTGCAAATGGTAACTTTTTTGACAAAACTGTCGTCATTTTAGTTTAGTATTTAGTTTGCAACTTGATTAGAGTTGAGTGAGATGATCATTTTTTTTGCCATTTGTTTTATTTATTTTTTTATAATTTATAATATGAATAATTGAGTTATAATAAAATATTTAATATTATAATTATATATAATAGATAGGTATTTAAATTCAAATGAATTATTTAGTTATTATTTATTAATTAAAAATTAACTAATTAATTAATTAAAGATTATTATTTATTATTAACTCTTTCAACAGTTAACTCATAACTGTGATATGTATTTTTATTTAATTAACTGTTCGTTAACTTAATGTTAACCATTAACAACTTCAACAAAAGTTAATTAAAGTTGAGAAGTTACAGTTGAAAAAGTTAAGAAGAGCAGTCTAGTTAGTTTTTTTAACTTATAATTTTTAAGTTATTTATTTTGTATAATTTAACGGTTAAAACTAAAACCATTTAATATTTAAGAAAGTGAAATTTTGACCAATAAATGAATAAAATAATTATTTTAGTTATTGATTATTAAATTCTATCATATTATTATTCATTTCCACCCACATTTCTTAGTTTTCCTAGTTGAATTAAATATTAAAATTAAAAGCTTGGTAATGCCATATTAGGCTTTGTAAAGCCTTTTCATTTTTATATTTATTTGATTTATTATAATATTAATTATAATGTGTGTTAGGCTTGAGTGTCTTGTGTTTCTTTCCCTTTCTATCCTGTTTTGTTGATGTTGAATTAATGCTGTTTATTTTATTGCAATTTCAAATATATAGTCATTCATTCATTCATTCATTCGTTACTCTCTCGGTTGTTTGCAGTCTTCACATTGCTAATCAATACCATCCGTCTATCAACAATGAGATTTTTTTTTATTTCAATACACAATATTGAACACTGTTGTGCTTTATAAATTGATAAAATCACGATAATGAATTTTTATATTTCTGTGGAAATATTTTATGACTTACATGCTGGCTTTACATTAATTAAGCATTGTTTTTATTTTCGTTTTTCATGTTACTAAAATAAAAATGTTAAACAGCTTGCTATATAGTACAGACTGTGGGCACATGGAGGAAGCATGTGGTGTGTTTGGATGCATCTCCAGAAGCATAAATGTTGCTGACACGATAGCCGTTGGTTTGACAGGCTTACAACATAGGTATGCCTTAGATATTTTATCTATTAATCACGTTTATTTCCAAGTTGTTCATTGTTAACATTTCAAATCTCAAGAGGTCAAGAGAGTGCAGGAATTGTTATGAGTTCTGGCACAGATGACAGTTATGTAGAGCACAAAGGCATGGGACTTGTTGAACATGTTTTTAAAGATAACTTGCTCAAACTTCAGGGCCATATTGGATTAGGTATATTTTTTAAAAATATTTAAAAATTTTTGTGGTAAATATAAGCTAATAAAAATATTATAATGTCTGTTCCAGCTTTAAGTATATTTTTTATAAAACTTAGTATTTATTACACAAACAACAAAACCTCATCCCTTGTTTTTTAAAATAATTACAATACTAAATCAGAATTGATAATGAAAAGCAGCCATCTAGTATATTCTTTTCATTGTAGAATATATTGGATTTACTACTATGACTTATCAACAATGCATACACAAAATGGTGCAATGAAAAATCATCCAATGGATTCACACCAAATAAAAACAACAAGGGAAATATTAAACTCAAATATCAAAGTGTTATATTACAACCATATGTCCTGGTTATGACATTAAACTGACCCTCACTGCCTTGTGAGTGATGTTGGATCATCAAAGGCTAGGCCCACCGCTTATAACTGTGGTTGCGTAAGGAAGGGCGTCCTGCGTAAAAATTAGCCAAATAAATTACTTATGATGACAGAAGTGACAATGGTTTCATCATAGGTAGCCAAACGGCAACCCCCGATCTCGGGGAAAATGTCGTCTAAACGTGTGTTGTGTATATTACAACCATAATATAAGTAATTTGAGAATGGCAGAGGCTATATTAATAGAAAAGAGAAACCCTGTAATAAACATCCAACTACAGGCTGTAACGATCCTTCCAACAAAGAAATAACTCACACAAAGAAACAATGGAAGTTAGAGTTCCTTTGTTAAAAATACTTAAATACCAGATTAACTACATATAACAATATCACAAACTCTATTTCGCTGATGATTGTAAAGATTACCGATAAAAGTGTTTATGTATATATATGAAATTTTTATGTATATATGAAAAATACAGTCTAAAATAATTAGAAATTTTTTTTTTAATTGGAATAAATTGAATAATATTGATAAAGTTATTGTTCGAAAAATAGGAAAACTTAGTTACAAACTCACCAATGCGGAAAATGTGGGGATATTTCTTTATATCTGTATATACATCAATCTGTATCCATATATATATATATATATATATATATATATATATATATATATATATATATATATATATATATATATATATATATATATACACGAATATTTATATGGCGCTAATTGAAAAGTTTTTCAAAAGCGCTTACAAATAAAGTAACATACAAAATAGTCGAATAAATCAAAAATTAAATAAACATTAGATCAGTAAAAAAATGAACATCAATGATTGACACTACTGCGAAAATAAATATGTTTTCAACATCTTCTTAAATTTGCAATACCCAGAGCAGGGTCTCGTAGGTCTTAGGGAAGACCGTTACAGACTCTAGGACCAAACACGACAAAGCTTCTAGCTCCAAGTTTCGTTTGAGCCAACGGCACCGACAGATAGTTTAAATCGTCCGAACGCAGGCCGAGGGAAGACGATGCTTTCGACTGACATTTGTTCTTCAAAACTCTGGTGCGGAATTATTCACACTCTTGAACACTATTGTGCAAACTTTAAAAATTATTCGCTTGTCGACAGTCAACCAATGAAGCTGAGCAAGAATCGGAGATACATGATCAAATTTATACGCACCATGAACAATTTTTGCTGCACGGTTTTGAATAGACTGTAACATTCTAATAGATTTATCGGGTAAACCATAATACATACTGTTGCAGTAGTCCAACCGAGAGTGAATGAACGCATGCATTAAACCTTCAACCGTGCTTTTGTCCAAAACTGAAGTGGATTCGTTTCAACAGTATCTCATAGTCGACGCAGTCAAAAGCCGCGCTCATATCTAGGAACGCTAGCAATGAAATTTCCTGTTGTCGTCATCGCAACTGTTGTGAAGGTTTTTGCAAAGCATTTTGTTAACGTCATTCCACAATCGCTTTGGATTACCTTTATTTTCGTCCAAATGAGTTTGCCAAAACATATTTTTTTTTCAGTAAAAACACGGTTTTTCATCTTGATAGCATTGACCCATTCTTGTCTGCTACTATTTAATAAAGTTCTCCTGTAACATCTTTCCAATTTTCGACACTTCCTTTTTAGGTGCCTGCATTTTTCATCAAACCATATGACATTCAAATCACATCGACTCTCAACCATATGCAATGGTGCAACCTTATTGACAATATTATAGACTGTGCTATTGAACAGTTCAAACATCTCATCAACGTCCATGCCATCACAGGGTGTGCTTATAGGGGAATCGTGAATAAGCCTAATGAATTCATCATCCTTCACTCGCTTCCACGACCGAACCATCTTCATAATTCGTACAGGTTTTTTAAACTTGAAAGGCAGACAAACTTTAACTAGGCCATGATCGGAATAAATTCCACTTGGAAAAACTTGAGTTTCAGAGACAAGAATATCACAAGAAATGGCAATCAGGTCTAATATGCCACCTAGTTCGTGAGTCGGTTCATTAATAACATTTCTAATATGAAATAAATCGAAAATTTAAAACAGAGTTAACGTGTGCGGGCTGTCACGTCTATCAACACGGACATTAAAACCACCTGTAACAACTAAATTGGAAGTTAATATTGTCATACTCTCCAAAACAGATGACAGTTCCTTAAAAAACATAGGAGTGACAGGCAAAGACCCAGGTCTGTAGATGGCCAGGAATAAGTAGTCGTTCCGATTGCATATAATTTTTATTGCGATGGCTTCAAAAGTATTTAGTTGTGGTAGTTCCAGTCTTCTAAATTTAAAAATAGACCTAAAGTAAATTATTAATCCTCCATGATTAGCATCATATGGTCTAAGGTAATCAACATAACTGTACTCTGCAGGTTTAGCAGATAAAACAGATATTTCGTCGTGAGATCTATGCCAGGTTTCAGCTAAAATAAGAACATCAATTTAATCTCTAATTATTTCATTCACATCATCAGATTTTTTATAATTGACCTTATATTCAACAAACCTAATCTGAGTTTTTCGTCTTTTTGATTGAAGTCCTTGATTTTTCTGCCGCTCGTCTTTCTCTCTGAATCATTTATATTTTTCATCACCATTTTTTTCTGAAATCAAATCTAAATCAATTTTTCCGCTGGTGGAAATTTGACAATTTTCCATCTTCCAACAGGCCCCTTCACTCTGTATAAAAAACCTTCTTTGTCCGAGTTTTCCTTCAACTTTGCCTCATCTGTCAGGGTTTTGATTTCCTTTCGCTGTTCAATCATTAAATCATGATTCAACCCCACATGACGAAGAGTAGCATCTAACGATTTCATTTTGAATAAATTTTTCACAATGGTGTTTTTTATTTTAATATCATCAAAACATATCAGTAGCGGTCGGGCCACACCGTCACTTTTTTCCTAGTCTTGCCAGCCTCGTTATGTCTGTATCAACAACCTCATTTGACAGATGTTTTGTTTTAAGATTTTCATCACTGCTATTTTGTCATTACCTGTAGTCTCCTCAGCTAGTCGAAGTCACTGACATCATTCAATGTTTTTTGAACAGTCTTAACCCCGCTTCCAATGACTTCGACAATCTTTTTAACTTCACGACTCAATGCTCGCGAACGACATATTCATTTCAGTTTTTAGATTGTTTAATTCACCACATAGAATGTCAGGTTGATTGAATTGGTTCAACTTCTCTTCACTGGCGCTAACCGATGAATTAATGTTTTCAATTGCAGATTTAATTTCCCGATTTAGTTCATTCAGTTCATTGAATTTTGTTGTCACCGCATTTTTATATGACTCGACAGACTCAGTTAATTTCTTCAAACTCGGTCCCAAGCTCGAACACTTATCACAAAACCAACGTAAATTGTTATTTGTTTCCAAAATATCACAAATTTCATCTGGTAAATTCGCGCAAACTGTGTGAATGGTAATATCGCACTGGTAACATTTAATTCGTTTGTCTTTCTCTTTCGTATCCTTTCTCTTATTAGTTGAACATTTTAAACATTTCTCGTGGTTGGCCATGCTAAAATTTCAACAACAACAATAATAGGAGTGTATGCGTGCACGTTCAACAGAAAACTAATTATATATTAAACTCAAATATTAACTTAAAAAAAAACTAAATTAATTAATTAACTCCAATTAGATTTAAAAAATAAAATTATATTATTAATCTCCTAAATGTTTCCTATAGGTTAGAACCAAAATTAACGAAAAAACACGAAAAAATCAACAAGAAACGTCAGAAAAACGTAACCAAATTGAAATGCAGCCAACCAGTATGTAAGCAAATATATATATATATATATATATATATATATATATATATATATATATATATATATATATATACGTTCTCCAAAATACTTTAGTGAGAAAAATCGAAAAAACGAACTACAAACATATTAACGCCAAACATTCGGTAAAATTTATAGAATATTGTAATATATTACCAACATTTACTCGAAGTTCTGCGACCAACCGACGTAATCTAACAATCGAACAAGATTGCGAGCAGCGACTACTCCATCTCTCTCGAGAATTAGAAGTTAAAAAGAAGGTAGTTCAAGACTTGTCGAATCAACTAACTGAATTGTTGAATCAATGGGATAATAAGTTTATTTTGAATTTTAATAAACTAAACGTTCACCAAAAAACTTTAGTGAGAAAAAACGAACTACAAACATATTAACGCCAAAAATTCGGTAGAATTTATAGAATATTGTAAAAATTATAGTCTATTACCAACATATATATATATATATATATATATATATATATATATATACACACATATGGGTGCAACCCATCATTTTATCTGTCAATCTATTAGATCAATTGTGATTCATCTAAAAATGTTGCAATGCATTTGTTGTGTCTATGTGTATGCATGCCAGCAAATAGATGTATAATGTGAGTATTATTGAAATTTTACATTTACTTTTAAGGAGAGTTGAGAACTTGTGATTCACCTGTTGATCATGGATAATCTTGATTTTGAATGTGAACTTTTGTCCTTATTTTTTTTTAACTTATGAGAATTATTTTAACATTTTCTTTGGTAACTTTTATAGAAATCTGATGCATGCAAATATATTTTCAGGCCACACTAGATATTCAACTGTTGGTGTGTCGAGCATCATTAACTGTCAACCTTTTGTTGTTCAATCTAGTCTGGGCAAGATTGCAGTTGCTCACAATGGCGAACTTGTTGAAGCCAAAAAGCTCAGGAAAGAGGTTTTCAGACCTTATGTTTTATATTTGGTTTTTATTTGTTGTTGTAACAATTCGCTTAGGTGATCTTATTCCCATGGCAGCTATCTGTAAACCTGTTAAATTCTTCAACAAACTGATATCCATAATTGGTAGATAATTAAAGTTGTTAATTATGTTTTTACAAAAGAAAAAACTATGAAAATAAACTTTTTTTTATAAGTATGCTAAACTCGGTTTCAACATTAAAAATCTGTGCAGGTGCTGGATATGGGAACAGGACTAACCACTAATTCTGATTCCGAAGTTATAACTCAAATTTTGTGCCATCCTCCAAAAGTTTTAAATGATGGCCATGAGTGGCTGGATAGGTAGGTGCTTTCATTTTTTTAAATTCAATAATGAACTAACAAGAGAATAATAGTCAATAGTCGAATAATAATGTGGTACATGTATAAAAAAATAGCATTAATAATGCGCAGTGCTGGGTTTTCCATATTTTAGATTTTTACTTGAAGCTTAGCAAGCATTCAGAGTGAACATTTTCCCTCGAAACTTGAATTTTTGATTTGGCCATCATCCAGTTTTGACTGCTAAAATATGTTTCGTTCATCAAAATGTAGCACTTTTCTCACATGTGGTCAACAAGCGTCGAATCAAAAAACTAATAAATTAAATATAAATTACAAAAATGATTAAAGTTTAGAATTATTTTTGATATTTAAAATTTTTTCAAAGCCGGATTTCGGATCTGTGCCGGATTTTTGTAACCCAAGTTTTAATGTATCTATATTTATTTATGTATACATGTGTGCATATTTGTATACATTCATGTTCGTACGCGTTTATACATTGTACATTTATTAGTTCATATGTGAATATGTATGTAAATGTATTTTATTAATCATTGAACGATGAACGCAGAATAATTTGAAGCATGAAGAATTACGATTGTATATCTTGGATCATCTGACTGATCTTGATTTATATCTTAATTACTTTTAAATTACCAAGCACTATCATTGAGAAATTAGTTTTTCAAAAGGTGTTAACATGTGTGGTGCTTGTCTTCATTATGCTTCCATTTGTAATGTGCATGTTGTGTTTGCATAGAAGAGTATTTACGGAAATAGGTAATGATGAGTAGAAGATTCGATTTGTATTAAATAAGTTAATTTACTGAGTTAATAATTGATAGAAATATAATATAACAAAGTTTTATGCCGGGTTTGAGACTATTGTTGGTACGTTAATGAAGCCATAACGCTAACTTAACAAATGCACAAAACCGGCTCCAGCCAGATTTTTGTTTTTAAATCCGGTTAATTTGACTCCGGTCGAATTTGAGTAAATCAAATATGCTCCTAGCGTTCTATGTAAATTAATGGATTCAACTCAACTACTATTTTTTGTTGAAAACACAAATTTTCATAAACATAATGAAAATGTGGCTGCCTAAAAACTGGTGAAAATAAGTTTCGATCTGACCGAACCTATGGCCGATTTTTGGCCGAAACTTGCCGAAACCAAACCTTCGGTCGTTCTCTATGTTAAGCATTTATACAGCTGATGACAAAAAATAAAGATATACATATATTTTGTTTTTTATTTTAACGTCCTACCTCGGGGAACCGGGTCTCTTGACGCAAAACGTAGATTGATTGATTTGTTTTTTATTTTAGAATAAAAGAATTTATGAGTCGTTCATTAATCTCGTACTCTCTGGTCATCATGCACGACAACAAATTGTATGCAGCACGAGATCCATTCGGAAACAGACCTCTATGCATAGGAAAGATCAAACAAAGTGAAATATTGGGTTACTGCCACTACCACCTGTTCTACTGTTTATTATCATTGATTGCCAATAAGTTTTGTTTTATTGAAGATTTTTAATGTCATATAGGACGTTGCAATTGTGTTACTGAAAAATATTATTTATGAATACATAAATGCATTCAACATATTTGTCTTAAGTTGAATTTTTTTTCTTTTTTTCAATATTTTTGTGGTTGAACTCTAAAATTCTGTTCAGTATTTATATTGTCGTACAAAACAGACATGTTAATTGTTCATTGCAGTTGTTTTAAAAATGATCAAAACCAGGTTCAAGAGGGAACGTGTTGAAGGGGGAGGGAGATGAAAAGAAGGAAGAAGTAATAGGCTGGGTTGTTTCATCCGAGACGTGCCCTTTTAAATCTGTTGGAGCTGAATTGGAGAGATTTGTCAAACCAGGTTACCCACATTTATGAGAAAAAGAAATAATTAATTTTAAATAGAGTTGGTGAAATATATAAATATAAATATGCAGGTGAAATTGTTGAGATATCGCTGACTGGTTATAAAATATTACACACTGCACAAAGACCAGAAAACAAACGCCCTGCTTTCTGCATCTTTGAATATGTCTACTTCTCAAGACCAGATAGTTTTCTGGAAGGTTATTTTATTTAATGCAAACATCATATCAATTTATTTTGTCAAAATTAAACATTATTGAAGTAACGCTGAAATTTAAAAGCTTAAATTAATATTTATGGTTAACTTAGAAGATTTTTTCATTGCAGGAAATTAAAGAAAGAAAATTGTAACTTGTAAAATCTTGTATACACACACACGCAAATCAATCAATCAATCTTCGTTTTGCGTCCAGAGACCCGGTTTCCCGAGGTAGGACGTTGTTTTCTTTGCCATCAACTTTTTGCGCCAAATTAGACGATCAGTTGTATCCATTTCATTTAAATTTAGAGCTTTCATGTCTTGCTCGATTGTTTGCGACCAGGACTTCTTTGGACGGCCTTTGGGACGTGTGCCAGGTACTTCAACATCTGCAAGAGAAGTTATGGCACTGTTTCCACTTCGTTTGACATGACCAAACCACTGCAGACGGTGTTGCCGGCATTCGTCTTTTATATCATCTAAACCAGCACGACGCAGGATTTCGGTAGATTTGATGTGGTCCTTCAGACTAATTCGTTGCATCCATCGGAGCATTTTCATGTCGGTTCGTTGAAGTTGTTGTTCCAATTTGTTTGTCATTGGCCATGTTTCTGCACCATATAACAAGACCGGACGTATCAGAGATTTATAAAGTCTTGATCGTAGTGGTAGTGGGATGTCACGCCGCATCAATATAGAGGCAAGGAGATGCCATTTATTCCAGGCTGCACGTATGCGTGCTTGAACGGCAGCTTCAGCTGTTCCAGTACAATCTAGAACATCTCCTAGATATTGAAACGATGTGACTTTCTCTATTTTAATGGCTTCAAAAACAGTGCTATTTTGAATTTGTTGTTGTGGATTGATGCAAGCATACAATCTACTATACACGAGCAATTCAACTTGTTCATCCACGAAGGGGATGTTGCCAGCCAGTTTATAATGTAAGTTAAAACCAACTTACTATTAATACTTCTTTTTCTACTACTACTAGTATTTATTTATTAAAAAGTAGTCCTGGTTATGACATTAAACTGACCCTCACTGCCTTGTGAGTGATGTTGGATCATCAAAGGCTAGGCCCACCGCTTATAACTGTGGTTGCGTAAGGAAGGGCGTCCTGCGTAAAAATTAGCCAAATAAATTACTTATGATGACAGAAATGACAATGGCCCTCAGTGCGAGTGACAGATGTGAATGGCGTCGAGGGGTATTTCGGTTTCATAATAGGTAGCCAAACGGCAACCCCCGATCTCGGGGAAAATGTCGTCTAAACGTGTGTTGTTGTTGTTGTTGGATTGATGCAAGCAGGACAAACAAAATTGGATACTTTTGATAAAGTACCAACTATTTTTGAACAACGTTTGTGACACCACTGGTTACACTGCTGACACTTGATTGAATTGTTACCTACACCAGCTTTACAAACTGAACAGGGCCATCGTCCAGTAGCTGTGGATTGGATGGGTTCACCAGTGGTCATTGCTTTGGTTTTGCTGATGTTGACTTTGAATCCATGATCGGCGAGTCTGGTGTTCCAATCTTCAAACATCTGTGCTGCATTCTGCTCAGACGTGGCTGTTAAAACGATATCATCAGCATATACTAGATTCCAAATGTCACCAGTGCGTATCGGTTTTGTGATTTCTTCCATCACCGTTATAAATAAAAGTGGACTGAGAATCGAGCCTTGGTGAACTCCAACGCCGATGTCAAATGCAGCTGTGTTTCCAACCGTTGTGCTGATAAGAGTCTTGGTATTCGTATACATTTCCATCACAAGTCGAACAAGATATTCTGGAATGAGTTGTCGCTTGACAACTCCACCTGATTGCTTCACGGGGAACTCGATCAAATGTTTTTTCAAGGTCTACAAAAATATGTGATAGTTGTTGATGCTTTGCGAGGTACTTCTCTTGCAGTTGCCGAAGGATGTGAATTGCATCAATTATTGATTTCCCCGCTAGAAAACCAAATTGATAATTTCCGATTGTGATGCACACACATATATTTATTTATATTACTTATATATATATTTATATTCAAAAATGCTTCTATTCAGTAGACATTTAACCAATACGGCGTGATGGCTCAATGGTTCAAGGCGCCTGGTTTTGCTGCTGCAGTGACTGGGTTCGAATACAAAGAGATCCCCGCCTATCATATGCACTGTGTATGATGCGTAGTTTTCACGCGAATTCACAACTTTCAACCTTTAATACTAACAGAAAATATAAAATTCTAATAAAACCAAAACGCGTTATTCAACTAATCGTAGTTTGAACAATTACAACATAAATCTATACATTCAAATAGAATAATATGATACAGTCATGTCATGTGGAAAAGTAATTATATAAAATTAACCGATGACTGATTTTTTAGAGATTTTTCTGAAGTGTGTATATGTATATAAACTTTTAGGACAGCTAGTCCATTTTGTGAGAGAAAGATGTGGTGAGACATTGGCTGTTGAGCACCCAGTGGTAGGAATAGATGATGAGAAAGATGATTGGGTGGTCAGCACCGTTCCAGAATCTGCCACACCTGCGGCTATTGGGTACGCGAAAAAAGTGAGATTGTAAAATGAAATAGTTATTTGATATTATGCTTAATTTCTTTCATTTTGAAATTGTTCATGTATGTTTGCCAGCCAAGCCTACGCCGAATCACGAATGTCCTGATGTATACCAATGTTGTATAATGAACAATATTTTAGATATGATTAATTCAAAGATGTTTAATATGATTTGTATCATAATTTTCTTATATGCTATAGCTTCATCCCTTTTTTAATTTTAGCTGAAAGTGCAGTATGCCGAGGTTCTGTGCAAGAATCGCTACGTTGGAAGAAGTTTTATTCAGCCAACTCTGAACCTTCGACAAAGAACAGTGTCGATGAAATATGGAGTGCTGGAAGATCACGTCAAGAACAAAAAAATTGTTTTGGTGGATGATTCTATTGTGAGGGGAACAACCATCACTCCTATTGTTCAGTTACTCAGAAAGTCTGGAGCTCTCGAGGTTTGATGTACAAGTTGTATAATAAATCAATATAATATCATAATATGCCTGATAGATCTACTTTAAATTTTTAGTGTAATAATTTTTAGTTGATACATCGTTTAAAAAGAAATGTCGCTGGTTACCGAGCTGCTCCGTCGGTAGAAGTGCAAAAAATTAATATAGAATGCAAAAATTTAGCAACGCAATCAGAAAAAGAAAAAATAAAAAGGGCGATAAACTTGCACAGAGTACATGAGTGTTGTTTATCACACCTGATTTTGATTAAATCAAAATTATCAATCAATCAATCTTTGTTTAGCGTCCTGAGACCCAGTTTTCCGAGGTAGGACGTTGTTTTCTTTGCCATCAATTTTCTGCGCCAAATTAGACGATCAGTTGTATCCATTTCATTCAAATGTAGAGCTTTCATGTCTCGCTCGATTGTTTGATTGGTTGATATAATTTTGATTAAATTAAAATTATATCAATAAATAATCTACATAAATATTGAGAATTAAATAACTTTAGATTTCTAAAAGGATTTGAAAAAATCAAATATATATTTTTTGACTCATTACGTTTTTGATCATGTCCAATATTAAACTCTAAAAAATTTATTTTATTTACTCTAGCGTCAAAGTATTATCAATGTATGACTAAATTTTTATTATACGTTACAAAATTATAAGAATTACAAAATTACATTTGTAAATGAATAAATAAATAAGAATTAATAAAATATGATAATTAGGTGCACATCCGTGTGGCATCGCCACCCATCAAATATCCCTGCTACATGGGCATCAATATTCCCACCACTAACGAACTCATAGCCAACAAGTGTTCAGCTGATGAACTTGCCAAACATATCGGTTGGTAATTTTCCAGCATACTCTTTTTTCAGTATTTTTAATTTAATATCTTTCGACATGACGTTAGAAGGCATATGAACGTAGGTCTTTTACAAATTTTCGGTAATGTTTGATTTCGTATGATAAATAATATAAAATGAAACTACAATAACATTGTAATTTTGAAACAGCTTATCAATATGCAATTTGCGTTAACTTATTCGGTCAGCTATAAATACAGGCAAACAAACTTTAACACAAATGTTATGCATGTTTGACAATATTATTATTTTATTTAAATAATTAGGTGCAGACAGTGTTAAGTACATAAGTTTGAAAGGTCTGGAAGACTCCGTAAGACCGGAGAAGAGACAGGATTATGATGGCGGATATTGTACCGCTTGTCTCAGTAATGTTTATCCTGTTGAAATTGAAGATCTTGTCTGAATGTTTCACTTGATCTCTACTTGTATACATTTTTTTCTATTTGTATGCTTTAAACTTATTTTTTAGTTGGTTGTACTTATCCTTGGCTGTTCCTATTTAATATCAATTTCAACTAATGATTAGATCAAAATTAATTGTTCAAAAAATTGATTTTATTCGTTATAATCAGATATTCTATTAAAGATTGCCCGTTAATTGATGATTCGTGTTAAAGAATGTACTTGTCTTGTTAAGACTTACGTATTTTCAATTGCACTGATTTGTATAAATTTCTTTAGTTTATTGGTGTAATTAATCTAGTGAGTTTGCAGTGTGGTTACTGTCTACCTGCGTGTGTTTGTAGGTTGTACAGAATTTGTTGAACATGCATCTATCATTTTGTCTAACATTTCTTCATGACCTTTCCAAATTAGACAATTTTACTTTTATTTTCAGGTTACTGAATTAATTTCAGTTTTTTGTAAATGTACTTTGTTCGTGCAACTGAAATAATTTCCTAATTAAATAGGAATTTTTAACCTTATAGTTTGACAGTTGTTTATGTTAGATGACTGCTAATGCATTTTATATTAGTTTAAACATTTTAATGTGTGAACCTTAGCGAATGAGCTGTTTTATGATGATAGTTTTATGTTTGCATTGCTTCTGAATTCTACTATTTGAAGTTATAACTTTTATCTTGAGTTTTTAAAGTTTGTATTATTTGAATATGGTTTTATTAAAATTTTTAAATTTACCAAAAGGTCGTTCATCGTCGAAAATGGTTTAAGTTAGACGTTGGAATTCTTTACTATGAGGAACGAGATAACACATTATAGTTGGTTTCGGCATTTCGTTTTTGAAATTTTGTCTTCGTTAGTTTTTTTTGCAAATTTCATCAGTAACAAATGCGAGCACGCAGTGTGAAGCCTAGTTTATGCTTCATAAATCTTAACTGAAACTTCAGTTGGCGAGTAATAAATGATGTATAAAATAACTGAGTTTATTTTAGAGAAAAAAAAAGAAATCTAGCTTAAAACGAAAATCATTTTATAATTCAAATCAAATTTAAATTTTGTGTTTGGTCGGTTGGTTGGTTAGAGGGCCATTTTTCGCATTTGCCATGCTGCCTTAACAATTACTGCGTCAACTACGCAAACTGTGCGCTTTTGAATGCTGTTTGTCTCGTGTAAAAATGTTTATCGAACTTTGTAAGTTAGCTACACAGGAATGTCATTGCTTGTGTCTTTTAAATAATCGAAAAAATAATACTAATAGAACAATATTTTCATTCAAATTTGAAAAATTACCAATTTTTTCGCGCAATTTGTTAAAATTGCCTATTTGACGTTATTTCCACCCGGACAAGACTGTCATACTTTGTTTGTTTTTTAAATAAAAACAAAATATTTTAATTATCAACAATGATATGCCGCATTAAATTAACGCATGACTGAAAATTTTTTGTGTCATCATCTGCAATTGTTTCAAATTTGACGGCTGACTTGATTGCGTATCTTTTCAAGTGCACAACTTCAAATGATCATTAGCAGGCTGTTGATCGTGTACGTGGAGTGGACGATTGAAGTGTAGTCCCACTCAATAACAATTTCAAAGTCATATTCTCGTTATTTCACAACTATACAAAATTTCTCAAATTATTATTTTTATGAGACAACTTTGAAAACAACACGTGTCAAAATTAAATACAATGTAAAGATGTTTGCTCCTGTCTTTACTAAAAATCTGGAAGGATTACACACAAAAATGTGAAGAATATGAAAAATTAATATTAAAAAAATTGAAATTTTTTAAATTAATTTTCTTAAGATATAGTTAATTTCGATGGGATAATTTTGTTAAAGCCGTCAGAGTTGATCGACGAACAAACCGATGATAAGGTCGCTATCCAAAAATTGATCTTCCAGAGACTAATCAAAGTCGACGACGATGACAAGCTCAGGGAAACTGAAAGTAAAAAAGCTGAAAGTAAAACTGAAACTCTTGTAGTGACTGCAAAAAACAATGAGACCGTTGAGTATAAAAAAAAATAAAAATTTTGGTTACATCAGAAATAGATTTTATTATTTGAGAATTGAACAAGCAATGTTCATTTTCATTTACTACTTTAGTTTTTTTAAATAAAATGCATAGAAGGATTCAATCATTTTGTTTATTCTATTGATCTGATGGCTTAGTCTTTATAGTCGCCTGGTTCTATCACGCAGGGACCGGATTTGAATAAGATGCGTCGTTTAGCACGTATTCATATACGCTGTTTGTGCGTTTTTAATTCTTCTAAACTTTGGGAGAGTGTATAAGACTTTTAACCTTTTTTGGATGTATCCTCAAAAAAGTTGTAGTGTCGTTTAATCTGGTTCTTTCAAAAAATTTGAATCGAGATTTCGTTATCGTAGCGTAACCTATAAGTTTTTTGGTTGAATTTTCATAGCATCTCATTTCTTTCAAGACCAAATTCTCGTATCGTACCGTAATATTTAAAAAAGATTTGAAGATGCTCGCAGCTTCATGGCATGAATCTATGTCAATTTATTTCAATAGATAAAACCGATGATCCAACTCCACAGCTCCTTGTTTTTACTCAAATGGACTCCATGATTCCATTACATTGTGGCAAAATTATAAAGCTTCAAGATATGAGTAAACCTGTTCATATTTTGAGAGCTCAATTTTCTTTACGATCCAGGTAAACGTGATAGTATAAACAAAAAATCAAAACATTAAAACTAATATTTTTGGTGATTTATTACATTTTTCTGCGTTTTTATGTCACCTGGTAATTATGTTGCTGTGATAATGTCAATCAAACTGCAGTCATTCCCATTCCAAACTTCAATAGAATGCATTGACTGACTGTCTTCCATTGACTCACAAGAGAATTTTGCTCCATTTCTTTTGTTATTATTTAATATTTTTATTTAAATATTCAAAAATAACATTAAAAAAATACAAATACTGTGGCGTACTTTCTTATGAGCATGTAAGCAAAGCAAGAGGGAAATAATTTTTAAAAATTCTTCGTGTTTCGAGTGTATTGTTAATAAATAACTCGTTCATTTTCTTTAGACGCCGTATGACGTGTGCGTTGAACAAGTCACGTGCTACATTGTTAGTTCAAATGGTCAAACATTCAATTGAATGGAGCCTCACGAAGCTCAATTATCGTTCATCTTGACGTCATTATTCTTTGAAAAGAAGCACGCACTCATTCTTGATTCTATGGCTGTACGAAGATGCTTAAATTTATATTATCGTGAGAAAACCATGTACTTATAGAATGCCTTAACTCCGTTGGTCAAATTATAAACTTTTGTAGGTAAAATTAAATAAATTTTTAAATTCATAAAAATTAAATTAAAAATTAAATAATTCACTTCTATCGCATATTTGTTGAAAAAGTTCTGCTTAATTAATATTGATTAATTCTAACTGTTCAAAACTTGATAGAATTTTTAATTTCTTGATTGTTACGATAACCATTAAAGCAAGAAGCAAGTTCCTGGTTGGTTGGCTCAATTATCTCCGCACCCTCCCTCCTCTTCCTCCTCATCGCCATCACAATCACTCATCGTGTTCATTCAACTGAAATAATGCGGCACATAGTTTCAAGCGGTGATTTATCATCAACCAATGAAAAAACTCCCTCTTAGTCACGTGATATTCTTTCAAGCGATTAATATAAGACGCTAAATTTTAAGTTTAAGCACGACTTTAGCGTGTATTAATCGTTCAAACGTCGTCGCCATGGTAACAGACTCTCTGAAGACAAAAAGGATCGATCGTTAAGCAAAATTGGAAGATAAAAGTTGTAAATAAAAATGATAAACAAAAATTATGAAAAAAAGTAATAAAATGACTTAAGAAAATTATTAACAAAACAAGCAAGTTACAACAGTTGAGTGAAGCAAAATTATAGCAAATCCATGATGTTTACATTAATTAAGCGAAAATAAGCAAAAATGTCCACGATAGTTTAGAAAAACTTGATTTGCGTGTTTTCAATGTTTGTCGTAGGGTAATGGAAAGCACCTTTGAAATTTAATAAGATTGTCTAATTATTTATATTATTTAAAAGTAAACCAACCTCGTTTTAATAAGTTGGCTATACTGATATATAAATTAGAGAGGAATGTTGAAGTCCTATCATGAAATGGATGGATGACATCACTAAATGGACTGAGTTGAAACATTCTGTTTTGCAGCCAAAACCAATGAGTAATTTGCGCAAAATCTTTTACCTGAATTAGGGCCGTTTTAAGGTCATTGTAGACACCCTAGACACTTTCAAAGTCGTAGGTCTTCACCGACTTCATTTTTTATATTTTTTCGCTAGTGCACCTGCAATTCTTTGTGTTTTGAAATGTAAATAAATATTCCGCATTGTTAATTATTCTATGCAGACGATGTAGTTAGTCTCCATGCACGCATCGGAATTACATAATGAGCTTCGAATTCCTTATTTATCGATAATACTTGTGTTTCTTTTTTCTTAAAATTTTATGTTCCAGTGGCTTTCGTAGACCCTTGGAAAGTCCGTAGGCCCTAGGTGCAGTGCCTTCTGTACCTGTACCTAGTTGGTAACGTGACCCTGATTTGAATACAAATACAAACACAGAGATAGATAGATACAAGTAAATCAAAACTACAAATGAAGTTAACTTTACTATATACACTATAATAATTGTTTGTAAATAAAACGATCACTAGAAATTATTTGAGTTACAATTATGAATTTATTTAGCAACGCCTGGACAGCATCTACGTATGCATTTTGACAGCTTTCGGTTGCATATGCATATGCTTAAGGATAATGATGATGTAATGAGGAAATACTTTTATTCAAACTTTTCTTATTTACAGCAAAATATAAAACTAATTACACAAATCAAACTAAAAAAAATGTAAATGTAGAAAAGTTTATAGTTTAAAAATTTCCTTTGTTATGTTTCTTGATGTCAGAGGCAATATTTTTATTTTTATGCAATTAGTTTCTATCTTTGAGTTCTCCACTAAATCCTTTGTAAGAGACTGGCAAATTTTTCCACTTTAAAACAATAACATGTTTTTTTGTTATTTCATTAGGATGAGTCGTAATTCGTGAGGTGAAAACATTCGTTTTTTGTATCCAACTGAAGGTCGTTGAATCCTCGAATTAAATCTTGTAATGGAATTCTAAAAAAACAACACTTCCTGATTCAAGTTGTCCCAACATTTTATCTACCGTTAATGCAATGATACAATTATATCAGTAACAAATGCTTCTTATATTTTGTTTAGTTTTTTGATTTCTACCTCATGTCGACAAACAGTGTAGCCATTTGAGAATGGAGAATGTTCTCTGTGATTGATTAGACAGAATGGATTATTTTAAAAAATAAGATATCACTGTGTCGTTTTTTGATTTTAGAATTTTTTAAACAAAACTTTCGTTTTTAAAATGATAAAAACTGGAATTCCAGTAGATCATTCCCAAAAAACAGACAAATAGGAAAACAAGGGCGTTAAATGGCCTGGAAACGTAAAATGGCTGAAGTCCAATTAAAAAAATTGTAATATCTTTTCTTAACATGTAAGAGGAAGATGCCTCTAAACAACAAATTTGCTGCAATTTCTTGTTAGAATTTAATTTACTTGAATAGAAAAATTTACATGAATGTTTGTTTTTTGTAAAATGCAGTACCCATAACATTTTCAACCGCACCAACCAAAATATTTAACCGGATTGTCAACAGAAATTCTTGAAAAGTCAGCAAAGTATATTGAAACTGTTAATTGCAGCAATTATTTAATATAATAAAATAAAAAATAACCAGAATAGTTGTTCTTTAGAAATCGCTAACATATTATAGAGTTAAGCGCCAGGACAATACATTGGATACAATCCATTATTATTTAGAAATAAAAGCGAACCATTGATGTAGCGATGAAATTTTCTAAATGCGTAATAGCGGATAAAGTAAATAATTTTGACGATCTTCCTACCAGGTTGCAGATGAAATATCAAAATGCTTAATTTTTCAAAATTTCGATGTGATACACAGTGTGATACAATGTCAAAATGTCGACCGTGGCGTTATTAAATCAGCGTGTAATACAATTAAATAGCGTCTGATGAAAAAGAAAATGAAAGCAATCTTTTATTGAGTAACTTTGACACTGGACAAGGAAGATTTGTCAAATTCTGTCTGCTGGCATTCTTATAAGTACCTATAACATGTGTTTCAATCATTATTAGATCTTGCTGGCTAAATTAACTCCAAAAACCGTTATCGGTGATAAATTGGATTCGTTGTATTGATACTCCAATTACTAGAACGATGACCGTGACTTGAAAAATATGTTTGTAAATCCATGCAACTTTTGGTCTTTGGTTGATGCCTTTCAGTGAGTTTGAGTTAATAAACCTGTATCTTATTGTACGTTTCACTTAATTTTATTTATATTCACGAGTTATCTGAGTTCACGTAAAAATTGAAATTTATTATTTTTAAAATTACAATTTTAAGAGGAATAAAGGCTTTGTTGAAGTTAGAAAAGGGAAGGCATCACATCCTTACGACATAGAATTATGAAATGCATTTAAAACCAATGCATGAGTGTGGAGCGGGCTAAATTCGTTGCAGATTGAACAATTCTAAAATCCAAATAGTTGTAACGATAAGAATACGATAAAAGTAAAAATCCACTCACGAAATCGTTTGTCTTCCTCCGTGTTTTTTTGCATTGTAATACTTTTGCATCACATCATACTGGCCTGGCTGATGCATGCGTTATATATGAGAACGAACGTAGATTATATTCGTTACATTCGTTCAATTGGTAGACATTAAAGTTTTTGAACATTCTTAAAAGTTTCTTTTCATGAACAAAACTGTTTTATTTGATTAATATATTCAAAATAAAACAGCTAACAGTAGCCACCTTCATAACATTTCTCATCAGAAATTATCGAGTTTGTGAGTTTTATTTATTTGGCTTGAACATGCTTTTCGTTGGTCTACTATTGCTTTTTGTTTTTCAACTGAACGAAAAAGTTCAAGGTGGGTACATTTTTTTGCCTTTTATTATTTACGCAAAAACCATTTATCTAACATTTTATTGTTTCGAAAATTTGAGTCAGATGAATTAAGAGATTAAAAGATTTTTATCTGTTGGTTACAGTGCTTACTAACATCAAAAAATGTTATTTCAAAACTTCTACAGTTCTAAATTCGATTAATTTAATTTAAAAAATTTCTGTACTATAGCCACAGCAGCAGATGGTTTAAAACTTTGGCTTATATCAAATGACTTAACTTTGCTTATAATATTATTGTCACACCAAATTTCATTCAAGCTGCATATTCTCGATTCCACGATCAAATTTAAGGAATATCGTTATTGATGTAAAGATAGTAATTCAACATTTAAAATTTTTATTAGTTTCAGTATATATATAATTATATATATATATATATATATATGTGTGTGTGTGTGTGTGTGTGTGCGTGTGTGTGTATTTTTGTGCGTGCTTATGTGTGTGTGTGTTCGTGCGCGTGTTTTTTGTGTTTGTGTCTCTCTGTGTGCAAACGAACAAAGCGATTGTGTTTGCTTAATTAAAAATTTTTTCAGCCAAGTTGTTCAGTTTAATAATTATAAAAGTATATGAAAAAAACATCCCTACTAAAATATTGAAAAAGTATTTTAGAATTATCGCAGTATAATAACTTTGCGAGCACATCTCAAAAGTTGCCCGAGGAATCGTTTGGAGACTATTAATGAGTCGTAAAATTTAAATCTGACTCTTAACGCTGCGTATCAGTCTTGCTTAAACAGGCAGCGATTTCTATTTTATTACCCTACACCAAATTGGCCCTAATCTACCTACTCCATCCACATTTGCCCTAACCTACCTACTCCAACAAGTACATCAAACAAGCTTTCCTACCTGCCTTATCATCACGTGCAAGACATGGACCTCTTTAATCACTTTCTCATTCTTTTCAAATTGCCATTCGTATTTTTTCTTTTGAAATGTTTTTAAATTCATCATAAATTTGGTCAATCAATCAATGTTTCAACACGTAAGGGCCGTCCATAAAGGATGTCACGCTTAAAGGGAGGAGGGGGTCCAAATATTTGTGACACTTTGCGACGAAGGGGGGGGGGTAAACGCAAGTGTGACGTCCCTTTTTTTAAATAAACAAAAATAGAGTTACTAAATATACCAAAAGAAGAAAGCCCACGTATTCCGTTGGTTTCAGTTTCACAGCACCTGGCCAGCCTTTGGAAGAAAGCAATTCGTGATCTTTCATATTAATTCGTCATTTAATTTAGATATCAAACTGCCATCTTAAAAACTTGTCATTCGTTATTTTGACATCAATAAAAAATAAAATGCATTGAACAATTATATTGTTTAATGACTCTTCACTAAAAGGGGGGGGGGGGGTAAAGTTTTGTGACATGCTTATTTTCGGGGGGTTTGTTGATTTGTGACAGTTTGTAACACGGGGGAGGGGGTTCAAAAAACACGTTAAAAAAGAGTAACATCCTTTATGGACAACCTCCAAATATTTGTGTATTCCTAAAAATTTTATTTGCTTTGACACATGTATATTGTTACATTATCGTTTAATATATTTTTTCATTTGACAATTCATATAAGTTTTGATTATTTTAATAAGTGTTATAGTCCAATTTTTATGCTAAAATTGCATAAAGTTCTTTTTTTATACTTCAATTATTAAACGTGTTTTAGAATTTTAACTCTACTTATACGAAATTTTTAATTTGGATAAATTGTTGAAACCACTGCAGTTGCTGGCACGGAATGGTCCGAGTGGTGGACGCACAACGGCATCTCAGGTTGGTCTCATTCCAGTTATCTGTCCAGACTTAACAAACTTTCAGACATATTTAGTATTTAAACGTATGCACACTTTAAAGTAGGTTTATTGAATGATTAAAACTTCTTATAGAAAAACATTAGAAAAAATGGTTTTTTAATGATTTAGTTTTATTTAACCATTTTCTAACTATATACATCTTCAAAAAATTAATACAGCGGCATGAATCTTGCATGCGCGTTGTTCGTTGAAATACCTCGAAATTGTAATCGCATCATAGTTACTTTGAAATTTTAGATGATAGAATACTTCTGGTACTTCGAGAAAAAATGCTTTATAACTTGTGATTGAATACTTTTCAACGAAACTGAATCAAGTTGTCGGTCTGCATGATCCATGATGTTTAAACACTTTAGCATTACTTTTAACATTATTCAAATCTTTGAAATTTATTTCAAATGCGCAAGTCCATTACTTTTCTCCGATAACACAGATTAATGAATATGCTCCTGAAGTATAAGTAGCACATACGTGCATTGTATGTTATTATTAAATAAATTTTTAATCACCATATAGCAAGACAGCATTTTTCATATAACAGTTGATTAGAAACGTAAAATGGTTTTACTGAGAAGGCTGCCATACAGAAACACGTCCAAGAAGCCTTCATTAAAATGGACTTTGAAAGCACGCAAATCCATTGAATTTGTTTGAGAATCGCTGAAAAAATAATTAAAACAAATGCTCCTATATTTTCTAAGTGAAAATAACCTGAATGCTTCTCACAGTAAAATTAACATTTTAAATTCTAAATTATTAAATTCATCAATTTGTTTGATAAAATAAATTAAGTTAAAAAGTTTAGGCGAGGGTAAGGGAGCTTTTAAACTAACTAAACTATTTTGCAATTTTTTATGATTTTATTTTATTTTTTTGTTTAATCAATCTAGACCTATAATACTTGAAACTCATGATACCTAATGTTGCCTGTTAAATGCGAATGACTGAAAATGTAATTGGAACAGGAAAAGTATAATATATATATATTATTTTACTCATTTTGAATATAAAATTACTAAATGACGCAAGCTTGTGTTCAATGTTATCTATTGTACATGCATTTTGTCTAGAACCTCGTGTCAGCAGAAAGTTTTTAAAGGAGACAACCGCGTGTCGTCATTTTTCACGCAAACCTCTTCTAAACAAATATATTCCAAGTCACGCTATCTTACGAGATGTTCATGACTTTTGACCTCGACTGTGACAGGTCAGAGTAAAGTGACGTCATCATCTTTTCATACGTCACGTGGATGGTCTTATCAGAAGCTTTGCAGTCAATTAAGTTCACGACCTCAAGCGTGTGATTGCTGACGCACAGCAGCTGCAACCACTAATGGCTAAACTATGAAGACGACGACGATGATGGTTACAATGACGATGATAAGGGTGTCATTGAGGATAATATTAGTGGTGTTGATAAAACTAATTGCATTAATTTTAAAGATGTGATTAGGATTTTTTTAGTTTTTTTAATTAAAACAATCGATAATTTTTCATTGTACAAAACAATTTACTGGCGTGAATTTAACATAACAAATTCTACATTTTCGTCCCAATGTCATCGAAGCATCTTATTAAATATCTTTTGTCGCTAACACATGTTTGTTTCCAACTCAAAATATTTCCATCTTATGATTTAATATGCGTCAGACTTATTAAGAAAGTATGTTCGTAGTTGTAAACTTCATTCAGCCAAAAATTCTTTATGCAAAAAAATTTTTTTCATAAAATTTACCACTTTGTTTTAAACGTTTTCGAACTTATAAATCTTTTTTTAATTCATTTTACTTTTCTGAAAGAAGAGCCATCCTTCAATTCTAACCGCATGAACTAACTTTCATTTTTTTCAATGAAGGCATCGGAGTGCACATTCATTTGATTGATGTTTAAGCATTGTGTCGAAACTTCCTTTGTTCATACTGCATAAAAATCATTATTCCAACGCACTCAATCTCCAATTTTTTGCTTTTTTATCAAAATACTTTTTACACTTTAAAACTTTCATTAAAATCAGCTGTTGTTTGATGAACATTTAACAACACTGCTTGAAAATATTAGAAAATGTTAGTAATGAAATAAAACGTGCAGGTCCAAATTTTTGGGGCCTGGTCAATCCTGAATGGGTGTTGTGTACAAGGGGCAAGAGACAATCACCAATTGACATCAACACCAATCTTCTCCTTTTTGATGCAAGACTTAATAAAGTTCACCTTGATAGTGTTCAAGTTTGTATTCAACTTTAAACAAATTAAATAAAGTAACTAATTGAATTTTCAAATAAATTTACCATTTTTAATTTAAAATGATGTGTAAAAGTAAATAATAAACGACTGGCAAATAAGAAAATCTCTTGTAAATTTGTTAAAACGTTTCTCATACACTGCGTTATTTGAAAGAAAGTTTAACAATAATTGAGCGAACAGCTTAGAAAGCAGCATGTGACAACAAAAAGGAGTGAACGTCGGTTGAGCTGTCCGCAAAACCACCTACTAGGAAGGAAACATCAGAAGGAAAGGAGTGACAGAAAGTAGGATGAGAACGTTATTTGAGGGAGCAACACGTGACGGCCTGCTCGGAGTTGGTGCAGGCGACGAAGCATGCACGTGCATCTTCTCAGATATTGGAAATTGAAAAGTAATCGACCATCACTTCTTCCCTCCTCCTATATTTATATCGCGCTGCACATGCGCGTGCGAGATGTTCTGTGTCCGTCCATACGTGTGTGTGTGTGTGTATGTGTGTGTTGTGTGTGTGTAATTCTGCGTCTACATCTACCTATATATCTATACCTACCCGTGTATATGTATTCATACAAGTGTACATACATGTGCGTATGCGTCTTTACATTGCGTATGTATCTTTGCTTATATTTAATGTTTCTGTGTGTTTTCACATGTCTCTAACGCATGAATGTGCATTAGTGTGCGTATTTGACTTTGTAATTTTGTGTGTGTGTGCCTCTAGGGCGTGCATAGTTGCGATTTTGTGCTCCCTTCCTTGCAGTGCAAACTCTTATTGTAAGTGAAAATGAACAAACGGCAAGTTCTTCAAATTGTAATATTTCAAAGGTAATAAAACTTCTCACCTCCTATGATGCGTAAGCACCGTTCATTCGAGCAGATGCTATGACGACACCAATTACGTTGGTTACTTCGGCCAAGGAAGTTTTGAAACTTGTATCAGTGCGCACACTTTTGTGTTTTTATAAAAAGAACATAAATTTAAAAAACTTACCTATACAGCATAAATAACTTGAGTTATCTTTCATTTTTTTCAAATTAATAGCACACGTCGGCCTTGAACGTGCCATTATATTTTATTCTATACGTGAAACTGATGTTTTAAAAAGAAAGCAACTATAAATTTGTGATTAAAGTTTAGACCTAACTTGACTACTATTTGTTCTATTGATTGATTGCATTATTTTTCATTACGAAGACGAGTGGGACTCTCGTTAATTCAGGAACATTGTTGAAATTCATACTTGATGACAAATTCGAATCAACAAATTTCAACGGAAACGAAGACAACCACTACATTTACGAAGAAAACAACAACAACGAAAAAGACTCGGCCGGCAAAACTGCCAACAATGCAGAAACAAAATCAGCTCGCAAAGCTAGGTACAACACGTTCAAAAGCGTTAAAACCAGCGATGAACCCTTGTACGTAAACCTGACAGGGGGTCCTCTGTCTTACCAATATCGAGTGGTGGAAGTTTTCATTCATTTCGGGAGCCACGAAACCGTTGGATCAGAACATACAATTGATGGCATCTTCTTTCCAGCAGAGGTTTGGTGCTTTTAATTTTTACAAAACAATTTAATTTTTACAACACAATTTAATTTTTACAACACAATTTTTCAATTGTAATTTGTTATGTGCGACACACCCTGCTTAAAAATAAAATGTAAAAATTAATATCATTATATTATATACATATATAAAAGTTATTCTATATATATATATATATATATATATATATATATATATATATTATATATATGCAGTTGTTTAAAAAAATCACAGCTGCATTGCATACGTTGTTTAATTAGCAATTATTGAGTTTTTTAATTTTTGTACGACGAATTTCAGTTCATTACCAAGTTCGTTTACTTAATAAACAAAATTTTTATTCATTTTTGCATTTTTGTTTAAATATTTTTAAATATTTACGTACATTCCATCATAAAAAGTTTTTTTTCGACAATCATTTGTCATCATCAGTGTTGATTACGGATTTTGTTTTATGTGTCTGTTTATATAGGTTTTGGGTGACTTCATTATTGTCTTCTTCATTAAGTGAATTTGTTCGAATTCTGACTTTGTTTATGAGTGTCTTTACTGAGTTTATTCGAACGAACTAACAAGTCGGTAGGACTCCAGTTGCTGTGGACGTCTTTGATTGATGAGCAAAGGTTTTGCAATCCTTAGATTGTGTGGATTGTTGTAGTAGTGAATTATTTCTACGTTTTTGTCAAGTATCTCTCTGGTGATTTTCGCGTTGTGTTTCTTTTTCAGGTGATTCTTTATTGATCCTGACTGAATATGCATGGTAAGCCTTTTTGATAATTTGGTTGTTGTCATCCCGATGTATTCAGAGTTTTGGTGCCCACTGGGTGACTACGGAGTATTATCCTTTTTGGCTTGCTTGTGCAGTTGCTAATCATAAATAAAGATGAATTTTTATAGTTGATGTTATAGATCCTAAGTTTAACGGTTTCTTGTTCATTAAATGGTTTGCCAGCGTTTCTTATAATTCTTTTCATAATTTTCTCATCCCATATAAACGCTGTCGACGTGTGGCTCTTGTAGTATATTATAAAGTTTTTGTTTTTTATTCGTTGTTGTTATTTATTTGATCTTGATATATTGGATCATTTTTTATTAATGATCTTTTGCAGTCATTATTGATTAGAAAGTTGGAGATTCTTTGTACTTCTTTGTTTCTGTCTTCTATGTCCGATGAATGTCTGAAAACAAGATTCAAGTCCGAAGGATTTCTTATTGCACAAAACGTTAAAAACTCAGATCTAAGTGCTTTGAATTTGCAAGATCAGGATGTAAAAGTTTCAAAGCTTTTAAAATATTACGGAAATGATACAAATAAAGATCGTCTTATTCTACATCTGAAAATGTTTCGAGACCTCATCTGCCATGGTTGTAGTAATTCAAAAGGAAATCCAAATTATGCAAAATGTTATTGATCTGATAAAATGCAAATCTATGCGAAAAATGTTTTTTGAAGATTTCAATGTTTAATGCTTTTTTTGACATCACCTGTAACAACTTGCACAGCAGAGAGAAGTTTCTCAGCCTTAAGCAGTCTGAAAACGTATCTGCGATCTACAATGGGACAGGAGAGGCTGAACCACGTAGAGCGATACTGCATTGCTACCGAACCTTAACAAAGTCAATTGACGTTAAACAATTATGCAATGATTTACGATTAAAAACATTTGCATTGTTTTAATTTCATTTGGATGTTTTATTTCATTAATTTCTATATTTATATATGTTTGAAACATATAAATATATATATATATATATATATATATACATATATAAACGAACTACAAACATATTAACGCCAAACATTTGGTAGAATTTATAGAATATTGTAAACATATATATATATATATATATATATATATATATATATATATATATATATATATATATATATATATATATATTCAATTCAATTCGTTTATTTTCTCAAAAGAGGGGTAAACTAAAAAAGCAACCAAATGCTTGTAAGAGAGTCACCCTATCCAAATAAAATCAACATTGATCAACAAAAATCAAAAATTAAAATAGTTCGACAAAAATCAAGGATTAATCTAGATCGAAATAAATCAAAAGTTATTGAACTGCAGATTCTATTCTATTAATCTTATGAAACAGAGATATAGTTCAAAATGAGTACATAAAATTAAAGTTTTGAATTTAGGATTCTATAGCATTTCAATAAATTAAATGATATGAAACCAAATATAGTTCAAAAGTAAGAGTACATACATATATACATACCTACATACGCACATACATACATCCATACATTCATACATACATACGTACATACATACATACATACATACATACATACATACATACATACATACATACATACATACATACATACATACATACATACATACATACATACATACATACATACATACATACATACATACATACATACATACAAAAACAGTTTTATTCAGATCATTGATATTACTCATATACAAAAATTATTCAAATAAGATTTAGATAAGGTTAAAACAACTATAGTTGCAAAAATCGCCGTTTATCAGACATTAAATAAGTTTTACAATGTTGTTTAAAAAGACGAGATTTTGAAGTAATTGTAACAGATAGAGGCAAAATTGTAAACCAAATTTTGGGTGCAAGAATAAATATGCTATCATTTAAAATTTTTAGTCTACTGAATGGTATTATATATGGAATGAAGTGACGAGTAGATTTAAAAATATGTGAAGGTTTGAGTGAAAAAATATTTGAGAAATTAGATGGTAGCAGATTATTGACAAATTTGAACATGAAAAAGGCAACAATAAAAATATGTAATTTGTATATTGTAAGAAGACCTAAAGAAGAAAAATATATACATACATACATATTTGTATATATAACTGTAATGAAACGGTATAATCATATGGTATAATATGTCATTTGGTGGCCCTGGCCCGGGCCTCCCAATATCTTGGACAAGTTGGCGCCTCTGTACGCACGGTTTACAAACGATGCGATTGTACTTTCTAGCTATTTCTCGCGGCATTCACTTTTTTCCATTTAGGCATAAACCTTTGCTGGAGGCCTTTGTGTAAACCTACTATCACGGAGTAGTTCTCAGTGCAATATTTGCCCACGTTGTACGATAGTAGACATTATGCGTTGTAAGCTGTACACATGGACTTTGGACTTTGAGCGTTGGATTCGAAGAAAATAAGAAGTTTTTAGTATATATGTATGTTATTGTCTCATAGTTTAGTTTGGAGTAGTGGTATCGTAATTGATTTTTTTGGTATCGTATTGTTTTGTAGCGTAATATTAATAAGTAATATTAATAATCGTTTTAACATAACATAACATAACAATGATTATAGTGGTTCAGTAGATATCTCTGTGTGAGAACCACTGGATCGATTTTGAATAATAATATGGATTTAAAATCATAATCTTCAAAGTCTGACTTTGAATTTCCGCGTTGTAAGAGCTGTTACGGTTTTTTTTGACCAGCTTATTCCAATGTTCAATGAACTCTCAAAACTGAAAAATCTTTCTTTTATTGTTCCAACCCTTTTTTTGAAAAGCTTGTACTGCTCCCCTCTTGTGTTTCTATTTTCTGTAAATTGGAAGAACAGGGATGAATCTATCTTTACCCGTTATGATTTGGTACGCCTGATTAAGATCTCTTCTAGTCCTACGTTTGTCCAAAATTGTCAGTCCGCATCTTTTCAATCTTTCCTCATATGAAATTCTTTCACAATTGTTAATTATCCGGGTTGCTTCTTTGTTTTTTGCCAGTGAAGACTCCATGCCTATATGCAGTATTCTAATTTAGATTGCACTAACGTTTTATATAGATTCAACATTACTGATTAATCTCTGTTAACAATCGTCCTTTTGATCATGCTAAGCGTATAGTTTGCTCTTTTTGCTACTTCTATGCACTGGTAGATTTTCCACTTTTCTTGCGATGAAACTTTTAAAGGTCTGTTTCCAAATTCTAATATATTTTGCTTGTTTTTTGTCCCCATGTGAATTACAGAGCATTTTTCTATGTATAATTTTATCTGCCTGTTTTTCGCCCATTGGTAAAGTTTTTTTTAGATCAGTTTGCAGTCTTTCTTCATCCTCATTTTTTCTACCACTGCACAGAGCTTGGTATCATCCGCAAAGTTGACTCTTTTTGAATAAATCCCACTATCAATATTATTGATGAAAATAATAAACAACAGTGATCCCAGCATTAAGCCCTGAAGTACACCAGTTGTAACATCCACCCAGTTCGAATAGTTTTCTCTGATGCCCACTTTTTGTCTTCTCTGGGTCAACCAATTAGTTAACCAATCAAGTAAGTTTCCTCTTATTGCTGCCTCTTCTAGTATTATGCGTAATCGTTTATGTAGCATTTTATCAAATGCCTTGGCAAAGTCCAAATATACTAAGTCTACGTCTTTACCTCTATCCAAGTTGGCATAAACCTTTTATAAAAACTCTAGAAGATATTTTAGGCATGATCTTTTGTTTACAAAACCATGTGGACTTTTGCCAATTATATTATTATTATTATTATTTGATAAGTGTTTTAATATCCGGCTTTTGATTATGTTCTCTAGTACTTTACATACAATGCCTGTTAAGCTGACTGGTCTGTTATTGCACGGTTCACTTCGATATCCTATTTTGTATAAAGGTACTACTAATGCATTTTTCCAATCGAATAGTATTTTTCCAAATGAAAGAGAATTGTTATATACGGTTGTCAAAGCTTAACTTATTTTTATTCTGACTTTCTTAAAGAATTTTGGATAAAACCCATCAATTCTTGGACTCTTATTCTACTTCAATTGTCCAACTTGAAATACAACTTCCGTTTTTGTAATTCTGAACTCCCTACCAAAGATGTTCCAGTTAAGGTTACATTTAGCTACTGGTAATTTTTTTCTTTTTCATGTGTGAATACAGAACTGAAATAATTGTTTAACAGCTCCGTGGCTTTAGCGTCGGTCTCCACTATCACGTTTTATTTCATTTCTGAGCGG